GATAAATCGTGTATGTGCTTGTAGCCCTTGTCCTGAAGGCAGGACATCTTAGGGGAGACTTTTCTTAAATAGGTCCTCTTGCCAAAGTTGTGTACTGAGGAAGCTCTGTGCAGGCTGTGCCTTCTGTCTGTTCATCCGCTGCTTACCAGCTTCCACACTTGGGGTTGAGGTGATTCAGTGGGGGAGGACTTGCCTTGTCCTAGCCGTGGTCAGAGAGCCAGGGCAGAGGGATTAAGGGCAAGGCCACATATGACAGTATCAAGAGTAAAGGGGCAGTTTTTACTGACCATTTTTGTCATCTGTGAATAGGGCCATGTGGGGTACAAGTTCTGTTTCCTTCCAAGTAGCAAGGTAGGCCGGGAGAGCTACTGGTGCTGGTTTGCCTGGTATGAGAGTAGCACCAACTTTTTTATTCTTAATTTGAATATCAAGCCACTAAATTTGTATTTGGCCTGTAAAATTACTGCCTCCTTTAACTGTTCAGGAAATTCCTTCTTTTAGGCCTAAGAGGTACTGGGAAAACCATAATTCATTAGCAATGAGGATATGCCTTTATTGTGGTAGGAATATTTATGATGTGAAAATGCCCTAATAGTTGACAACTTGAGGACTTTTCAGCTTGGGCTCTAGAACTGAGGTGGCGATGGCAGAGGTGGCACGAATAGCGTGTCTTGCACTGCTGTTTGAGAGCGGCCTCCAGAAGCTTACATCAGAGCAGGCAGAGGGAAATTTTCTGTACCCTTGGTTTGCTGATATTTTGCTTCAGTAATCATCTAGGCCATTAGCTCTTAACCTTTCTGAGCTTATGGAGCCTTGTAGGATGTGATGAGAGTCCCTGAGACTATAGAAGACCACTCCTCTGTGCCACCCCATAAACTGTGCAAGGCCCTGGGTCCCATAGAGACCCAGTGATTGGTTGCAGATGCAGAATCCCAGCCCTAGGAAGAGAAAACACCTTGACCCTGAGGTCTTTTGTGTGTTCTCTGTTCCAGTCAGTTCTACCGTCCCCAAAGCCTGGATGTTACAGAGCAGCAGGTTAAACATTGTAGGGATTGGTTGTTGCCTTTGCCTCAAAGGCCTTTCAGGAGAGGTCCTGACTAGGGTCTGGGATCCGGTCTCTTCAACACTTGATGATGCGGAAAGGCTGAGGAAGGTAGAGAGAGAGGAGCCCTGTGACCACCAAGTGGGAGTCTGTGCCCAGGCCCTGAAAGTCTTCTCAAACACTGCACCCGACAGTTGTTTATGTAAAGATTGTGTCCCTGTCCTCTTCCAGCGGCATTTATACTCTGTACATATGATGCAGAGTTGTTAAGACTCTTAGCAGCTGCACAGCTGGTGGCCAGGTCTCAGGCCAGTGGTGTGCATTGTGAATCTCAGATTGCAGGAGCACTCGGGGAGTCTCTGGAGGTCTGCCACGGCCCAGGACACCGCGCCGGGCTTGGCTTTGGCGGGGCCGGACCCTACCTTTCCCTGTTGGCAGTTCCTTCTGGCGGTCTTGCAGCAAGGACGTTGATGACGCTGTTCAGCTCAGCTCATCAGGTGTTCCTTCTCCCCACTCCTCACCAGCAGTCAGGCTGTGCTTGTGCCCTTTTACACCCAGAAGCACTTTTTCCAGACCTGTCTTTTGTTTATGTTCAAGACTTTCCTGTATCACAGCCATGTGGTCGTTGATTTTCCTTTATCCACTTCAGTTTTCTTTGTGAAGGGGATTATAGTGAACGAAAGAAGGCTTGGGAATATGGGTGGTTCTTGCCTCAGCTTTCCTGAGAGTCGATTCTCTGGTGCCTGGGAGAGGCTGATGGGGAGTGCTGTAGAACCACTGGTGTCCCTCTCCGATGGGAGGCTCACACACAGCCTGGGGGCTCAGTCTGTCTGCCCACTTCCTTGGAGACCTTGTTAAAATGGTTTCGCAGCTTCCTGAGCTGTCATCAAAAGGGGGCACCAAGACCTTTCCCTTATCTTCGCTTGGCAAATACCAGCATCCTTAGGAGCTAGGTAACTATGTTTCTCTCCAGTTTTGATCAGCCAGACATAGTATACCTCATTTTGAAGGTTCCTTTGCCTAGTTTCATTCCTCAATAGATCCTTCCAGAGGTGTTACTTAATGTGGTCTATTCACTGCCTGAAAAGGCAGATGGTCCAGCAGAGGGCTTCTCCTGTGCAGGAGACATGGTGCCACCTTCTAGGAGGTCCTGGCTGCTCCCTGCTGGCCTCCGTCCTCAAGTTTCTAGGTACTTGTCCTCTGTTACTGCCACACGCTGGTCTCTTCCTTTTTGGGAACTTGTTCCCCACTGATTATATTCAGAGGCATAAATCCTGGGTTGACAGCCTCTGCCTTTATGAGGTCTTCTGATAAGAGTGTTGTTGAGGAGTTTAAAAGAAATCTCATTCTTGCTTGGGCTCAGCCTGCCTTTTTAGTGGCCCTGGGGTGGGTGGGTGGGTGTGTGTGTGTGTGTGTGTGTGTGTGTGTGTGTGTGTGTGTGTGTGTGGTGTGTGTGTGTATGTGCGCGCACACGCGCATGCGGGACCCAGGCAGGCCTGTGTGCCCGTCCCGGAAGAATGTGAAGGGCGTGAGGCCGAAGGGCTGCAGAGGTTTACTCGTTTCTCCCTCAGCTCTGCCCCTTCAGCGCCCCCCAATTAGGAAGAACCTCTAGAAGGCAGAGGGCATTGCATCCAGGCCCTGTGAAAGGTGCAGGAGCAACAGGTCCCAGGCATGGCCACTGTTGCCAACAAGTATATTCTCCAGAGCCAGCTCCAAGGAGTTAATTGGTGTGTTTTCTTTTTCCTGGAAATGGGTGATTAACTTTGCTCAGGTCTAAATGTATATATATGTAGGGGCTTCCTTCCTGAAAGCTTCCTCTAAGCCTGGTGCATAACCTCGTCTCTCCCTCTTACCTTTCAGCGGACAGCTCTGACAACTCTGATTTGGAAGATGACATCATCTTATCTCTGAATGAGTGAGGAGCCATCACCATGTGGAAGACATTCTTGACAGGCGAGAAACTGAGATGAATTGAGAACACCTTCCTTTCCCTTTATCTCCCAGGGCTGGCTTTTAAGGAACTGCATGCCCTGCATTCAGAGGATTATGGCTTAGAGAGCCTCACTGGAATCTGAGGGTCCTTCTAAAACAATAACAACCACAAAAAAGACAACTGGGGTTAGGCCCTATTCTGCTTCCCCCTTCTCCTAGGACGGACAGCTCTTTCCTCAAGGGGAAAAAAAAAAAAAAAAATGTCTCTGGGGTTATTTCACAATATATTTTCTTTGTATAAGGTTCTTTACTTAAAGAACAAGAAATAGTTTTTTATAAAATTTGAAAAGAAAAAAAAAAAACAAAAACAAAAACAAAACACCAGGCATTTATAACTGAGGGTTTGAACTTATATCCACCAGGTCTCTTGTCCCTGCACTTCATTTTCTATGGAAGAAAATGATGTCTAAAGAACAATATAGAGGCATTTTTACATACGTATTTAAATGAAAAGGAAAATCGTGGTTTCTTAAATTGATAAGGATTAAGAATATTTTATTATAAATATAATATATGATTTTTTAACCTGTTCTGTTGCCTCACATGCTGTCAGGTTAAGTGGTTTTCCTTCGTGCCAGAGGTGGGGAGGAAGGCAGTGCTTATTTGCTGAGTAAATGCCTAGATTCACCCACCTTCATGGTTTGGGGGCAGCAAGGTCGTTGTGGATACTGGTTTTGTGGAGTTGAGGATATAAGTTCACTCCCTCTCTTTTTCTTTGTGATTGTTTTTCAAAAATTTTTTTCTTCCCTTTCTCCCCAATGTGGAAATTACAAATCAAAGGCCTTTTTCTTTAATGTAAAGTGTATTTATTTAAAAAAAATACAAAATAAACTACAAGTCTGTCTTTGTTTATGGCCTTTCCCTGTTCTCTTTTACCAAGGAGTGGTGGTCCCTTACCCTGCAGCTCTAGCCAGCTGGTGGAGAAGAGGCCTTCTGAGAGAGGAGTCCAGGATGGTGGGAACTCATTCTGCCCAAATAAAGCACTCTGAGGAGAAAAGTAGCTCAGTCACAGTGTCTAACCCTGGTCTGCTGCCCTCCCCCGAGGGAGTATCGGGTCAGTGCCCGAGAAGCACGCTGGGGTAGTGGAGGAGGTGTTCGGGCATGGTCCCCTGTGGACACATCTGTCTGTCCCGGTTTCTGACTTAAGAAGGCAGCTCTGCAGTACAGATTTGGCAGAGCTGGGGAGTTGTGGAGGAACATGCTGGCAAAGCTGAGGAGTGGCCACCGCTGTAGTTGGTTGGGTGACCGTCATTACGGTTTCCTCAAGGGAGAGTTAACAGTGCATGAGAGCTGTCCTTCCCACTGGGCAGTTTGGGGCAGTGGGGGCTCAGGCAGGCTGCGCGTAGAGACTGGGCTCTGGCCTCCAAAATCAGCCTGCGGTCGTGGAACTGGGGTACTGCTGGGGGAGTGCCACGTGCTCTGACCTTTTCACTTAACCCACCTCGCCCTGCTTTTTTCCCACAACGAAGAGGAGACCATAGTCTCCTCCTTTGAGTTGCCCAAATAACAGCTTCTTGGTTTCTGTTGTGTAGTCATCAAGTAGCTAGAGACTTTTCTCCCTTTGGCGAGAGGAGAGGGGACAAATCCAGTTGTGAAGTAAACAAGACAAGGCGGCTGAAACTCACCAGGGGCTGGCAAAGCCCTGCTGGGCTCGGAGCACCATACAGTTGGTCACATACTGAAGTGGGCTTGTGTCACACAGGTAGCTCTCGGTCCTTTAGAGAACAGAGGGCTCAGCCCTTAATGCTGCTTTGTGCCTCAGCTTAAATGGGCCGCCGATACCCAGCGTGGAGTAGCCTGGGCTGCTGGTGCTGGATGCATCAAAGGGAAGCCAGTTAAAAGTCATGAAGTGAGAACGCTATTCTAGTCGTGAACTCAGCTGAGCCGCTGGCGGCCCCCCCCCCCCCCGACTCTACCAGCAGCTCTTGGGAGTGCCGCAGGTCTCTGGGGTGGAGCTGGGAACCTCCGCCAGGGAAGCTGAGTTCTGGTTGGCTTGACAACACGCCCTGAGAGGCTCAGGAGACATCAGCCCTCTTTCTTACTATACCAGGGCTTAATTAAGATCGGAGTGACTTAGGAGAAACATGTACAATACCAGCAAACAATGAGGCAAAATTTGCTGTAGGTGGTTTTTTGGCCTTTAAGTGACACGTCAGACAGGACCCGAACCCCCAGTTGGAAGCTCTGGACGCCTGCAGTGCAACTGCTCGCTCTCTGGGGCAGGCAGAAATCAATCAGAGCCTTGACCACCCGCCCTGCTAGTCTGTCAGAGAGTTCACAGAACCTGCTGTGTCTTAAGAGCCAGAGGAAGGAAGTGGTTGAGAAGAGGGTCCAAGGAAGAGGAGCAGGAGGAAGGTCACACGGGCCGTGGTTCTTTACCACAACTAATTCTTCTGGGGGCCAGAGAACACCTATCCCTGAGGAGTAGACAAGGCAAGGTTTGAAGTGTCTTCTCCAACCAGGTTTCCTAGCAGGTTTCCATCTGGGGATGCTGCTGGGCGGTGTAGGATTCTGGGTTCTGAGCACCCACTCTGAACAGCCCAGAGAAGTCTTAGACTGCACATGCAAGGCGACTCTGGCCTGTGTGGGACCCAGGCATTTCTCGAAGAAAGCAGGGAGCCCTGCAACGTGCCTTCAAGCCAGCCCTGGCTTGTTCGCTCTGAGCGAGGCCCGCTCCTGCCTCTGGCAGTACAGGCTTCCCTGGGATGGCGGAGCTGTGCTCTGCTGAGTCCCCCACGGACTGGCTCAGACCCCTAGCCGTTGTGGCCACAGCGCAAGCACGAACTCAAACGCGCTTAACGCTTCCTTCGTTCATGGTTTCTCTTGTGAACGTGCCTGTTCTCTCATGAGCACCAGCTGTGGCCCAGTGAGCAGTACCTCCCCAGGCACCTTCCCCTGTTGATTTTAAATCTCCAAGGTCTCAAAAAGCCACCCCTTTCCCTGTAGAGGCAGGTATCCTCCAGGCAGTCCACACAGCTTCAACCTCTACCTCAGGACAGTTTCTCTCAAAGCATCCCAGCTGTCACCCGTGTTCCTTTGCATGGGCTGGGCCGGGGACCAGGCCCAGAGAGTGGTGGGCCCAGCAGAACCTGGAGTTCCTGGCCAGTTGCCTCATTTCTCTTACTGAGGCTGCTGTTGGCCCCCAGCTGTGACAGCGATCCTCACGAACACTCTGAACAGTGTATGTGGACTCTGTTCTATGTGACAACTGTTTATGACTGACTGGGTTCCCTCCCTGGTCCCCAATGGTGCTGGCTTCATTTGCCCTCTGACCTCATTAGGGACCAGGGATGACCGTATTTTACTCTTTCCCGCCATCTTTCCCTCCCAGCTGGAGGATGCCTCCATATTCCTCCCCAGCTTGGCTTGATTGGCCTGACTAGCACTGCCCCCAACACCTTGGCACCTGTGACTTCATTTCCCCACAGAAACACCTCCCAGTGGTCCCACCTCAGCAGCAGGGCAAGAGGCCAAGGCACACGCTCCCACCTTATGCCTGGGAAACAGGTACGTCAGGTAAGAGCATCTTCCTAACCTCCTGTGCTCCCTTACAGTGTTGCAAAAATTCTTCAGTGCAGGGGTTCAGTGTCCCCTAAAAAGCCTAGCCCCCAAACAAGAAAGGAAGAACCAGAATTCACAAACACTGGGTAAATTTCAAAAATTAGCCAAAAGCAGCTTCTTTCCACCCTCTGTTCTGGCATCTGGCCTCCAGTGTCCCCGGGAGTCCGAGGCAGCTCTGCCTCCAGCTGGGTGTTCCTGCGCTGCCGCAACAGCCATGTTAAGGCTGAACAAGAGGGGGAGCCTGCGTCTGATCTGTGACCCTGTGGCATCAGTACTGTACTGGTCCCCCCCCTCCCCGCTACAAGACCACACGACTGCTCAACACTACCTGCTTCCAAAAGGCCCCCAAGATTGGGCGTGGTGGGACAGTCACAGCTCAAAACGAATGGACAGTGCAGGAAACAAAAACTCAAACCACCAAAGGCTATAGAGCTTAGGCTCACGGGCTCTGCTCAGGCAGGCAGGGCAGGGTCCAGAGGCAAAGTGAACCTGCTCTCGGCCAAGGCTAAAAACAAATGTGAACGTAGTCCTGACTGGGCCCAAAGAGCTGAGGGACTGAGCCACCAACACAGCAGGACTCGGGGCTATACCTGGGCTGCAAAGCTGACGTAGGGCATTTGTGTGCATGCAGTAGGGAAAAGTCTTCCATTCACGGAGGAAAAACTTGATTAAACCAGGACTCTGAACAGGATTAAAAATCCATCCTCTGACAAAGGCTTTACTGACAACTTTCCATACAGTTAGTCAAAAAATAAAAAAAATACAGAACACAGCAGACAGTATCTTGTACACTAGAAATCAACGTGACAGGAGTCCCTTTCTCGTTGCTGTAAAAAAACAAAACAAAACAAAAACAACAAACAAACAAAAACCCCCCCCGGAAAACTAAGAACTTAGTTTTGGTGGGGGTCAGGACTCTGGTCCCCCATCCAATGAACCAAAATAACCCAGCAGAGAATTCAAACCAAGGGGATAGGATGTGGGGAGGGAGTGGTGATCAGATTTTTAAAATAATTGCTTTTTGTGACACAAATGCGGAGCTGCAAATAGGTCTGGGCTAGGCAGTGTCTCTTACTATAACTATCACCATGTGTTCTTCCTCTAGCTTGCCCAATGTCCTCAGTGCTGACTGGAGGTACTGCTGTGAAAAGTCGCAGGGTGGGAAGGCATAGAGCATGCCCGTGCTGTCTCTGCCCTTGGACCCACCCACCGGCAGGCTGATCACCCCCGCTGCCTGCTTCTGTTTCAAGTAGGAGACCAGGTTCCTGAGAAGCCGCCTCTGTAGGCCTGGCTCCACCGCGGGCATCCCCTCTGTGCCAGGCCCGCTGGGGGTCGCCTGGGTGGCGAGGAGCACCGCATAGCCGTTGGGGCTCCCCTGCTTGATCCGACGCGTGACCTCATCGAGCTTGGGCTGGTCCAGGCGCAGACGCTGCGCGATCTTCAGCTGGGTCAGCTTGCTCCCGGAAGTGTGGTCTTTGAGGAGGCCAGTGATGACCCCCTGGTCCCCCTCCAGGATGTGCATAGATGTCGGGAAGCAGCTGTTTTTCAACACCAGGAGCCCATTCCAGCCCAGCTGCAGGGTCTGGGCATACTCGGAAAGATTCTTGAGCTTTTTGGTCTCATGTTTTGGCTCTTCCAGAGGCTTGGCCTCAGCCTCAGCGGTCCGATGATTGCGCTCGCTCTCTCGTGTCTTCTTCCCATGAGAAGAGTCTGGAGCCTCATGGTGGTGGTGGTGGCTCCGCTCCTCAGCCCCATGTCTGCTGTTGCTGAGGGAGTTGCTGCTGCACTCCTTGGTCCCCTCACTGGAGTGGTTCTCCTTACGGCTGCGCTCAGGAGTGCGGTCAGAGCCCCGGTCCACCTGCGGCCCACCACCCTTGGTCCTGCTCCGTTCCTCGTAAGGGGAGTGGGTTGTCCTCCCTCGGTCACTGGAAAGGCTCCTCCGCTTCCGCCTCTCCTCCCAGGGCTTGGGCAGGCCCCGGTCCCCATCTCCCCAGCGTTCCCCACTCCGGCTGCGCACTGACCGGCTGTAGCCCTCCAGGCTGTTCCGGCGGTCAGAGCTTTTACTAGGGCTGGTCCAGTCCCCTTCCAAAAAGGTCCGGTCTCGGTCCGAGTACAGGAGGTGGGGGGGGGGTCCTATCCCGCACCCGTAGGTCTGCATCCAGGTTTCGGTGCCGGGTATATCCGTCGGGCAGCAGCTCATAATGCACAGGGAGGGGTGAGGGCTGGTACTGCTGGGGATACCGAGTCTCCTCTGCTTTGGCAAAATCCACACGCAGCCTCCGGTCTGGACCACCCAAGGGAAAGCCTCTCATTTTTGCACAGGCGGCCTGAGCTGCATCCAAGCTCTCGTACTGGATGTAAGCAAAGCTATCTCCCTTGACGTGATCAATGGTCCGAATGCTCCCAAAGCGGTCAAACTCCCGGGCCAGAGCGGCCAGTGAGGTGTTAGGTCCCAGGCCGCCCACCCAGAGGCGAGTGGTGGGGTTGGCCTTGCCATAGCCTATCTTAATGGGGTTTCGGCCAATCACCCGGCCCGACATGGCCACCTTAGCCCTGTGGGCCATGTCTAGGTTCTGGAACTTGAGGAAGGCATACGCACCACCCTGGCCACGGGCAGGTCTCTTAATGACCACTTCCTCAATGATGCCGTACTTCTCAAAGGCCCGCCGCAACTCCACCTCAGACACGCTGTGGTCCAGGTTCCCGATGAAGAGGTTGCGCGTGGCCCGCTGATCATCTTCAGGCATCAGGTCCTCCTCACACACAGCAGGGTAGCCGTAGGGGCGCCCGCGGTCGTCATACAGCCCGTAGTAGTCCAGGGCCCGCTCCCGGGATAGTCCCACTGCGGCAGCAGCGGCAGCATCCAGGGCAAAGGCTGCTGCAGCGTGGCGGGCGCGGGGCTCTCGCAGCGGCGGGGCGGCTACTGGGGACAGCGAGCGCTGCTTGTACTGGTAGCCGCCGTGCAGGGGTAGGTAGCCGAGCGGGTCGGCGGGCGTGGGCGGCCCCGGGGGCGGCGTGGAGGCGGCAGCGCTGCTGCTGCTGCTTCGCCGGCTGCTCCCGCCGCCGCCGCCGCCGCCGCCGCCGCCACCACGCAGGTACACGGGCTCCACCTTGAGCGGCCGGTCGTAGAGCAGCAGCTGGCGGGCCAAGGCGTGCTGGCGGGCCTCGCGTGCGTCCTGCGGGTGCCGGAAGTTCACGTAGGCCACGCGGCCCAGCTCCGGTGTGTGCGACAGGCGCAGGCTGATCTCGCCGAAGCGCTTGAACTGGTGGAAGAGCCGGTCCTCGAGGTGCTCGGCGGGCAGCGCGGGGCTGAGGCTGCTGATGAGCAGCGTCTTGTACTCGGGCGCGGCTGCCGAAGAGCCGGGACCCGCGGGCTCAGCCCCGGGAGGTGGCGGAGGTGGTGGCAGTGGAGACGCGCGGGGTGAAGCACCTGAAGCGCCTGGGTCCCCGGAGGCCTTGCCGCCGCGTCCCCCGCCGCCGGCGCCCGAGCCCGAGGAGCGGCCGCTGCTCGCACGGTGATTTGCGTCCCCGGCGCCGCGGCCGTCACGATGCCCACCCCCGCCGCCCCCGCTACCGCGGGGTTTGTCTCGGGCCCTCGCTGGAACGGGATGCTTGGCGCCGCCCGAGGCCTTGTGCGCCGCCCGCCGCCCGCCCGCCTCCGCCTCCCGTTCGCGCTCCCGCGGCCGCTTGGCCGACGATGACGAGCCGCGCCCGCTCGGGCTCGAGTCTCGCTCGCTCTGCCTCTTCATGGCGCCGGCGCGGCGGGCGGGCGGGCGGCCCGCAGGCCCCTCACAGAGGCGGCGGCGGCGGCCGAGGAGGTAGCGCCCCCGGCGCCGCCATCTTGGACAAAAGGACTCGGCGCGGCGGTGGCGGCGGGGCGGGGCGGGAGCGGCGCCCAGGGGCTGGGCGTCGCGTTATCAGGCTGCGCCGGACTGTCACGTGACCCCGCAGCGGGCGGAGCGGAGCTGCGCCGGCGGCGTCATCGGAATGCGCCGCCCCCATGTCACGTGACCCCCGGGCGTGCGAGCGAGAGCTGCCCGACAGCGAGCTCTGGCGCCACCGCGCGGCTAAGGGGCCGGGCTACGCGGAGATCCGGGACCTCGCCAGAACCCGGCTGGTTCGCCCTGTCTCCGACCCCGGCGGGCTGCAGGCCCTAGGCCTCTCGCTTCCGGCTCGGGGGTCCACGCTGCGTGGAATGGGAGTGGCAGCGTCTTTGGGCGCCGGGCTCCCTCGTCTTGACCCAGCGCGGCCTCTTTACGTGGCATCTCCCCAACCCGGCATCTCCATAGCATCTCCCGACTGTGGTCGGGGATAGGCAGGCGAGAGGACCTAAGCACGCTGCTTCCTAGGCCCCGTCCTGGACCCACATCCCGCAAAGCAGACATCCTCCGCGTTTACGTATCACGCAGCAGACCCCGGAAAGGCCGCGACGACCACGGGCTATGAGTGCAAAAGGCGAGGCCCGTCTGGGTTCAGAAAAACCCAAGCCAACAAACCTGCCGTTTACCGAATGGGAATAGTCTCCTTGGTGCCACAAGGGTCCACCCTCTGCTGCGGCCTCCCGGGCGGATAGTGGGCTGTAAGGGCAGCGCCAACGGAACCAAGGGCGGAGGCTAAATCCAGTAGTTACCACAGCTTGCACGCTTACCTCTCACTGGCTAGTGCCTCTCTATCCACCTCCAGGGTCAGGACCTCTTCTCGAGGTGAGGTGCAGCGGCGGGGAGAATCCTGCCCAGTTGCCCAAGCCCCGTTGGGAACGTGTCATCTCCAGAGAGCTGCTGGGCGCATCGCAGGACCTGACCCAACTTCTGCAAGGAAACCTTAGGGGTGGGGAAGAGCCTACCAGTTCTTTCTCCTCCCACGGTCATAAATAAAGCTGCTCTTGGAGCAGCTGAGGCAGATGCAAGGGGAAAGCTCTTATAAGAAACACCTGTTAACAGTTGCCTGATCGGAACACTTCCAGAATGAGTTAACCCTTTGTAGATTGCCTTGGGGGTCAGCCCTAGAGCAGTACTGGTTGGTTTTCCCTGTGCCTGCCTTCAGTGTGGCCTGTAGGCCACGGCTGTCCGCCTCCTAAGACTTCTGTCTTGAGGTGTGGATTTTCCCAGTACCTGGCGGGGCCTCAGGGCACTGCACTTGTCAGATCTTAATAGCCCACCTAATTCCTCCAAAGAAGGAAGTCTTGGCCTGAGAAGTAGCTCAACCTTCTTGCCCCCCTCCTAGAAACCTGGTGTTGAAGATACGAAATGTGGGACTGCTGCTGGCTCTCCTTAGTGGACGCCACAGCAGGTGGTGAGAAGGCCTATGGAGGCAGACTGAATTTAACAGCATAAACGATGTGATCTGAGATCTTCTTGGGAAGCACTGCTTTAGTCCTTCCCTTCAGGTGGTCTTGGCAACCCAAGAAGCAGAGGGGTCTCCACCAAGTCAGAGCTCATGCTGATAACTGAGTTTCCCAAAGCCAGTCCTGGAGAGGAGCTGAAAAACCAGACTCTGGGGACAAGACTTCATTGGTTGGACTTCTCTTGATCAACAAGGCAAAAGGCACCCTCTCACTGACTTTGTATAAACCAACCCCTGTAAGTCTTGCAGAACCCCAACTAGGCATCAGAAACTTGGGACTGGACGGTGGTGGGCAGAGGTAGCCAGGCCAAGAGCATGTCTAGAAACGTGAGGGTACTGAACACTGGCAGTTACTGAGGTCATCCTCTGAGAAGGCCCCACGAAAGCCCCTCCCTCGTACACCAGATTCAACCCCCTGTGCTCTGCACGAAGCCCCACAGCTTCTGACTCCTCTCCTGGGACTCCCACTTGAAGTCACCTCAGGGTGGTGCATCAGGCACAGCCTACTCCCGGGCTCCCCCCCCCCCCGCCCCTGACACCTCAGCCCGCGTCCTGCCCTGGCGTCTGCAGCCCTGGTTGCTGAGGGATGAATGTGACAATATTGGACAATTCTTTGTGAACTGGAAAGCATAAACTGGTGGGATCTTCGATAGGGTTGAAATCCCATTTCAGATTCACTTTAATTCTCCAAGGACAGCTAGAAATTTTCTTCCTTTAATAAAAAATTCCCAGACACACTTTGAAGTCCTAGAGTAAACCAGCAACAGAACAAAGTGAATCCCCCCAGGGGGGCGCTGGAGAGCCAGCTTCGTCAGGAAAGCTCCAGGCTTCACACCTGACATTGTCAGGAGCCCGCCTAAAAAATAAATTACAAAAAGGCTGTGGGGAAGACGCAGGTGAGCTGCTTTCCCCTCAGGTGCAGCAGGGACCAGGCCGACTACAAATCAGTCCGTGAACTGGCTGCCTTGGGGGCATATTTAGGCATCAGTTCATTAATCTTCCGGATGTAGTCAGACTTCTCTGCGCAGCCTTTGCACGTCTCCCCCCAGTCGTCCAGGATCTTCTTCAGCTCTTTGACCCGGAGCTTCTTCAGGTCCACCGTGCTCAGGTCGATCTGCTTGTCTGGAGGAGAAAGCAGGGAGAGCTGGTGGGAGTGGCCGCAGATACCCCCACCCGCCCCCAGCCCCAGTGCCAGGAAGGGTCACCCCTGTACAGCCCCCCAAGCCCTTAAAACAAGCAGCCCTACTGGCTGGAGGGGGACAAACATTTCAGACACCTGCAGTTGCGTGTCTGTGCTCACCGCCTCGACCTGGGGGAACTGGCTTGAGGCCCTTTCACCAGAAGGCCGGTCTCACCCAGGCAGCGTCCACCCGGACATGCAGTGCTGCCCAGGACTGGGACAGAGGCCACGTGGTCCTTATAGGACGAACCTTACAGAAGAAATGTGGTGTTGCTCCGCACCCCCCGCCCCGCCCAAGTGCCTTGACAACTAGTCACAGTAGAGATGAAGTCACTGCAGAGTGACAGCTCCAGGGTGACAGAGCAGACAGATCCCCTAGTTCCAATTTCCCCACACAGGCCCTGGTTAGGAGCTTACTCCCCATGACTTGTGAGCACAGAGAGACTGTGAGCCAACTGCTCCTGCCCCAGGTCCCTCTCAGGAGACTAGGCATCCTTGACACAAGTGGGCAAACACAGGCCCTTGGACACTCGAGTCACAATAAAATATGTTGGTTTTATAGAGAAGGGTAACTATTCCTGGTCCTGACTCTGAGGACCTGGCCTGCTTTTTTCCACCAGAGATCTGTTCGACAAGAGGGGTGCCGCAGCGCCCGGAACTCTTGGGCCTGCCTGTCTGCACACAGCATTTCTCTTCAAATAAAGATCACTGGGCCTTCAGCAGGATGAGCCAATTAAACCCAGGTCGGGCCACATCCCTTCTCCACTCAAACACCCATGTTGCCAGGGTCTGGGTGGCTCAGCTGGTTGAGCGTCTGACTCTCGATTTCGGCTCAGGTCATGATATCGGGGATCGTGGGACCAAGCCCCACATAGGGCTCTACGCTCGGTGGGGAGCCAGCTTGAGATTCTCCCCCTGCTCCCCCCTTCTCTAAAATAAATCAGTCTTGTGGGGGGAAAAAACCTCTCTGTGCCCCTGCAAACCAAAACCAAACAAAAGCACGTTCCCAACTTCACTCAGATTAAAGACCTAAAGCCAAATGTTCACCAGCCTGCGAGGCCCTGTGCCCTGCCCACCCGTCCTACACTGTGTCCTCTGCCTGCAATGCTCTTCCGTCAGCTCATCTCAGCTGATCTGCCGCCTTTGAAGTCTGCTGAGTGTCATCTCCTCCATGAGGCCTCTCCTGCCAGGTCCGTACCCCCGACCCCTCACTTGGCACCACCGGTCCACTCCACAGCTCACTGGCCGCGCTCGTCTCTCACCAGCCTGTCCCAGCTAGAAAGCCAGCTCCGTGAAGCCTGAGCATGAAGGCTCTGTGCTGATTCGGTAAGGACTGGCCACACTCACCATACTTGAGCTCACAGATCTGGCTGTCCTTCTTCTTGAGCTTCTCACAGACCTTCTCCACAGGGATGTGGTGAGCCAGGGGCTTGGACACCTCATTGATGATCTTAGTGGCAGCGTCATCTGTGGCCCCGATGTAGTAGCACTGCAGCAAGAGAGGACAGTGGCCTTCAGGCGGTTCCACCGGAGGGCCTTCTCCTCCGCAACACACTGACCGCTCAAAACCTCTCTCTCGGGCAGGGCCTCATGCTCCCACGCCCCGCCTGTACTGGCAGTCCAGTTCGGTCAGTGTAAACCTGGGCTCTCAGTACATGCCCAGTTCCAGAGTTGACAGCCTCCAAATAAGTTTATGAGTCACCAGGATTCAGACCTTTAAACAGAGACAGACAAACCAGCGACTGCCAGGGAAATTAAAGCTACAAAAGTCCTTGGTTCATTAGTAAGGCTCTTGTCCTCAATTCAGCCCTAGCCCCCCGCCCGTGCCCAGTTTGTTATCTTCTTGTGTCCTTGCTCATGGCCTCTCCTGCTCACAATGGCTGTTCCCTCTGCCAGAGATGCTCTTCCTCAGAGTCTTGACTATTCTACCTGCATCTACCTCTCCCCTCTCTGCCACAGCACCCTGGCCATTTTCTCCAGTACACTCATCCCATGGCATCATTTGCCCAACTGTCATTTCTCCCCACTGATCCCCCCAGTGCCCGGCACACAGTAGGTGCTTAGTCAATACTAACGTGATAAAAAACAGCCCAACTCCAGAATGCATGAAAGCACTCAAGTCCCACACCAGCACACTGACACAACAGCACACCTCCTGAGCACAAGTGGGCGGGGCCAGTCAGGGAGGGGAACCAGCTACTCACCAACCGATTCTCTTTGCCTCTTGCTTCCCGGCAGAATTTTATAAGTTCTTTTTCAATAGAGGACGGTGAGAATGTGACATCTCTGTCTTTGAGGTCCTGATAAAATCTTCCCAGATAGGAGATACAGACTGGAAAAGAGGGGGAAGGGAGATGCTCAGCAACCACCAAGTTGCACCCCAATCCATCAGGAGGGAACACGGTCAGCAATTTTAATAGGAGACACGGAGGTGAGTTTTTCCATCACCGGGGTTTCTCAAGTGCCCACAGGCCGATAGAACCCGGCTCCGGGTTGCTGGGGTCCCCTGGTACACCCAGGGCACGCGGGGAACGAGCATCACCAAATGACCCACACACGGCTCCTCCCTGCTCCTTCCACAAAGTTTATGCCGAGGCTGAACACGTGTCCTTGAGATGGACTCACTGTGACCTCATAAGAGGCCAAACCGGAGAGCGAAGACAAAAACGATCCAAATGCTTCTCATTTCCAAACACAACACCGAACCCCGAGGTGCGGCTCCGCAAGCCCACCGGACCCGGCGCGGTGCTCAAGGCTGGCCCTAGGGGCTCCGGACATGAGCCAGGGAGAGCCTCTGCCCCAGTGATGGGAAAGGACAAAAACTCCGGCGTTATCGCAATGTCAAGCCAAGTTTTCTCCACGATCTGGTCCCAACTTTTTCTTGTCGGACTAGCTTCCTAGGCCCGAGAGCTGTTTCCTAGGCCGGCGTCTGCTCCTTCTCGGGCGGACCCCGCTGGGACCGGCCGCCGCCCCCTCCCGTTCCAGCCCCGGCCTCTCGGCCGTTCGGCGGTGTTCAGCGCCGCCAAGCCAGCCTTGGCGCGCGGACCCCGGCCCCGCCGCACCTTCGCAGTCGCCCGGCCGCAACGTCCGGCCGCCCGGCAACACGCTCAGAGCAAGCGCCACCGCCAGCCCGTGCGTGGCCCACATCCTCCACCTCCTCCTCCTCCGCCGCCGCCGCCGCCGCCGCCCGACTGAACCGCGCCCGCCGTGAGGCGCTACCTCCAGGTCCCGGCCGCGCGCCGTAGTTCCCCATTGGCGGGCGGCCCCCGCGCCCTCCCACAGGCCGCGCTCCTATTGGTCCACGCGCCTGGGAGCCAGACCGGCGGCTCCACGCTGCCCTTTCCTATTGGCTGGTAGCGTCACCCGCCCTTAGCCCTAGACAGTTGTCGGCCGCTGATTGAACCAGGGCGTCCGGCCGGAAGCGGCCGCGGGGGCGGCGGAAGCGGCCCGGGACGCCATCTTGAGTAGGGGCAGCGGCGGTGCCTGAAGCCGGAAGTCTCGGGCTGGAGTGGGATACGGACGCAGGTCCGCGCCCCAGAATTATCCCAAGTACCCTCTGCTCTGGGCCTTACGCTGGCCCGAGAAGCCCCGAGGACTTCTCCTTCCGGGGTCCCGACTTGTGGCGCAGGCCAGCATCTCTGGCGTCAATCGCTGCCCAAAGGGCAGGCTTCGGGTGACGGTCCTTTCCATTTTTTAAAACGATCCCGAGTGGGGGACCTAGGCTTCGGGGAGCGCCCGCGAGTCCTGCCGACCAGGCCCGAAGGTGCGCATTAGGCCGGAGGCCGCCTTTTTCGGGCTGACCGGACACCAGCTCGGGTGGACAGACGCTGGGCTGGAGGATTTCCCATAGGAAGCAACTCCCCTCCCCAAGCTGCCGTCCCAGGCCCCAGGAAAGCGCCTGGCCTGGTTAAGCGCTGTCGGTGTGCGATCCGAGCTGGCCCGCGTCGGTGGGGAGCTAAAGGGCTGGACTGCCGCCGCTGGCGGCAACGCTCCGGGGGAATCCCTGGTTGCCGGGAGCGCCTCTTGAGTAGGTAGGGGCCCACCAGTCAGCGGACAGGCACTGGAGAGGGTTTCCTCTTTGCCTGTCCTCCATTCAGGTTCTGTCTCAAGGCAGGACTTTGGAAAGGCTGGCTCTGTGCTCTGGGCAGAGAGATTCCTATGGGGCTAAAGGGCTTGGAGCCCAGCGACGAAGATTGGAGAGGGGGCACTTGGGCTGCTCCCATTCAGTGAATTCAGTGAATTCAGTGGGTCAGTATCAGGTATTCATCTTTAATTCACATCACAGCAGTCAAGGGAGTGGGGAAAGGGGAAAAAATCAAGTGGCAGATATTTACATCTAAAATTCACATTACTTGTTGGATTTAGAACATGCTACCACAATATATACAGTAAAATACCTCTTGGGACACTAGTACAAATTTTTTTTTCTTTTAACTTTGCTTTCTGGTACAGGTAAGATAATTTTTAAATCACTTTTTTAAACATAAATACATAAAAGAAATGGTTAGAAGTCTTATTTTAAATAAGCACAGAATGCTGGAGGTTAAAAACACATTTATAGGGCTGAATACCAATTGGACATCACACTCTATACATTTTTTGCTCAAATTCCTGTACAAATACACAGCATTCAAATAAGTATTTACAAATAAGCTTGAAAGAATGAAAATCAGTGTTTCACAATCTTTTCGGAAGATTCTCATTTCTGGCCTCCCACTTCCCCTCAGACTGGCGTTCTCCAACAAAAGGGATTTGGATTATGTCCTTTTCATCCAGTTGGGGAAAATGGAAAGGGAAAACAAACCTCCTCACCTTGCATGAAAACGCAAGGCCAAACCAACCCACACTCCCCGCCCTACCATCCTGTGCCACCAGGTGGAGAAGGTCGATGTTCTTATGCAATGACTGCCTTGTCCAGGGATTGATGTTCAGAAGTGCCCTAAACTCTAAAGTTGCCCTCCCACCGAAGTCTCACACCCAGAGCTAGCCCCTGACCCTCTAACACTTGTGAACACCAGATGCTCCAGGCCTGCCCTCTGAGGTTGGGGCTGCGATGACTGATCCACTCTGCCTGGAGCCATCCTTACAGTATCGGGAAGGACCCACACTGGTGAGAAGCACCCCCCAGATGCCCTGAGGGTAATGCGCCCCTCCATCTTTCCCAATAGGTTACTTGCTGGCATTCCTGTTCAGTAAGCTGGCATTCGTGTACAAGAGAAGAACACCCTGGCCGGCCTTGTCTGTTTGGAAAGAGGGACTGTAGGGAAGGGGTGGGGGTCTAGGGCCCGGGGCCTGGCCACGGAGTCAGGCCTGCAGAAGAGAACTACAGGAGAACACACCTGTTCAACAAGGAGAAGGCCGCCTTGTGACCATCAAAGTTGTGAACTCAGGCAAATGAAAGAAAAATACTGTAGACTATTTTTTTTTAGAAGCACCCTGGTAAGATACTATTCCCGTCCCACCCTATCCCCCCAAATAATGAACCAAGAGGAAAATCAATGCCCTGACCTGAAAGAGTTTCCTATAAAGACACCACTGCCCTCTGCCCAACAGACTGGGGAGGCTGGAGAAAGTAGCCTCATGCCCGCCCCGAACCCTGAGTGGTGGTCCCCGTGGGCCTGGAGTATGTTGGGGGTGGGGGAGGGAGGCGCGGCGGGACAAGGGGCAGGGGCTGAGACGACAACTGCACTTGGCCACTTGGAAGAGGATAATTCAACCTGCTTGGCTCTCTGCTTCCAAAAGGGAGAGCTCCCTCCCACCCTCTTTACCCAGGAGCTTGCTGAACCTGACTGCGAGTCCTCAGGGCTGGAAGCCTGGCTGGGCAGCCAGCCCCACTGCTCAGAGGTAGTGCTGAAAATCCCTGATTCAGGAGCTGGACGACAGGCATTCTGGCCACTTCTGAAAGCTCAGAGGATTTCCGGCCCCTGCCACACCCCAGCCTCACTCCCATGCCAGCTCTTCTCTCAACATTTGGCCTCCTGGACCCCGGGGAGGAAGGTGCCTAGGGCAGTCCCTCTGGCTCCATACCCCCACTCAAACCCGAGAGGGTGGGAGATAACCTTTGCAGATCCATTCGCCAGCAGGGGGGTTCCTGCAGGGCATGAGGTGTACTGGGAGTGGAAGTGAGCAAATGGTCAGAAATAAAAGCGATGGAGGGAAAAATCCAAGGTAGAGTGGAAGGCAGGGCTGGCCCACGGAAGCCTGGCAGTGTGCCCTGGGCGTGCCTTAGGCCAGGTCACATGCCTGAGCTGGCAGGTTGGCCCAAGCAGCCCCTCAGGTGCACACTCCTGGATGGAAGAGTGGGCGGGTGGGTAGGCTTTTGTGCAAAACGGCTTGTAGCTCCCTTGTCCACCTGTGACGTGTAGTCCACGTGGTCCTTGCAATCCCTGAATACAACCATGAGCTCTTCTGTCCATGCAGCAGCGGAAGAAGTCCCTAGTGCAATTTCCATTCTTCTGTGCCTCTCTGCCCTGGAGGGAGGGCCTGGGCTCTGACCCCCGGGCCCTGCAAAGCTGCAAAGCAATTCTGTCTGTGCAATATCTCCGTATAGCTCCACGTGGTCTGGAACTGCAGGAGGAAGAAAGCATCTACTGCACAAAGGAAAGAAAGGAAAACCCATAGAAATGGAAACGTAGAAAATGAACTAAAAAGAGAAGCCACAACCCTTCATGCTGCTGTGGCCTCTGTACATGGCAACACACGAGTTCACGGCAGTAGAACGTAGACTCGGGGTGGCTCTCTCCTGAGTGCCGGGCCTCTCGGCTCCCTGGGGTAGGGGGGACTTGCTTCTCAGACCTGGAGTGGCTGGGCAAGCTGCTCACCTCGGGCGGTGTCCCCGCCGCCTCCCTGCCCCTCACTGTTCCCCGCGGCTGTGCTCCCAGGCCAGGCGGGCCTGCTCTTCCTTGGCGCTCCCAGGGGGCAGCGAGGCCTTGCGGTGCAGGCCCCGGGGCCGGTCTGCGTCTTCGCGAAGCAGCACGCCCTCCTCGTGCTCCAGGGCTGGCAGGCGGCTATGGTAGGGCTTGGGTGGCAGCGCGGGTGGGTCCATGGGGTCCTGAGGGACGACGCACCCGGGGGCTGAGTGGCTTCGGCATGGCTGGGCCTTGATGGAGTCCAGGACTGCGGACTCGGAGAGGCTGTAGTGGACAGGGAGGTAGGGTGGCTCGAGATCTTCGTCGGCGTTCCAGGCCTGGCTCGGCATGGAGTCCATGGTGTCGGTCCGAGGCGGGGCCTCCGAGGAGTGCCCAAAGTTACTCTCGCTCAGGGAGGACACGCCGCTGCTGGCGCTGCCCGACAGGGTAGAGTTGCTGCCATCCAGACCCGACTGGGGGCTCGTGGGGGAGGCCGGGATAGGGTGGAGAGGAGACTGCAAAGCAAAGGGCGGGCATGTTAGAACTTCTCCTGCGGACGGGTTGGCGGCTTGCTGCGTGGAGGAAGGGCCAGGTGCTCGCACTCATTGGCTGCCCACTGGTCTCTTCGGCAGCCACCTCCCAGCAAGCCAGGGGAGCCCCAGAATCAGCACCATCTCTGTGGGCAGAAATGGCTCTGCCCTGAGCACTAGGCACTTGCACCCTGTGGCTCTGGGGTGCTGACAGAAAGGCTGGGTCAGCAGGCCAGTGGGCAGAGCAGAAAGAACCCCCAGGACCATGGGCCAGATGAATGGGCTCTGCTGCTAAAACCTGTGACCGAGTCCATCTTTTCCAATGTGCAGAAAAACGAGTGAGTTTTCATGAGACTTTGCTGCCTCCTGCCTCTTGCTTTTGACTGGACTCCAGTTTAAAATAATCTACTATCTACCATGGGAGTATTTCTTGCCTTCTTGAATTGTGTGCCGTTACCTGGTAACACCAGCAGGAGCCCCCCAGCCCCTCACTGCCCCTTGTCCGTGCACCCTGGCACCGTGTGTTGCCGTCCCCCTTACCTCCCTGGCCCCTCACACTGGTTCCAGGACACATCAGTAATCTACATCTCAAGCATGGCCCTGGGCACCCCTAGCTTCTGTCGGGCTGGGTGCTCCGGGAGGGAGCAGGGAGGGCTGTGGCTCATTTCATAGAGCTGATTCCAGAGCAGACCAGAAGGTTCTGCTCACCACCCCCAACCCCGCTGGGACTGTTGCTTCAGTACATTACCTTGCGCAGAGTCCGGGCAGGCAGGGCTGGGGGGGTGTCACCCAGGGGGTGGTGGAAGGCGTCGAAGTGTAGGGAGTAATGACCTGCAAAGGGAATAGAACCAGAGCCTCAGCTGGGACCCCTCTGGGGCTGTGTGGGCACATCTTGCTGGGCCAACTGGGCAGCCGTGGGAAGAGGCTCCTGGGGACCTCTCGGTGTTGAAGACCACAGGAAAACCTCTCTTTTCACTGGAGTTCTCCAAAACAGGCTGCTGGAGTAAAAGACACCTGTGCCACACAAAAAGTCAAGAAGGTCGAGTACATCAGAGCCCACAGGATGACAGGCCGCCGCCAACTGGCAGCCCTCCGGCAGGCTGGTGGGTAGCAGGCTTGGCACAGTCGGTTCCATTGTCTTCGGCCCCCCTGGCTGGGAAGGCCTGACTGAGCTCACCTGCTGTACTTGGAAACCTCACAGACCCCAAAGCCCAGCAGGATCCTTCCCGTGGTGGGGATGGTTTTTCCTTGGCTGAGTTAGCCCAGAGAATGGGCCATCTTCTTAGTTTGGAGGGCTGCTGTCCTTGCCCCTGAGTAGAGTCTGAAACCAGGGACTATCTGGGGGACCCGCTGGAGGTCTTCTTACCATGCAGCAGGCTTCGGGGAGGCACTGGGGGGGCCAGGATGTGCCCCATGTGGGCAGACAGGAAGGGCTGGGCCTCTTGGGCTCCACTATCCAGGCTCCAGCTGCTGGGGGCTGCTGGCACCGCTGAAGGGTGGAAACAGATGGCAGGAAGGGAGGTTACTTCTTGAGCCATCCTCGGGGAGAAGCCCATTCTATGGCCTCTGGCTTCTCCAGGTGTGCACTATGTACCCAGCACGTGTAGGAGTGACACGCCAGCCCCCCCAAAAGCTGGCCAAGTGAGATGCTGTGGCCCAGAGGAGAGGGACAGAAGCTGCTTACGAGGATGGCACCAGAGGGAGTGGGCATCTGAAGAATACTTAGGGGGAGGCAAGCTGAGAGGATAGCAAGGAATGAATGTCTGCAGCCTGTGGGACTTGCCAGGAAGAGGATAGAGAACAGAAGAAATGAGCAGAGCGGAGTGGAACGGGCTGAGGAGACAGAATGTAGAAGAGGGCAGCCACAGAGCTCCTCCCCAGAGCCATGTCAGGGCTCTCTGACTGCCCTGGCCCAGTGGGAAAACCAGGGAGCACCGAGGGCAGGAGGCAGACACCGCTTCCTCCTAGAGCTAGTGCCCGGCTGGGGGGCTGGGCAGGGGCTGGGTCCCAGAGGGCCTGTGGCAAGCAAGCTCTGCCCATTGACTGGGTTTGGAAAGCACAAGGGGTTTTCAGGCAGGGACCGGTGTTCAGTGTGCCTGCTGGAGGAAAGAGTATACAGCCCAAGAGTTGTAGCTCAGGTCTGGCTGGACCGGTGGCTTCCCTAAGAAGGGGAAGGACTGTGGAACCAATGGTGCTTTGAGGCCTTAGAGAAAGATCCCGTTCCTGGCACCCACATGCCACAGACGCAAGGTAGAGTGGCCTTGGACAAAGGGAAACAAAGAGTGTCCACCTGTGCTAAGGAAGGCGTTCAGTGCCAGAATACTTGCTCCCCGTCCCCCAGCCATGGCTGGGATGACTGACTTTGCAGGAAGGAGATGAAACGAGGAATGGCTAGACCTCAGGCTCTGAGGGGCCCTCTACCAGAGCAGAGCAGCAGAGGACATGTGAATCCTGTTAGCCAGCTCCTCCTGGAGACACGATACCACCACCAAGAAATGTGCCTTTACTCCAGCGGAGCCGGGAAGCATAATCTCCCTTTTGGGCTGTCAGGGGCAGGGCAGCAGCTCAGAACCTGTGCACCTGGCCGCTGGCTTTGTACTCAGGCAGTTGTAGCTAAACTGGGCCTCAGGAGTCTGGGGTCTGGGCTCTCCTTGCTCCAGGTACTGAGCAGGGAAAGCTAGGGCCTGAGAGGCTCTGGAAGGGAAGAAGCTGGAATCCAGCCTTCAAGAAGGATGTGGTCAGGAGGGGCCCGGCCCCTCCTGAGATAAAGTGGTGATGTCCTTCCTCTTCCTCCCCACTGGTCTGGAACTGGAGTGGGGGCCTGAAGCAGAACACAAAGCAGAACTCTACTGTCTGAACAGACTCAGTTCTCAGGACTGCACAGTCCCGTGGGATGGTGGACGGCTGGTGGCAGGAGGGGCGAGGCAGTGACGGGGAGGACGGGCACTCAGCTGTTGCCTAAAAGGAGGAAAGAATTCTGAATCTGATGAACAGCACCAGGTGGATTCTACCAGAAGTCCTCCTCAGGGAGCCCAAGGCTTCTGAAGAACAGGACAGACCCATTCTCCCACAGGCTCTCTGCAAGATGGGGCAGGAGCTCCTGGGTCCTCAGCACTGAAAAGAGCCACCGAATCTTAGAAATTAAGAAGCTTGGAGGTGGGTCTGGGTAGCTTCCCCAAAAGGGTGCTGACAGCCCAAGCTCTCCGTGCACATCAAGGCCCTAGAAGAACTGCGGGGTTGCAGAAGTTCACCCAAGAGCCCGAAGTAACCTGCAGGCAGGGAGGCTCTGGGGGAAGAAAGCTGGCGAGGCTGCAGGGCTTTACAAAGCGCGCCTGCCTGAGCCCATCCATGCGACCGAGAAGTCATCCAGTTCACCCTGCAGCCTGACGTCCGGGAGCTGCGTGGCCCAGGTGCACCGGAGCTAGTGGAAAATCGAAGCTGGAGTGACTCAGCCTAGGAGGAGGGGGCAACCCCTGCTGTGGCCTGGCCATTCCTCTCTCTCTGTGTCCTGTTAACAGAGGTCCAGGGCTGGCCTGAGATCCCCGCTGCACAGCCGATAGCCCTGAGGGCAAGCTTGTCTGGGCTGAAAGTTGCTGGCAAAGAGAGGACCACGAGTGAGAGAGGTGGAGTCCTTGTGGGACTCAGGATCCCGATGACAAGAGAATGGTGACAAGTGCATGCCGCTCCTGCCCTGGAGGATCCTGGCAGAGGCTACGGGAGTCATGGCTCCGGCCTGTGTGCTCCTACTAGGTGGATGTCTCAGTTGCTGCCTCAAAGTGCTGGCGCCGTGGATGGGCGTGCCCGCGGGGGGCTCAGCCCCTTTCCTTCCCACACCTGGGGGCGGGCGTGCCCAGCTTCCTGCCGCAGCCTGGTCTGACGCCTGATGCTCTTCTGTGTCCAGCTGGCATAGGGCCCAGCTCTGCCCCCAGCACCCGTTTGAGTTCTGAGCCCATCTGTGCTCTCGGCTAGCTGTCAGATGGCTCCACATCTCAGGGGAAGAAAAGGCACAGTGGATTTTGGCCCCAGAGGCCTCTGTAACAGGGGCAGGGTCCAAGGGGCTGCATGTTTCGGGGACACGTTGCCTTGAGGCTGGGGAGGCATCTTCAGCCGGAAATCTCCATGGCCTTTGTGGTTGAGCACCTGGTGCTGATGCCCACCAGCCACTGAGGCTGTGGACCCCATGTCTGGTCTCCTTAATGAAGACACAGAGGCCTGTCCTCTGTGGTGAGTGACAGAGGAACAATGACGGTGGGGACAGCAGACAGCAGTTGGTGAGGAGGTGCAATGACAACATGATGACGGCTTTGGAGGGACCAGTTCTGATGGGACAGCAGGTTGTACTCCCAGGGACTGAGTGTGTCCTGAAGCCCAACAGAGGGAGGTGAGGGAGGGGACGCTACAGGGAGGAGGGCCAGGATGGGGCCGGGGCTGGGGGGCAGGTGGGGTAGCACAGTCCTCGGATAGGTATTGCTCTGTGTTAAACTGCACTCTGATCCCCATCTGCGGGCCTTTGGGCCCGAGCCTGCGGCTTGCAGCGGCTTGCTGTGGCAGAACACTGGGTCGAATCCATGAGCCAAGCAGCCTCTGTTCTAACTGCCTAGTCTCATGCCCACGCTGATGGGCTCACAATGGAGAAGATGGACTCACAGCAGCCGCCAGCCCAAGTGGCTGCAGGAGGACTGGACTCAGAGGACCCGGGGCTCCCCTGGAGAGAACTGTCTCTGGGGAAGTTCACTTTGCCACAGCTGGTTCTTCCCATTCTTCTAGGGGCTTGTTCGGCCGTATGCCAATTCTGAGCAACAAGGAGAGGTTCCTGAGGGCCCAAGTTGAGAGTGACCAAAGAGGCCGTAGGGCCTGCTGAATTCTGGGGCTGGTTGGGAGGAGCCCAGGGGACTGACTGCCCACAGCCTGAACAGCCTAAGTGTCCATAACGGTGGGCTCAGGGCAGGAGCAGCTGGGGCCTCTCAGAGGGCGGGCCCTGGGGAGGGAGAGCCACAGACTAACAGGATCCAAATGTAGCATCATGCCAGACGTCGGTTTAACAGTGAGCACAGGAGTTGGTCAGGACTTTGGACAGACAGACAGGCCTGGGTGTTGAAGTATGGTGCAGCCTCGGCCAGGTGGTACTTGGGGACAAGAGTCAGACGCTCAGGATGGGGACAGACATGGGGGGAGGCCACCTGGGAAGGGGAACAATACCTTTTTCAGCCACAGACAGATTGGGATCACTGCAGGGTTTGCAGGATCCGACCACTTGCTGGAACAGGGCCCGCTGGAAATTTGGCAGCTGAGGGAAGGAGAGAAATATCAAAGAGGGTGAAAACAACCAGTTATACCTTGGGGGGCAGTGCTGTGGGCCCAGGAGCCAGGACATTTGAAGAGAAGACAGGGAAATCAAAGCAGTGGTACCGCTCATGCTGGAGATGTGTTGGGAAGCTCAGGCCGGCCCCAGGAAGACTGGCCCTCGCTACCAGGCTCTGAGGGCTGCCATGTCAGCATTGGAGGCCATTCCCTACCATGTCTGGCTGGGCTCCAGACTGTCTTGGGTGTGGCCAAGAGAAAGGACACGGGCACTTGAGGTTTTCTAACTGCATCCTTTTGTCCTGCCCCGGAGGCCCACAGGCAGAAAGGATGAGGGACCCTTCACCCCTAAGCACTGGCAGACCTAGCCTCCCAGAGGTGCCTTCATAGGCCCAAGCCTGCACTGAGGGTAAGGGCAGCATTCAAGCCCAGAAAGTCACAGACAGGACCCACTGATCTGATAAGCAGCTACAGAGCAGGCCTGCTCCCTCCACTGGCACGGCCCCTGGAGGTACCTCTGAGAAACTGTTGGCATTTTGGACTAGGTGACAGCTGCTTGAAGGTGACTCTCATGGATTCTGATAGAAGGGCAGGTGGACCAGGCAGGGCAAGGAGCTAATCCCTATGGCTTTTGGTTCAAGGCCCCCAGGGAGGGTGTCTGGAGAGCTGTGCAGACGGTGGGGAGCAGTCCCAGCAGGTAGTGATGGGCTTCGGCTAGATGGAGGGATGGATGCAAGAGGCAGAGTTTGCCTGAGTGAGGGTGCCCTTCACACACATAGGGAGGAAAGTCATCCTCCAGACCTGTGTCCACCATGACCTTCCCAGGACAGGAAAGAACCAGTTCCCTCTGCTAGACTTTTTTGGGCTGAGGAGTCCAGGAGGCAGGCAAGAAGGACAGATAGCTACCTGAGCAATGGTGGCTCCAACCTGCCACCATTCTCCCCACAGCTGCACTCCATCTGGGCTGCTGGTCCTCAGAGCCACCACGGTCCCTGTCCAGGGGCCCAGCAGCCTTCTGAGGGTCTCAAGGCAGAATGAAGGAGGCTGGGATGACAGCACAGAAAGCCTAGCAGATGCAATGAGAGAAGCCCAGGCTGACACACTTGCAGCAGAGGGCAGTCAGGAGTCTGGGTCTACTACCTGTCCGTTCTCCAGAATGGCTGCTGGATACATGGCGCTGCTCGGGCGGTCCCGGTGCGTGGGCAGCAGCAACATCATTTCCCGGGCGTGGCGGTACTTATCTGGCAGAGAGGGAGAGCCTGTAACCAAGTGAGAACAATCACGCACAGATGACAAGCCACAGATGGAGGGCCCAGTGGGCAAGCATCCTGGGGGCCAGGGAACGCAGGTTGGCATCCCCTCGCAGCTGGCAGGAGGATGAGCTCAGCAAGCACAGGAGGAATGAAGCAGTCTGCTGGTGAGATGGTGGGGGGGGGGTTGCCCCTGCTGTCCCGGCCGTAGCAGGCACACCACAGATGGCGGGGGCAACACAGGCCCACTGACGGAACCCCCTCACCATGCTCAGAGGCAGATCATGAGGAGAACTGAGGACAGGAGCTAGGACCCAGAGGGCCCCCAGCACCTGGGAGATGGGTGTGCCCTGGGTGTAGGCTCTCTCAGGGGGCCCAGGCATGGGCACAGGCCAGCTGGCAATGGAGCCATCACATAGAGACAGAGACACTCGGGTAACACAATGGCACAGCTCCTATGATGCCCGGTGTCTCCATACACTTACCGCCTCTGGACCCCACTGGCCCTGCTCTCACCTGGCTCCCTAGCACTTTTGCCCAGAGTCTTCTCCTTCCCAGATTCTGATCCTCTAGAGCCTGGCCCCGGCTTCCTGGCTATCCTACTGTAGCTCCAGAGCCAGAATGGCAGGGGCTCCAGGGCCCTGTGTTCAGGGGGCTCTCCAGGGATTCTCACTCTGACACTCCCCCTTCAGTGAACTCGGGGGTCATGGAGCTAGTCTGGGACTTGTGGGCCTTGAACCCAGGCTCCTGAGTTGACGTGTTTCATGCTCTTCTCTTGTGAGGCTTCTGTAGTGATCTCTGGCCCAAGGGGCTGTTACAGAGGCCAGATGGCACGAGACATGGTATGGCTGGGTCCCCATCCATGCAGCCCATAGCTGCAGGCCCAGGAACCTGTCAACCATGGTCCATGAGGGGGCCTTCCACAGAAACAGAAAGAATAACTTGCTAGCTTTCCTTGGGAATGGATAACTTGGAAGGCCCTCCACATGTGCCCCACACATCGTGCCAGATGCCAGCAAGTCCATGAGGAACTAGCCTCCTGGCAGACTATGGCTGGCTCCAGTGGTAGAAGGCCTTCTGTGGTTTGCTCTCAGTGACACCGGTTGGCCCCTGGGCTCCATCTGGGAGGTGAATCTGCAGCTCCAGAGGCTCTGTCCCTGAAGCCCAGGGTCCCCGGGGCCTTCCTTAGAGCATGTGGTTCTCCCACCTTCAGGGACAACTGACAAAGGTCTCTGCACTCAGCCTGCCCCCAGGCTCCTTGAGCTACCCCTTTTGTGCTCATTTTAGACCCAGAAGATAAGGCTTACATACTTTGCAGAAGTCAATATAACAAAAATTTGTAGGGGTTGTTTAGAGACAAATAGAAAAGCGCTCCTAATTCCACCCATTTCTATAGTGCCTTTCTAGCAAGGAACTGGATGCTCCCTGAGTCCCGGCAGCCACAGCTCTGGACAGGGCTCCCCTCCACTTATGTGCACAGAGGAGACCTGCACCCTGACACCACGCAGTTAGAGTTGACTCTAACACACATCACACACCAGGCTGGCAGCTGGGGCGCGGCAGGCAGACCGCCGACCTCGTGCAGCTCGCAGCCTGGCTCACAAGGCCAAACTCAGCTCTGCACGCTCGAGGTCCTGCCATGGGTCCGGGCGCTAGGATGGGCGGACAGCAGCCCGAAGGCCCAAGGTGCTCCGCTGAGGATCTGAACCCACAGGATGGAGGCTCCTCTGGTGCTATAACAAAGGGGTGCTCGGTGTTACTGCTGAGATTTTCAACTCTGCCATCCACTGCTCTTTCAACTGGCCTCAGCCCTGGGCAGCCAGTCCCACAGGAGCAGAGACTGACGGCTACTTTTCATGAAAATATTTAAACACCACAAGGGCTTCTGTGTCACAGGACTTTTGTACTACTTGTGTGGTAGCCTGGCTAAACCAAAGGGAGGCTAAGTCCCAGCACCACAGAGTTACTCAAGGAGGACCAATCAGAATGCCCGTTCCCTCGGCCCAATCAGTCTTTTCACCACTAGAGGGAGCTGCGTACTCACAAGAGTTGAGAAAGAGGGCAAGCGTTTAGAAAAAGGCCTTGCAGGCCTTTCTTCTGAAGGTTTCCAAAACAGGGACTATAGCAGACAGTGTCACTGGGTCTTGGGGGGAAAGCCACTGGTGTCATGACCACTCCTGGATTGGGGGGAAAGTGCCTCCAATGCAAAGGACCCTCCAGAACCCCTTCTCCATGAAAGCCTTCCCTTCACTCATAACCCCAGAAACAGCGTGGACTGCTCTCTTCCTTCTGTGCCCCTAGGGCATCGCCTACTGCATCTCCCATATTTATCTGAAAATATTAGTCTTCCTCTGCGATGCTGGGTCCAGACCTCTCCATCTTCTCTCACAGGCCTCCTGCTGGTAGGCTCCCTATGGGGCCCATGGTTTTCTCCAAATAGGCCTGCACACAACTTGCGTGGATGGTGTAGCCTGCCAGGGAATGAATCCCTGCTCTTTCTTCATTGCCTCTGCCCTCGTCTGCACTTTGGGCCCAGTTCCATTTAGCCCTTTTGTTTACTTTTGTACTTAATGTCTACTCCAGAAAGGGCAGGGGCTTCTGTCAGCCTTTCTCTCTGTGATACCCTGAAGTTTGGCTCCTGTGATAGCTTGCCTCCAGAGATGGCAACCTGCAATGCCTTCCCTCCAAAAATACACACGCCTCTCCTCACACCGTGAGGTGAAGTCTCATTCCCCACCCCGGTATCTAGGTTGGCCTTAGGCACTTGACCAGACAATGGAATGGGCCAAAAGGGACATTATGGGATTTCCAAGTCTGGGTGATAAGAAGCCCAGGTTGCAGGGAAAGGCCCTACACAGGGACTCAGGTCGATAGCCCCAGCTGAGCTCCCAGGTGACATTTGCTTCCAGCTGTATGAGTGAGCCAGCCTAGTTGAACCTTTAGATGCCTCCAGCCCCAGGGAACTCAGACTATGGGCTCACGACAGCAACGGCCAGCACCAGGCCAGGCTGGCGAGCTCAGACCGCTCCCTCTGTCACCGTCCCGCACATCCATCCCGGGAAGCACCAGGTCTGAGTTCCCACAGCCAACTGCCCTTCCACCACAAACCCTTCTGTCTAAAAGGACAGAGGACCAGATTTCACTGTGAGAACTAGGAGCAGACTGTGAAAAAGATGCAGGCTCTCAGAGAACAAGACTTTAGCAGACTGAAAAGAAATCAGGCAATAACTGGCAAAGTACACAGCTTTTCACAGAGCCATTTCTCCTGATTAAGCCTTTCTCAACTGAACAAGGTCTTTTTGGTTATTGTTACTTTTTAGAATAACATGTTCCAGGATTAAGTTCAGCCTTCAAATTGAATTTTCACACTGTGCAGTCATGCTCAATTCCTCAAGACAAGACTCACTGGTACCTTAACTTTTTTATTCTTGTAGATATTTCAACGGAAAAGAACTGAGCTTTCTCATGGACTGTGCGTCCTCTTACTGAGATGGAGATGGGACAGCCGGCCCCCTCTGTGGCATCCACTGCTCAGAGCAGGGTCTGAAGCCAGCCAGAGAGAGAGAGCCAGGGCTAAGAACCCTCGAGTCCTTAGTGTTGAAAGGGAAACATTCTCTAAGTCACAGGGCCACTTTCAAAGACAGAGCCACAGATGAGATGAGGACTAGTGGGGCTCACGAGGCCCTGTCCTCTCCCTTCTACAAGCAGCGCCCTGCCCTCCTTACCTCGGGCACTGGAAGGGGCAGAGGTAATCATCTGGGATGGTGCTGAGTGAGTGGAACTCAGGCTGGAGGAAGAAGGGCTTGCCTGGGACGAGGACAGAACAGAGACGTTGGTGACTGAGCCCTGGTACCTGGGGTTGGGATACGCGAGCTGCAAAGGAAGAAAAATCAGCAGGATAGAGGTCTGAATGGCCGGGATTGTGGGACTGGCCCAGAGTTGGCTTCTTCATGCCATGAGGTACCCAGACCCAGTGTCAGATGTGGTAGCCTGGGTCCTGATGGAGGCCAGGCTGGTGGCTGGCACTAAGGGTCACCCACGCCACCCATGGAGCAGGATTGTTGGGTCGACTCTAGTGATGGTGCCCATAGAGGATGCAGGACTTAACCATCAGGAATGCCAGGAAGGAGGGCAATTTGGAGGAGGGTCTATCCCACGGAATCTCAAAGAGCAACCAGGAATGAAGCTAGATTTCCTTCTTGGGAAATAAAGCCTGGGAACTGTGACGCAGGATGGTGTGAGGGGAAGGCAGTTTTACTGGCTCGGGGTGTTCTGAGTTCAGAAACCGGAGAACTGATGCCAGCCCTCAGACCAGACCAGCCAGCAGAGAGGCGAGTCCTCACGGTGCCTTGGCCATTCTCCTGGGGCAGTTCTGGTACCTGCATATGGTGGTATAGGTCCTCGGGAGCCTCGCCCACGGAGCTGTCCCCCAGCATCACCACATTTCCCGCTTCGCTAGATGCATGTGAGGAGAGAGAGGATGATGAATGGCGGCCTGTGCCCATCAAGTTCATGGGGCTGTGAACAAGAGTGGGAAATAGGGACGAGTCAGGCTGGGAGCTGAGAAAGCTTGCTAGGTGGAAGAGGATGGTGTAAAGGGCTGTATGCCAAGCCTCAGCCAACACTGACTTGGAGGGCTTCATAGCTAATGCTTATATCCATTGGAGGCCTGGGACAGCTGGGAACACTGACCTGCTGCTCAGGCTTCCCCTGGTGTATGAAGGCCAGAGGTAGACTGGCAAAGTCTCTACTGGGAGTTCGGTGCTTTATGGCCACTCAGTCTGATGACGTCAGCAGTTTCTCAGTTAGGATTACTGAAAATGATATGCTGAATCTGGTCAAAGATTCCAGGTCCCCTTGCCATGCGGGGTTGGTCTGAACCAGCAGCCACCCTCTGTTGGGATTGGCTCCTAGGCCAGGGGTGTCTTCCCATTAGGGGCAAGCTACCAAAATAGCTGACTGGCAACCTCTGTTGGCTTCCCTCCACATCTGGGGTCACAGGTTCGCCAACACTCTCTCAATAGTAGACAGCCCTCATTCACTCCTTCCTTCTCCTTTGTGGAGGCGTGGTCTGTGCTGACTTACTGCTTCCATCGGAAGACAAACCCGGAGAGGCTCCTCTTCCTCCCTCCTCCTCTAGCTGGGCCTTCCTGCCCCGGAGGCTTGGCGCATCTCCCCCTGAGCTTGGATAGACCAGCCATGACCTGGTTTGCTTCCACCTCACCATGTGGTTCTCTTCCTTAAGCCAACTGGGGACCCTCATTCCCCTTGGGATGGGGACAGAAGGCCTGAAGGAAGGAGGTCCCTCCAGAGCTGGCACTGGCCCCCTTCCATGCCCCAAAACCCTGCACTCCAGCCACGAGGCTCTGCTGGTGGGGCTGACCACGCCAGCCTGGCCGCCTCCTGGGGTGCCTGCACGTGGCGGTCCCTTTGCCGGATCCTGTTCCATCGCCCTCCTCACTCCAGCTTGTTTCTGCCTCAGAGACTTCTATTTATCATTTAAGACTTAACCCCGAATGCCCCCTCCTCCATGTTCTCACAGTACCATGCACACTCCTCTGTCACCCAGGATGACTGGCTGTGAGCGTGGGTCCTGTGGTGGGAGTGTGTGCTGGCTGTGTGCATGTGTGAGAGGGCACAGGAGTGAGTACACACTCCTACTATCTCAGACTTCCTTGCTCTGACCTTTGCAATCCGGACTGACCTCTGTGGAGGAGACCCTCCCCACCCTAAGGCCATACCTGTGGCGGTGGGTCATCTTGATGCTCTCAGGGCTCATGGGACTATGGGACGCTAGGACGTTTCCCCGCGGGGTGCTGGTGCCTGAACATGCAGGACTGAGCTTGTCCAAACCCGGAAACTCCTGTTGAGACATGAAGGCCCCTTCATCAGAGGAAAGAAAGTGTCATTAAGGGCTGAGAGGGAAGAGTGGGCTGGTGGTAAAAATGTCAGAGAAAGAACCTGATACTGCTGGCTGAGCCTGCACTGCTGACATTGCGGGCAACAGCCCCTTCACGACTAAACACCCCGTCAACCGCACCGGAGTCTGGACCAGAGGCTGAGAGGCCCGTGGATGACCCCACGAAGAGAGCACATCTGGAAGAGCCCGATGCTCTGAGTTCATGGGAGTGTGTTACTGGCATTCTCAGGGCGGAAGAGGAATAAGAGCGGGGGGAGCCGGAGAGGAAGAGCTGACCATCAGCTGTCAGTCAGTGGGCCCCTCTTCTGTAAGCTGGGTTTCTTGGATTGCTAAACGGTCCAGCTCTTAGTGATCTGGGTTAAGTTCCCTGTGACATGGTCTGTGTGGAGAGATCGGACCCCAGATCCTGACATTAGTCATCAAAAAACACTACTATTTTAACATGATTACATTCTTATTAAGTAGATGGATATCTTGGCAGAAATTTTTGAACCCAAACCCTCCTGGGTGATAGTACATTGGTCTGGATCCTTGTCTGTGGACTCTGGAGAAACAAAGCACAACCATCCAGGGTTCTTCAATCCTTCACCATCTGTGGGCCCTAAGTCCTACTGGGGATGCTTCTGAGCTTGGCCTGAAGAAACAACCAGTTTTCTACCCCCTTCTTCCAAAACACGTGGAGATGAAAAAGAAGGGTAAACTGCAGAGGACACCTCCATGTGTGCTCTGGAGACACTGATGTATGCGGGTATTTTCTGTTTTTTGCTGCAGTGGCCCAACAGCCTTGCATGGCGGAGGACATCCCTTGCCCCATTGGCCAGGCTCTAGCCTACCTGGGTCACCTGCTGTGACAGGGAAGTTTGCACACAGCAGAGACCAGCCGAGAATGAGAGATAATGGAATACCCACCAGACTTTCACTTTCTCTGCAATGTTTCACCCTGAAATACCATGGGAGAATCATTACAGAAAAGGGAGATCTCAGGCTCTGTGGACTTCCCTCTGGAAAATGTGCCCACCTGTCAAACTATGGACAAGTTTCTTCTTCTTTTTTTTTTTTTTTTTACATCTCGTGCCATCTATACTTGTGCAGGAATGCTGAGACCTGCACTGAGGGCCTGACATGACCAGAAGCTCCAGCATCAAGAACAAGGCAAGTGAACCCCAACAGGCCAGATGTGCTGAATCTGAGTGGTCCAGCCTCCCTCAGGCCAGTGATCATCCCTGAAGAGGACCCTCTTGTCCTTGACGGCCTTACCCCACACCAAACAGCCCTGCTTCCCTTGCCGTAGGAACTGGGTTCACACCCCTTGAGATCTAGCAGCCAACCTGTTTAGCAGATAAGTTTCTCCAGAAAACACTTGGAGTCAGCCTCATGGTTGAAAATGGGGTGAGGGCATGTAAATGGGGGCTCAAGACCACTGAACCCTAGTCCTGGAACACAGGCTCTCCTTTTGCTTGCATGCATCAGTCCTTGGCCTGAACCCTGCCATGGAGGCTAAGAGGCAGGTTAGAGTCTGAGGGAACTTTTGGAGCTTGGGGCAGGCTCAGAGCCTGGCTGACCCCTCTAAGAGCAGCCAGTTCAGAAATACTACTCACTCCAGGCTTTTGTCAGGTGTGAGTCTGGGTCACCAGATGGGTCTGAGGAAGAAGGAGTGAGGGATGGAAAGGAGGTAGAGGGGAAGGGTAAAGAGAAGGAAGAGGGATGGGGGAGGAGAGGGCATAAAATGGGAAGGAAAAGAGGAGAAAGAGGGAGATGGGGAGAGGGGGCTGGCTCAGACTATTTCTTACCTCTGTAGGTTCTCGGGATGGAAAATATCTCCAAAGAGATGTCTACATGTGGGCCATATATTTTAGCTCTTTTCCTCCTCATATGAAAATCTTTCTTCACCAGCACAGTACCTTGGAAAACATCCTTTGCCCTTGAATCTGACTCCTCCTCAGGGAGAGGACTGAATGAGGGGTCCTGGGCAACCTTTACCTGGATACAGCACTCACCTCTGCTTCCTGGCTCTCTGTGGCGGGAGCAGCTTTTCATCCACACCACCCCCCACCGCCCCACCAAAGGCCTGCTGCGCTGGCTTGCTCACTAGGCAAGAAAGGCTGGTTTTGTGCAGCATGAGCCCCCGCAGGGTTGCTTACATGGTAGAGGCTGGCCCGCATCATCTGGAACTGGTCAATCAGCTTCTTATGCAGAGGACGCATCTCTGGGTGCACAAACTTCTCATGAACGGCCAGCCCAACTCCAAGGACATGGACCTATTAGGGAGACAGACGGGGCCACTCTGCAAGCCAGGGGGTAGCCCTTGAGAACTGACATGGTCCTGTGGTGCCTAGCTTTTCCCTCCTGGCCACTGGCCCCAAAGGCCCGCATGACATACCTGCTCCTGCATGAGCTCCTTGAGCTGGGTGATCTTCTCTGCATCTCCCGGGTGCTTGGTGATATAATCTTTATCAAAGAAGGCCTGTGAAAGGAAAGGCTAAGTCGGGAGACTCCTTCCAGGACTGCCTCTGAGGTGGAAACTGCCACTTGAAAAGCAGGTTCTGCCTCCTTGGCAGGTGCTCACACCCTCTCTAGCCTGGCCAGCTCGAACCTCCTGCAGTCACAGGGGTGGTTTTGGTGCCTAAGAAGAGCCGAAGGTAGCCAAATAATCTAAGCCTGGATGCTGGTCCCAGCCCCTCAGGGAGCCTGGATGGCCTGGGGAGAGCAGGCCAGGCTGGTGGCCAGGGTGCGGCGCCAGGCTCTTAGCCACCCGCAACTCTTTGTGAAGGGCTGGGCTCCAGGGCTCCTCCTGGAGGCCACTTAACACCTTCCATAATTAGACGGATTACCCATCTGTCCGAGCTCAAAGAATAAAAAAGAGAAGGTCCAGTGGGAGAGCCAAGCCACAGAAAGGGGAGCAGGAGGGAGCTTGAAGCCTCACCCCAGGACCATTCTGAGTCAGCTGAGGCACAGCCCAGAGAGGGCAGTTGGGAAGGCTGCCTTGGGAGGCTGGAGTCTCAAGAAAAGAGCCCCAAGAAGCACCTTCCCCGCTGGGCTGCCTGCTGTTGGTGTGGTCTGGGCCACTCACCTCTTGGTAGCGCGCGATGCCCCCGTTGACAGCTGCGTCAATGACGCCGTTCAGGCACATGCTGAGCAGGTTGATGTTGCCGTGCACCTGTTTGTGCTGATACTGGCTGATCAGCGCCCGCAGCTCCTGGTTCTTATTCTCAACCACCTGGATGGCATTCTCCAGAGGGCTCACCTCCACCTGTGGGCACATAGCACACACTGTCATCCCAGGCACAGTGACAACCCCTCCCCCAGCACAGTCCAGAGAGTGGGGGCCCAAGACCAGTAATGCTGATTCCCACCCTTGTTCCTGTGGACCTCACACTTCCTGACTTCTTTCAAATGTTCTCTTCTGATCTGCAGGCACTCAGAAGCACAGTAAAGAGTGAAGAGCACCAGTTCTGAAGTCAGAGCGCTCTGGCTTCCTGAGTTTCAGAGAACAGCTTCCACATTTGTAAACAGGGAGATTAAAAATCTCTGCCGCCTAGGGGTGCGGTGAGGTTTCAAAGAGAGAGGGTGTACAAAGCCCCTGGCACAGGACTGGCCTGCGGCAGCCTCCACCAGGCAGGCGGCTGAGTCTGGTTTTCTGTCTTCAATCCTTAGAGAAAGGTCCCCAAAGCTGGGGCTGGGGATCAGCCCCCTCTGAAACATGTCTCACCAATTCCCTCCTCTCCACTTCGAACCACCGAGAGATGCCAGGCAAGCTGTGGGTGAGGGTCAGTGTGGTGCGCTCGATCCACAGGCTCTGCAAGGAGGGCACAGGCGGTTACAGGCCGGTGAGTGGTTTCTGCCACACCTGCCTGCCTCAAGGATGACACAGTGGTGAGACCCCGAGAAAGTGGGGCCTCCCCCTGGCCTCACTAGAAGCACCACCCCGGCTTTCCTAGAGTTGTTCACCTTGAATTCGTTCTCCTTGTCCTTGGGGCCTTTGTGAAAAGGCCTGTCATACCGGAACTTCCTCACATTGTTGACACGGTAGAAGCTCTTGACGCGATCCGGGACCCTATCCATCTGCAGGACATCCACGTAATCTGGAATGGGCGTCACCGCATAGATCTGCAAGTCTGGGCAGGAAGTGAAGGGAAAACCCAGACTTGCCAGAAAGGTGGATCTGAGTACTGACTTTGGTCCTCCCCTGAAGGAGAAAAGAGCACCCCAGCCCCTGTTCCCGACTGACAGCAGCGGCTGCATCCCAAGGGCTAGACAAGACCCAAGCACCGTTAGACTGAATTTCCCTGTCTGCCCACTCCCAGCTCTGGCTGGAGAGAGTGCATCTCCTGAGCACTCAGCCAAGGTGAGATGTCAACAGCCAAGAAAGCAGGGAGAGGGGTCAGGAGAAGGCAAGTGCCCACCGTGCAGGAGCAAGAAAGTTCTAAGGGCCAGGGTTTGTCCACGTCACTAAACTGTATTTCCTGCAAGATAATCTTTTGATAAAAATACTTTTTGGGTTTTTTTGTGGAGAAATAACATGGGGGTCCACCTGCCCTTCCCTCTCTGGAGCAAGCCTGTACAGACAGGGTGACTGACATGAGGCCTCCCAGGAAGCTGTGTGAGGGGGTGAGGGGCAGGCCAGTGTTTGTGCCCGGAGACTCCCAAGTGCCACTAAAACCACAGGTGTTCCCCATCTCCTTCCCCACGCCCTCCACCCCCACCCCCTGGGCTGTGCCTCCATCTTCCTGACAAACAGGAGCGCAGCAGGGCACAGAGTGGTAGTTATCCCTGGGGCGAAAGTCCTACGGAACCCCAAATCACCCTGCTGAGTGACTGCTCCTGGATGCCTAGGCAGCTCCTTCACAGGGCAAGGCAGGGACTAAGGTCACGGTAGCAGCCAGCCTAGGTGTAGAGGTCCCCCCAAAGCCCTGCTTCAGGTCCTCCACAGCTAAGAGCATGCCATGGCTGTCTCCGTGAGGTATGAAGGCCCTGCTGAGTGTGGTCCGATGTGATGAGGACACACTCCATTCAGGACTGATGGGTAACCCAGCCTGTAAGGCCAACATTACAGCAGAGGGACAGCCGACTGGGTGGGCCTCACCTCCCGGACCCCAGCCCACCTCCCCCAACCAAGCATCAAAAGATACACTGGGCATCACACTGCAGGATGGCATCGTCGGGGTGGTTTGGGTGCTGCATGGCAACGGCCTGCGGGAACTCGCTGAGCATCCTCTGCTGGAAGGCCTCCAGCCTCTCGTAGTCATGGCCACGGCACACGTATTCTTTGTTCTGCCGCGAACAAGAGAGCCTGCTCTCTGCCTTGCCTCTGGCCCCCACCTCCTCAGGGGTGTCAACAGCTACTCATGTCACAAGCATGTCCTAGGGGCCCCTGCGACAGGCATGGGGCGCACAGCACTCAGTCCCTGCCAAGGGGAAGTGGTGATCCAGAAGGGAGAGGGACAGGAAAAGGGAGACTTGGACTGTGATGCAGCAGCCTGGAGGCAGGCCACGGGCTGTGGGAAGCTTGGAGGAAGGAAAGCACCTTACCCAGGAAGGGGTGTGAGGTGGAGGGCGGTGGGATTTAGAAAAAGCCATGCCTGAACAGAGGCCTGAAAGGCCCATCTGGGCCAGCTCCGAGAGAGGAGTAGGGAAGGGCGCTCTGGAGGCTATGGTGTCAACTAGGGCAGCAACAGCCTGGACAAGACAAGGTGCCAAGGGAGGAATGTATGTGTGGAGAGCTAGTAGGAGGGTGCGGAAGGTGCCTGCAGTGGTGTGCCAAGGAGTGACGGCTAGCGGTGCCACCACAGAAGTCTTAACAGGGGGAGTGGTGACCAGGTGGGTGCTTTTGAAGGACCACTTTTATTAGCTAGGAGAAAGAGTCCAAATGTGGCCCAGGGTCCAGCAGGTGTTCAGTCATTACTTACTGATGGGCAGTACATCTTTGCAATTGCATAAGATAGATGAAATGACATCATCTGAACCACACATTTCCTAAAACTTTGTGTTACATCATATTTGCTTTGAGTTGGGGCTCAGGTTTTCTCCTAGCGGGCTGAGGGCATGACGAGGAGCCTTCCGCCCTGCTGCTCTGCCCACCTCACAGCTGGTCCCGAGGGAATGGGACACACATCTAGACCTCTGGTGACATGTGTCTGCCTGCCTGACTGCCTCACTAGGGCCACTCTGACAAAGCAGCATCACCACCAGGGTGTGGCGCTAGGCTCTTAGCCAGCCGCAACTTCTCGTGAAGGAGTTGCACTGGCAGCCCTGCCCTCTGCCTGCTCCCCCCCCCCGCCCCCCTCCCCCATGTGTCTTCAGAGGAAGAGAGACAGAGAGGTCCAGGGGGCCGGCTGGACACCCACCGGCACAGGGATGATCACAGACCAGGCTTTGGAGGACCTTAGATTTTTTTCTGGGAAAGAATTTCTGCCCCCCTTCCACTTCTCTTTTTACTATGGGAGAACTCAGCTAAGGCTTGGTCACATGTCTGGATGGATCTGAATGAGAAACAATATCAGAAGGGAAATCAAGGTCGGAAGGAGCAGGCTGGCCTCTTCAGTGGACAGACCAAGTCAGAGGACAAGAGACACTTTTAAGTCCCTAGCTTGAGAAGCAGAACTGACAAAAAAGATAATTATAAAGAATTGGTCTTTTCATATCAACTCGCAAATGTACAATCCTCACCAGTAGCTGTTTGTGGGTCAAATGAAGAGAAACAGAAATTCCTGCAAGAAGGGAGGGCTGGATGTTTTCCTGTCTCTGTGCAGATTAGTAGATAATCACATTTGTGAAGCGAGGGAGGCAGATGGTCCAGAGAAACCAAGCTGACAGAGCTAAAGTAATAGATGGCCTATGTGTTCAGGAATGTGGGGGACTGGCCTAGCTTTCTGGGGGAGACCCAGCAGGAAGAAGGCACACAGCGTTGACCTTGAGGCTGGTTGTCAGTTTCTAGTTTGCTTGTGTGAAAGCCCCAGCATCCTCACGTGAGACAGATCTGGCTGCCATTGCTTTGTTCTTGGTTCTTGCCATCTATAAGACAAACACTTCCTACTTCCACTGGGACTCACTCCATTTGCCAAAGCTGAACTGAGCAGCTGAGGGAAGGGAAGGCAGCATGTGGCTCAGCAAGGCAGATCTGTATGCATGAAACACAGCCCCTAGGGATGGTGCCTTGTGTGGAGATGACGCACTGATGGTTGACATTTCCTAACACCCACTGTTATTTTTCCTCCATTACTGGCACCACTGAAACCCCATTTGAACATTCAGACCGTTGTTTGCAAGCATTGTTTGGATGGGCCAGAGGCAGGTCCCACACTAAGTCCTACTTGCCAGAAATTGTGGAGTTTCCTAAGATGCTGAGATGCCCTGTGACATGAGCATGTGGGGTGGAAGCCAGGGCAAACCGTCACGGAGACTTCCTGTTTGGCAGGGACGGAAATGGGACATACCAGGGCCTGATTCTATAATATCCAAAATAATGATGTTTTAGAGTAAAATCTGGTTTCTGATTTAGAAATTTTGGGGCAAAACAAAGAAAATACAATGACAATAAAGCAGCATTTGCAGACAAAATGAGAAAGAAGGAAGTCACAAGGCCAGAACCATTAGTTTGTCCAAGGACTTTCTAGAGATGCTTCTGGTTTCTGATTCTTGTGTGATTCCGTCTTTCCCTTCTGCTGACCTTTACGTCCATGGCTTTTGCATGATCTATGCTGGTGGGGACAACAAAGATGCCACTTCTGAAATGCTTGAGGTAATTGTCCCTAGGTAGTGAGCAAGTCCCCCCCTCCTGAGGAGACCCTTTCCTCTTTCACATTCTGTTTCTAGAAATGCTACTGTGGAATGGAACCGGAGCCTTCCTGAGGATCACAATTAGGCAGAGTGGGCTTGCTATCCCTGTCAGGATTACTTGTTTCTATAGAAGTCAATTTTCTTTTTAGCATAGAATGGTTACTGCCTAGGAAATGTGCAGGTTGACCTGCCTTACATCTGAAATGTGGTTAGCCTGGACTCTGTTGCTAGCAGACTGGCTTTAAAAAAAAATTTTTTTTTTTAAGGAGTCATTAAGACCAACTGACCTGTGATGTGATATCAAGCTCATCATTGCTCACTGGCTAAAGCAATTTTTCTGCTAAGACAGGATCCCAAACACATCAAAGAGATTCTATGAATGTTCGCAGCTGCTTGTTGAGACTTAGAGACACGGAACTTTAGTGATACACTGGAACTGGGGACAGTCAGAGCCAGTCTTATGTCTCAACTGCAGCCCAAGGCCCTTTCATCAGCACAGCTTCACTGAGGTCCCCTGGCACAGTGAAGCCCTCTGGGCTACAGCCCACAAGCCCAGGCTGACTTCTCCTGGAGCCTCTGGCTTTTGTGAAATAAAGAAGAGAATCACAGCTATTCAGCTGGTAGGTCTGCACATCTGTGCTCAGTCATTCCTTCTGCTTTGTTGGTATCCCAACTTAGCTTTCCAGGAAGCGATGGGGAGAAATTGCTGTCACTATCCTGGGCCAGGGAGCTGGAGGCCTAGAAAAGGTTTTCCACAGCCAGATCCTATTTGGCAGCTCCCACAAATCTCTTTCAAATCCACAGATTCTCCACCCTGGCTGCAGAGCCTCCAGGGCAGCCAGCGGGAAGAGCCAACATCTTCCGTGACAAACCTCACGAAGTCAGCCTACGGTTGAGGTCAGGGCTGTACCGGTGTCCTATCTGGTTGAGAATAATCACAATGGAGGATTCCAGGCAGTGGAACTTGAAGTTGGAAGGTTTCTAGACATACCTATGGGACATTCTCAGACCCTGGTCGTTTCCTGCAGGAATTTGGGTTGGTAAGAAAATCACCCTCATGTATTGCAGACAGCTACAAAATAGTACAGCAGAGTCAAACAAAGTCTAAAGTTGGCAATCAGTCCAGTCAAATAAAGCCAAATGCCTTTTGTTGTCTAGTTAGTCCTTCAAAAAGTAGTATTCAGTAGAATAGGGAAAAAAGTAAAAAAAAATAGGTTATAAATGAATTATGTGTAGAATATAAGTTCTTGTGACTACCTGAATGGACTCACCCGAAGGAAGAAAGGAAACTTCCTGCCATAGAAGCCAACCCGAAAGAACTCAGGCTCCAGGCGTTGCTGCTCCATGATGTTGTCATAGTAGCTGGCTTCCATTTTCTGTGAATGAGAAAGGCAGTTGCCTTCAGGTTGGCCTGACTGCTAGTGGTGTCCCAAGCAAGTTCTCCCAGGCCCCAGTAGATACCATCTTTTGGAAACAGAACATGGCAACACAGACTGTGTAGAAGTGAGCCCCTGGCCATGATCAGCCTCTCCCCAGGTTGCTGCCTGATGGAAGGGGAAGCCTTCCTACGCAGCGGGTGGACGCAACCCCATACAGATCCAGGATTCTTGGTTTTTGGTCTTTCAGGGGCACATGCTGAGCATGGACTCCTCCCACCCCTACAGATCTCTGGTTTTGGTTGATACTATACCAAGTGACTTTTGGCTAGTGCTAGTTATAGTTGGCTAATAGCTATTCTCAGCACCATTTTCCATCAGTCCAACTGCGTTGCTCTTGTTCATCATCTAACTAAAGAGGCTAATAGTCACAGAAAGTCTCAGTTGCCAGCATCATTGGTATTGTTCCAATTTAAGAGATTTTAAACTTTAAAAGTTTAAGTAATATCCATGATATCTAGCATTACTAAGGTCAGTACGTTTCTTCGTATGGGCTGTCCTGGCTTCACATTCAGAAAAACTCACTGAATTTTGACTGGGAAGACAGCTCTAATGCACTCAATCAAGCCGGCTTGCTGCGGAGCAAGGGCCTTCAAAGACCAGTCAGTAAGCTACTTCTAGATAACCACATCTATTACATACACCCAAATCCCCACCTGGAGGAGGAAACATGGCAGGGAACATTGCCACACTGACTGGGTGGAAGAGGAGGGGAGACTTCTGACTTCTCTTTGCTAATGTAGTCTGCAGCTACTATGACTCAGAACCCAGCACCAGCAACCAAGAAAATTTGGTGGAGACCTTCGAAGTCTATGGGACATTTCACTTAATTTTTGAGTATTTTGTATCAAAGAAGGGAGTAAGAACAAGGTGCTTGAAAGTGACCACAAGCCAAAGCATGCAAAGATCTTATAAAGTTTTCAGATCTTACAAAATTTTCCTGAACAAAATATTTCAGGAAAGGTTTCTTCATGAAGTTGAGCTGCTACCTCCTCCTTGGACCCGCCATTTTATCCTGCATACGTGCTTCTCCCTTTCTTGAGCACCAGTGGCTCTCGGGGTCTGGATCATATCATTTTTTTAGTTCCCCAGTCAGACTGCCAAGGGTCTTGAGGGCAGGAACCATGGCCTCTGCTTCTCCTGTACTGTCCACAGCACTTAAACAAGGGCTAGGCCTGTAGTGAATGTTCACTCCGAAACTGGTGCCAGGAAAGTGCTCGCACCTCCAGTCAGGGTTGGGCTGGGGAAGGGGCAAAGCTCACCCGAATCCAGCTGAGGCTCTGATAATCGTAGAGGCTCTCGTACTGACACGCCAGCTCCCTGCACAATGGGATCCCGAACTCCCAGCTCTGCGTCAGAAAGAAAGATAAGGCGTCAGCACCACAGGCCTCCTCAGAACAGCCCCAGCTCACATGGAACACATCAGAAGGCACAACCGAAGACCCCCTGCAGCTCATCTGTCACAAAGAACATCCACTCAGGATGAGTCTGTGGACAACACGCGGTGCTGTGCCTTTCTAGCTCAAGGCGTAGCTTTCAGGTTTCTCCTCAAAAAAAAAAAAAAAAAGAAGCCTTTTTCTGACTACCTCATTAAGGATGGGAACTTCCTGACCCCTTCTCTGTTTCATTACTCTCCAGTTATCTTAAAAAAGTATTTACTTTTTTGTTGTATTAGTCTCGATTGGATGATAAACTACATGAAGGCAGGAACCCTGTTTATTTACTTTATCCTCAGAGCCTAGAGCACTGCCAGGCACGAGCAGGGACTCTATAAAGATGTACTTAGTAAGTTCATGAAAGTAATAATGACTTTTGTTATTTTTTAAGCTTTTATTTAAATCTCAGTTAGTTAACATACAGTGTAATATTAGATTCTGGCATACAATATGGTGATTCAGCCCTCCCACACAACACCCAGTGCTCATCAGAACTAGTGCCCTCCTTCATCTCCATCCCATATTTCACCCCTTCCCCCAGCCCCCTCCCCTCTGGCACCTGTCAGTCATACTCTGAAACTGGTGCCAGGAATGTGCACCAGCGTCTGTTTCTTGGCTTGTCTCTTTTCTTCCCTTTAATCATTTGTTTTGTTTCTTAAATTCTACATACAAGTGAAATCATAAGGTACTTGTCTTTCTCTGACTGATTTATTTCGCTTAGCATGATACCCTTTAATTCCATTCATGTTGTTGCAAATGGCAAGATTTCATTCTTTTTGATGGCTGAGTAGTGTTCCATTATATATCTATATACCACCTCGTCTTTATCCATTCATCTGTCAATGGAAACTTGGGTGGAAACAATGACTTTTTAAAAAAAAATTTGACAGACAGATCAAAAGTAGGCAGAGAGGCAGGCAGAGAGAGGGGAAGGAGGCTCCCTGCCAAGCAGGGAGCTGATGTGGGGCTCAATCCCAGGACCCTGGGATCATGACCTGAGCCGAAGGCAGATACTTAATGACTGAGCCACCCGGGTGCCCCTCAAAGGGAATTTTGAAATTGACTCTGGATCCCTGAGTTAATATGATGCCTCTACTTTAGTAGGCTAGGAAACCTCTTACACCCCCACAATGCATCTTTCAAGCGGGAAGTGTCAGCCCTCTTTCTGGCTCTGAGCGTCACTTGGGCAGGTCTCAGCCAAGGACTCGCTGCAGGGTCTGCCTGGCAGGCCTCTCCATGGGGGCTGGCTAAGCAGCTGAGCTGTGCACAGATCTCTGGCCAACTTGCCATGAGCATCCTGTGTGGAACTGCTCATTTGGGTGAAGAGGGCCCCACGTGGGACTAAAGGCACTCCGTCTACTGACAGCAGCTCCCAGTAAAACAGGTCTTCTCCCCTCCTGGGATCAATGCTCATCTGCCTTGCTGGCATTTCTGCCCTACTTTGTGTAATCTGCCCTTCTGCTCTAAACTCTCCTCCCACCTATCCCTTAGTTATCTTTAGAGCGAGCTAGGACCAAGAGTTTGAAGACATTCTGTCAGCCTTCAGGGACTGTGCCGGAACCTGGTGGGTCTGCCTCTCAACACAGGTAAGGAACATGCTGCAGGTACACCACACCCCCGCTATAGCTTTTCTCTGGTCTCCTTCCTTCGGGCAGGAGGCAAAGCCAACTCTAAAACTCCTACCAATGTCTGAAATCCAATTATTTCCACCAGCTCTGGCAGATGTGTGCTATGACACATCTTTGTGGCCCCTCTGACAGGGATGGCATGGAAGTTACACTGACTCAGGGCTCATTTTAATCAAACTGGGAAGGCAGGTGCAGGCCCAGGACTCCAGACAGTCTTTGTAATTCTGTTTACACACAGCCTATTAGAAGCAACAGATTCATCATTCCTTCAGAGGAGCACAGGCAACAGTAACCCTACGTCAGGAGAGCCCAAGCCCAACTCCACGGAGAAGGCTGCTCTAGTCCTGATGGTCTGTTTTTCAGATAAGCAAGGGTCCGAGACCTTTGTCCAGCTGCCCTTCCTGTTTGCTCCCTCTGCCCTGTGGTGGAAGACCAGTTCCCATCTTCATACCTCTCCTTCCTTCTTTCAACTCCCACTCTGCCAAGCCCTTTGAGTGCTCCTTTCCTGGTCTGGGAATGCTGATCCTCTGTGGACTGGAGCCCAGTCCAGCTTGAGGCAGATTTCCAGGCTAACCACCTCACCACTGGTGAGAATGGCCCTGGGTTAGACTATGACTAGGATTTGAACTTCTGACTCTATCCTTCTGGGTGCTCATGAAATGCACATGAGACCACAGAATGTTGGGATGTCTGTACCAGGCAGATGACAGAGGTTGGTGTGTGTGTAAGAAAAGCAGAGAGCCTGCCTTGTGAGGCAGAGTGTGCTGGCAGTGCTGAGGACCAGAATCCCTTTACCTGTCCTTCCCCAGAGTCTTCTTTTCTGCCTTCTTCCTGCTGCCAAGGTAGCTTTTCTCCTGGCACCAAGAACCCTACAGGAACACTTCTTCTGCAACAGCCAGGTTTTGCTTTTTTGAGTTCAATAATAATAAAAAAAAAACCCCAAACCCGAAGGCTTTCAAGAACTGGTTAGCCTTTTCCACTGGTTCTAAAACTGGTTCTATCCACTGGTTTCTGTACCGAGGAAAAGAAACACAGAAGTTGGGTCTTCTGTATGAAACCAAGAGAATGAATCTGATAAATACCTCTTTGAGGATGATCTTATGAAAGGGCTCACTCAGGGGTCACTCAGCACAGAACCTATTCCCCCAGCAACTCACAGCAAAAAACAGGGTTGCCAGAAGAAGTGGGAGAGCCTCAAGAAGGTGGCCTCCAGAGCCTCTGGTCCTTCCCCCGTCCTGCTCATCTACAATACTTGGGCAGGTTTTGCATTTTGATTCTCTTGTCTATACTAGGCTGTAAACCTCCTTTTCCAAACACTAGTGTAGTTTGGAGTGAAGACGGGAACTATTGTCCTGCTGGTAAACTCCATCAGATTGGGTTAACTCGCCACTCCATCCTCTGTGCCCAAGGAAAGAAAAGAGAACAACTACACTAAAGGTACTCATGCACCGGGCACCTGGGTGGCTCAAAGGGTTAAGCATCCACTTTCGGCTCAGGTCATGATCCCGGAGTCCTGGGATTGGGCCCTGCATCAGGCTCCCTGCTCAACGGAGAGTCTGCTTGTCCCCCTGCCCCTCACCCTGTTCATGCTCTCTCTTTCTTGTTCTCTCTCAAATAGATAAAATCTTAAAAAGCAAAACAAAGTGCTCATGCTGCCCCCTCCGAGCTGGCCAGGCTTGCTGTGCATGTGGGTGGATGGCAGCTTCAGGTGGGCTGAGTGCCAGAAGGGCAGGCCTGAAAGTGTGCTGGTGTGGGGCTCTGCATCTTTGCCCTGGACAGGCAAGGAGATGAGGCTTCGGGATGGCACTGGGGCTCAGTCACATCACCTCCTTGCTCAGTCACGAGCAAGGAGGCCCATGCTCAAGCACTGAGCATGGGCCTCCTTACTGGACTAGGCTGAGAGCTCCTGAGGGTTTGGAAAGCTTCCTACATGGGTGAATTCTTTTGACAAAGATTTCTCCTATGTTATATAAAACTGGCCAATGTTTTCTGATTTATGGATGAAAGTCATTAATGTTTAAATCTTTCTTTTTAAAGATGAAAAAACTCCTTAAAAAAACTTAATTTCCATGCAAGTCATGGGTTCAGCCATGACAGTTCCTGGAGTGATTCAAATTCAGCTTTTTATGAATGGATAAGGAAGATGTAGTCCATATACTATGGACTACTATGCCATATATATATGGCATATATATATATGCCATATAGTCCATATACTATGGAGTATTATGCCTCCATCAGAAAGGATGAATACCCAACTTTTGTATCAACATGGATGGGACTGGAAGAGATTATGCTGAGTGAAATAAGTCAAGCAGAGAAAGTCAATTATCATATGGTTTTGCTTATTTGTGGAGCATAAGGAATAACACGGAGGACATGGGGAGATGGAGAGGAGAAGGGAGTTGGGGGAAATTGGAGGGGGAGATTAACTATGAGAGACTGTGGACTCTGAAAAACAATCTGAGGGTTTTGGAGGGGCAGGGGGTGGGAAGTTGGGTGAGCCTGGTGGTGGCTGTTATGGAGGGCACGGATTGCATACAACACTGGGTATGATACATAAACAACGAATTCTGAAACACTGAAAAGAAATTAAAAAAATAAAAATTAAAAAAAATTCAGCTTTTTAAAGCATACTCAAAGCTGAATAATGAGCAAACAGCAGCAACAAGCCACCCAACCAGCCTTTGCAGTATGTGGGCCACAGCCTACTGTAGGCAGTCAGAGGGCCCCACGAGGAGCCCTCTGGGGGTTGGGAGCAGGATGGCAGGGGAGTCCCCAGGAGGCTAAAACCAATGCTGACAGTGCCTGTCAATCCCACAGATTTGAGCTTGATGGGGAAGAACACCAGTGAGACAGTCCAGTCTGTGCTGTGAGGGAGGGAAATCCAAGATAAGATGTGCCACCACTGAGAAGAAGGACAGGCCGCCTTTGACCAAGGTTAAAATCCACTCATTGTTACAACTCATATTTTCTACAGCAGAATAGGAAAACAACATCAGTTCTTGAAGTAAATCTAGTATGTGTCAGTGGGGGCCCAGAAGCCCCTGCAGTAGGAGCGTTAGCATGTGCCAAGCTGCTCAGTGGGGTCGTCTCTCACACCTTCAACCTGGAATTGGCTTCCAAGCCACAGAATTAAACTGTTACATATATATATTTGTTTTTTCCCCAGAGAAAATTCATGCTGCCTCCAAAGCTAACACACACGTGGGCATCCATGAGCTTACTGCCCCTCATGCCCCCTGTAGCCTCTGCCTGGCCCGTCAGTGTTGAGACGGTGGAAGCAACACAGTGGAAGCCGAAGAGCTGAAAGGCTTGGCTAATGACCCTACCTTGCCTTTGTTGAAGTAGTGGATGATCTTGCGGCACAGTCCCTCTTTCCGCTGCCACTCGGTCTGCGACGGGTAGTGCAGAAATTCCCGCAGCGGCCGTTCCTCCCACTGTAGCAGCTCACAGTAGAGGAGCAGAGTGAATGCAGCCTCTGTGGGGACAGGCAACATGGAGGTCCAGGGGCTTCTCCTCAGGGGCCTGGGAGTAGCCTGGTGCCAGTGGATGAGGCTAAGTACGATGCGAGGGCAGGCCATGTTCAGCCCAGGTCAGGGACACTGGATACCGAAGGTGACATAGAGGGGCTGCCCATAGCATTAAGGGGCTTAAGATCCTGGCAGGCACCTTCCTCCCACAGTTGCTCACTGACGCTGGGCTCCAGGTAAAGCACGGCCTGGTTACCTGAGTTTGTGTACAGGCTGCCTTGCTTTGGGAGATGCTGACATGTCAGACAGTTCTTGGGTTCCTTTTCAGTCAACTGACTACAGCTTCCTCTCCAGCCTTCTCAGACTGGCTTTTGTGGGTGGGCACTGACCCAGGTTTCTCTCAGCAACCCCTCCAAGCTAGCCCCAGTGGCTCCAGAACCATTTTCTGATCTTAGCATGGCCCTCATCTCCACTGTTTCTAAAAGGACCAGAGAGGAGTGTAAGTGGTGGTAACTGTGATGGGCCTGTAGCTGAAGGCTCTATTCCTGGAGGAGCCAAAGCTTTGCTGGACCCAGGCCCGAGGACCAGTGGCACCTTACCCTATATGTGTAACTGTTGGAGAAGCTTATATCAAACAACACCACCAGGACGCCTGGGTGGCTCAGGGGGTTAAGCCTCTGCCTTTGGCTCAGGTCATGATCTTGGGGTCCTGGGATTGAGCCCCGTGTCAAGGTCTCTGCTCAGTGGGGAGCCTGCTCCCTCTCCCGCCTACTTGTGATTGCTCTCTTTCTCTGTCAAATAAATAAATAAAATCTTAAAAAAACAAACAAACAGTAACACCAAAATACTATGGTTCCCTCAATTCTAAGGCATGTGTCACACTGAATTACAACCACCACTCATTCCTGTTCTATTTGCTCATTTTCAGTGGGCATCTTCTACTGGCAAGGTAGGTAGTTCTAGCTTCTGCCTGGCCTTCAAGGCCCTACTCAAGTCTGCTCCCCATGACTGTGAAGAATCTCATCTCCAACTAGTCCAGAACCCACTTCCAGTTTTAGCCAGATACACCTGCCTGCAGCCACTCTCCGGGCTCCTTGTCATTGCCTCTCTGCCTGTGCTCTGGCCACTGGACCTTCCTGCCCAGGGATGCACAGGCCTCCTTACTGGATTGGGGTGAGGAGTCCTTTCTGGGGACAAGACTCTGACACACTAGAGGCCTTCCTCTGAAACTTAGGAAACCAGGAGAATCTTCTTCTTTCTGACTATATCCTTTCAGATGTTACTCCTGAGGCCACCAGAGACACAGCTTAGCACCCTTTCTCTGTCCAGATCCCTCACCTAGCCTCTTAGTCATGGCCCAGTCCTCAAGGAGTTAGTAAAAGCCTCTACAGTACATGAAATTTATCAAAGTCTATGACTTCACCCCTTTCTCAGAGGGTTGCTGGAATCATGGGTGGAAGCAGACACTGAGAATGGCAGGTTCAGCCCAGTCATTTCAGATTTTAATTCCTGCCAACCTCTGTGGTCAGGAAAGGTGGCATCTATAGCAAATGATCTCTTACATCTTGAGACGAAGAGGGAGGATTCTGAGTTTCTACAGATCCAGCTAATTCTAGTCATGTTTATGGACAAGAATAGCTTGAATTTCCTGGTTTGTCACACAAATTCGAGAGGTAGGGTGTGGTGGCTGGTCACCACATTGAGGAAGGTGGCTATCTGGGGGGAACTATAACACACGGTGATCAGGCAGGAGCCCCATGCACGCATATGCTCTCCTGACTCAGCATAGTGCTCAGTAAACGGTGTGACAGGTAGGTTGACATGCTATTCAATTTGTTCCATTAGAAAAGGCCTTTGGGTGCCCGGGTGGCTCAGTTAAGCATCTAACCCTTGATTTTGGCTCAGGTAATGATCTCAGGGTCGTGAGATTGAGACCTGTGTTGGGCTCTGTGCTCAGTGGGGAGTCTGCTTAAGATTCTCCTTCTCTTTCCTCCTCTGCCCATCTCCCGCAAAAGAAAAAAAAAGAAAAAAGAAAAGAAAAGAAAAAGAAAAGCACAGGCGTTAGTGTGGATTAAATTGTACACACAGTGAAAGCACCCCCATCTGGCCTGTCAGGAAGCCAGGTGGACGCTCTCCGCACTCGGCATGCTCTCCATTGGGAGCTCGAAGTGTGGCTGCTCTGTGCAGCTGCAGGAGGGAGAGCCTAGGGTGCGAGGCAGTTCTGCTGGTGAGCTCTGGAAGGCCCAGGGTTAGGTGGCTATTTCTGTGTTGTGGCCTCACTTAGCTCTGGCCGTGGAGGTCTTCAGGAAGGCTGTGCTCATGGAGAGTGACACTGAGTTCAGGATGTCTGAACCTAGCACGTCAGAATTTGGAGGTTACCCTTGAGGCCTCAGAGTTGGTGGACTGGAGGCACAGAGAGAGCAGAGCGGCCTCACATAGCAGAGGACAGGCATGTTGGCATGGAGGAATTTCTGCCTGCTCTCTCTCCACCACATTTTACAAAGTTGCTGAGGGAAAGGAGCCAGGTGAGGGCGCAGCCCAGGCCCCACCACTCTGCTAAGATCTGGCAGGAACCAGCTCAGAGCCTTCTCATGCCTGCTGTGCATTCCTGTCCTGTCTGTCCTCAGGGGAAGGCACATCTGGCCCCCTGCCACGCACCTGTGTAGTTTTCAGCCTGTAAGTGCATGTCACAGAGCTTGTGGATGTAGCGGATATACATCTCTTCTTTGTTGATCTCAGATTTGTAAAAATTCTGTAAGAGAGAAGGAAATACACATTAAGATGAGAGAGGCTTCCCCCTGTAGCAGCCATACCTGAGCTCCAGGAGGCTGGCCAAAGCCCTGGGTGCGCTGGACGGGAGAAGGAGGGCAGGCCATGGAGGCCCCTGGCACCAGAGAGAAAGAATCAGCTAGAAGACACACCTGCTCCCCAGGTGTGGTACAGCCAGTGGCAGACCTGGGGGAGTCCTAAGTGGCGAGTAAGGGGACGAGGGCCAAGGCAGACTGGGATGTAGGGTATGTCAGGGTTGACTGGACCTTGCCAAGAGGCCAGTGTGGAGTTCTGTCCAAAGAGAAGCTCATGTCGTTCCTTTCCCAAGTGGGAATGTGACTGAGGAGTTGCAGACCTCCAAGACACCAGTGACAGAGCTGATATCCTGCCTCAAACCCTTAGGCTTACAGCCACTGTAGAAGGGCCAAGCCCATCACACCGTAGGACAGATTCCACTGGGCAGATAGGAGGAAGGGCCCATGTCCTCTCACCATCAGGTTAACAGTACAGCCGATCTTCTTATTTTCTGTTTCCTCTCCTTTCATGCAGTCCCTGGATGGGAGAACACAAATAAATGTCCCATGACACGAAGTGCTGCCTCTGAGACAATGCATAGGACTCCAGGGTCACGGAGGCATTAGCATGACTAGACACGAAATTAGGATGCTCTCCAACAGAAAATGCTTCCACAGATGGGGACTGTACAGGGAATTCCCCTTGAGCTTTGGACCCACTTTCAGGGCTCAGAGGTCTCTGTTCAACTGAACCCCTCATTCTGGTGGCAGAGTGTAGAGACCAGATAGTACATTAGGGCATAAAGCAGCACCAACCAGTATCCTCAGTACAGAAGAAGGTATCGGTAAAGTAGAATGTTAAATCCCCAAGTCCTCAGAAGGAGAGGCACAGAGCTTTCCTGACAGGGAAAGCTCCCTTTGTAGGACAGTGTTCAACAGAAGCCAAGATGCTGCGCTCCAAGGGCCTAGCCTCAGGACCCTGTGGCTACAGCGATCATGGCATGGTCATCATAGTAGCCACCTCACTGACTTTTCTCCCTATGCTGTCCTTCCTGTGCACTAAAAAGAAACACATGTTTGATGTTTCTTTCTGGCGTGAGGTTAGCTTCAGCCAGGGATGGGCTGCGTTCATGCTAGACTGAGCCGGGCAGGGTTGGATGGAGGAGGGGTCAGGGCTGGCCTGTGAGACACAACAGGAACACTGAGGATGGCGCTCCTTCCCTAGGAAGAGAGGGGAGAGGGAGAGGTCAAAACCAAGCTCCTCTGGAAGGAGCAGAGGCTTGGCACAAGGAGACAGAGGAGAAGGAGAACCAGATTGGTGAATCCGGCAAGAAACCTCCTGTATGCACAGCCAGAGTCCCATCTGCCTGTTGCGCCCTGTTCTGTGGCACCCCACGCTGCTCTGGTGTGTAGATGCAGCTCCTCAGGCAGCTGGGCATAGATGGGTTTGTGGAGCACTAAGATCGGGGGGAAGAGAGCGTCTTGGCTTTGCTCCACTGACAGGCATGCAGCCTAGGGGGAAACCTCATAGCTGGGAGTCAGGAGCCCTAGTCCAATGTATACATATTTAACTGTCAACAACTATTTTCTTAGTAGGTCCTTGATGAACTAAACTGCACTGGGGTTGAAGAGACTTTCTTGGTTCCTTCATGGTCTTCTAGTCAATCAGTATGTACTATACACCTGCCTGAGGACCATCAAAACTCCCTGAACTTCTGGGTGATTGTTGGACAAACTCAGTTATCCCCACCTTCCCAGCTGCAATCCAGCTCCCAGAGGGATGACTTTGAAAGAAAGGAATACTGAATGGTCTACACAGCAATCATGGTATTCCACAAAGTCAAATGTCCTTCCTTCTGTGGAGGGCTACTATCAGAGCAGGCAACAATGTGGGATTTGAAACCAAGGTCCTCCTTTTGGGTTCCCTCTCAGGCATGGGAATTTGGTTCATTTGTAGCTGGACATGGGGTTCCTGCACAGGCCACTGCAGAGCCTGTCTTTTGGAGCTACCAGGGACAGGAAACTGCTGTGACTTTTCAAGAGGAGGGCCAGATGGCCAACTTGTTACAAGCAACACTCAAAGTGGCAGGAGGCATCTGTCTCTCCAATAAGTTGGCCCCAGAGAGGGCAGTGACATCTCAACTAGCTACTTTGGCATTAAATGGTTGTTTTTTTTTCTAGAAAGCATCTGAAACACTTACCAGGTATCACCTTCTGTTTGGCCATAACTAGAACCTTACTGTCAAGTCAATTAAACAAAAAAGCATTGGCCTCAATCCGTTGATAGCAGGGGCATTCCCCACCCACCTTTGTGCACTATGACCGCCTCTCCCATGCACTGCTAACAACCGACTCTTCTCTTCTGTGTGGTTTTGTATCACTTCCCTGTGGCTACTCCACAGAGAGGACACGTTTTAAAGCCTTTGAATTGGGTGTGGTCGTTGCTCTCCTGCACTTTCTCTGGAGGAGGAATAGGGAAGACTCTCCTAAACAGGCTTCTGAGACACGTGGGTGGGAGCATGGTGCTCATGCAGAGCAAGACCAGGGCCCAGGCAGCCCCGGGGCGGGGCGGGACTGGAAGGCTCCATAACTTCCCATTTCTCTTCTAGATAGCGCGCTCCAATTAAATCCACAAGGGCTTGGCAACTCTAGCTCTGTCCCTGCATGTTCCAGGGCACTAAGAACCACTCCCCCCACCTGCAACCCCAGGGGCTCTGCTTCCTTGCCTGGGAAATACCAAAGCCACCAGTGAGCACCTCTGTATCTGACACAGAGTACTGTTCTCACAGAAGATGGAGACATTAGCACAAACACGGAAGAGGTGCCCAGAGGAGGTTCATGCTAAAATGGAGTCTCACACTCTAGGGTGAGTCATTCTGGAGTATAAACTATTAATTAATTGTGTAATCAATGTATACATATTTAACTGTCAACAACTATTTTCTTAGTAGGTCCTTGATGAACTAAACTGCACTGGGGTTGAAGAGACTTTCTTGGTTCCTTCATGGTCTTCTAGTCAATCAGTATGTACTATACACCTGCCTGAGGACCATCAAAACTCCATGCAGGGTACCGGGGAGATAAGGACAAGGTCCCTGTCCTCAGGAAGTCACTCTCTTCAACTGAATGAGTCAGAAAGGTGACAAATGATCATCATCCAAGGGGCTTTGGATGCTTTGGAAGAAGTATGTGCAAAGATCCAGGTGAGCTCCTATCTGGGAAAGCCTCCTTGATGGGACTGGGTAGAAAGGGCACTCTTGGGAGAAGACAGCACGTAGAGAAGAAAGAAGGGAAAGATGTGAGTGCGGACAACATGGGTGAGGGGAGAGGGCATGGTTCTTGAGTAAGATGTGGGTTCAGATCCTAGTAATGGCATTTCCTGCCAATGGTGTTTCTTCACTGATGAAAACAAGGATAAATCCTTCAGGGCTGCATATGGGATCAGAGACTGTTTGTAAAGCACAGAGCATGTGGTATATTTTTAACAGATAAGAGCCATCATAAGGATTGTGGTGTATCCTTTTGTGTTAACAAAGAACAACACTAGGAGGTTAGGGTATGCACATGGCTAGTGGGGACTGTCAGGGGACAGGGCTGAATAAGTGGGCAAAGGCCAGTTTATGAAGGGGCTTTGACGCCACATGAAAGAATATGAACTTTGTTTTTTTAGGAACCATTCTTGAGACAAGAAATGGAAGAGAATGAAATTGGTTTTGACCATGAGTTTGAATTGTTTGTACAAGGTAGGTAAAAAAATCAAACAGATAGCTAGAACTAGGCTAGGAAATTAATTTTGGCTCTTTCTAGCAGGCTGCAGAATAGAGCTGACTTTTAGTAAATGTTTCAGTGAGGGGGAGGTTACAGAATCTTGTCCACACTTCCCTGTCTGATGGCAGGTACAGAAAAGGCTGGGAATGTGGCATGAGCAAGGGGGTTCACTATTCTAAAAGAGGTCCCCAAAAGGCCACTTGTGACCTCATAAGGCACAGTTGTGCTACAGGAAAAGGAGATGCTTAAGAAGTGAGCCCATTTCTCAGGAATTCCTTTTCCAAGCCCAGCTAGTGCACAGGATGGACACCCGAGTCTTCTGCAAAGCAGAAGTCTTGGCATAGCAGTACCCTCTATTCAGCAGCAGCTGGAGGTGGCCTAAACTCCCTAATTTCTTGATACACTGGTTGCAAGTACTCTCCTTTTGTGTTTGCACATCTTGTAGCACAGAGGAGACAACTATTGTTTGGTGATGGGTTTACTCTGTCATTCTTCCTCATTCCCTATCACCTTCCTCTAGCCACCACATGAACTCTGCTGAGAGAATAAGCCTGTAACAGGGGCTTCACTGCCACTTTTGGAGTAATTCAAAAGCCATGATATGACAGAAGGCAAGACTTCATGTAAAAACAAATTTTACAGGAACTCTCAGACTGAACACAGCATAAAGATCTCTGAGCTCACATCTGCTTCCTTTAATCTATTTATGGCCAGGACCAAGGGACAGAAATAAGCAGACTTTAGGCAAAGAATAGAGGTATGAAGAAATAGGGTCCCCAGTCCCTGGAAAAAACAACTGGAAGTCCTACAAGGTCCCACTTCTGCACTAGGTGACATCTCGCTGCCCATCTGCCATATGGCTCTCAGGAACATCTGCACAAAGGACCCCATTTCCTGCATTGTTCTGCTGTGGCCATTTCTCTGAGCCTTGATTTTTCTGGATGGAAAGCCAGATGCCAGCATGTCCCTGGACTATTCCCTGGGAGCACATATTAGGGAATCCCAGGAAGCCCTGGCCCACCCTTGGGAGAAGGCTCTTTCCCTTTCTCTCCTTGGCCATCAGTAGATTCCTCATGACTGGTGATGGCACTCAAAACCCAGAGCAGTCCTCCCCCTGAAGGCCACATGGTCTTAATTTTATAGTTGGGGATGTCCTTGCTGAGGAGAGCATCCTGATCAGAGAAGAGGTCAGGTAGGTCAGTGTCTGAGAAGATACCTGTAGTCAAGAAGGCGTTCCATGAGGCGGGTGACTGAGGTCACAAAGGAAATGCCGGTTTCACGCCATGTTTCCTGTTCGACCTTCTCCAGCAGGCTATTGGTAGGAAGTAGGGGAAGCAAACACAATGTACAATTCATGAGCTTTTCCTGGGCACCAGAGTGAGGTCCCAGAGCCCGTGGGGCCTGTGATGGATCTGGAGACGGCAGACTTACCACACTGCAGTCTTACCTGGGGTAGGGCCCAAACAGCTGGGTTCTACTCCATGCAGCAGAAAGCAAAGACAAGGTGATTACTGAACTGGCAGGAACAGATGAGCATATTTTCCATTTTCCTGTGTAAGTTCCTAAGGGTGCTAATGAACTGAGGAAGGGGTTTTGAAGCCCCAGCCCTTTAGGTGTATGCTGTGAGGTTTGTTCTGAAACAGCAGCTGAGTGAGAGCCCCCTGAGGATGGTCTTGCAGTTGGTCATCTACTTCTATCACTGCTCGAGAGGCATCCTCAGCGAACATACAGACTAACCTTTCTATGTAAACCAAGAAAAATGTTCCAGCTAGTCTGGACAGTCCAGTATGAAGGGCAGTAAGCGAGTCTAGGAGCTAGACCTGGTCATCTCCACTGTCAGGGGACGCTTCTGTGTGAAACGTACCAAAGCCAAGAGCTAAATGCCCAGGTCCTTTTCTCATTTGCCAGCCCCTGCTGGTACCTCAGGGCAGCCTCTGGCTTCTCTGCCTTCTCACAGATCTCTCCTAGGGGATGATGACCTGGACACTCTGCTTGCTCCAGTAATAAGCCCAGGTCCAGGTCTCATCTCTGATTCCTTTCCACACTGTCCCTCATTCCCTGCAAGTAGTGAAAGTCAACTGGAATGGCAGGCCCAGCTAGAGGCCCAGCCTGGCTGCCATTCATGCTTCCATGATGGTGATGGTCTTCCCCACACAGTGCATGGCCTGAGCTGAGATTCTGGGAAAGTGAGGGTTTCCCATGTGACCCATGTTACTAGAGAGTGAGGGCAGCACCATTGCTCTGGGCTCCGAGCTGTGTTTTTGAAGCCACTGTGTCAGGATTTCCCACACTATTCTATAGAGCTCTGCTGTCCTGGAGGGCTGAGAAAGGTATTCTGTGAGCAAACAAGCCCGTGAAATGCCGGCCACACTCCTGTTGGAGAGATTTCACAACTTTCTTTGTTTGGTAGGCTTTGAGAAGTCCTACAGTACAGAAGCCCGTTCAATTTTAATTGAATCTTTTCTGAACTGATTAGCCCATGATCCACTTATTTTCTTCCCCAGAATCTTCCCCAAAACACAAATTGGGAAATGCTGTTCCATGGTCCTTTGCAGCTTTCAGCCCTCAGACATGATTTAGAAGAGTTTATGAAACCCTATTTGGTCAAGTAATTAGTAACTGCAAGTTATTTGTGTGCTTTTTGCTTTGCAGTAAAATCAACAGTTAGTGACTTCGGAAGAGATTTCTCTGTATTATTTCCATAATTAGAAACATCTTCAGGTAAAAGAACAATACTAAAGTATGGATTCATTTTCATAGATAAGAATTATTTACCTTTCAAATAAATTCATATTTTATCATATGACTCATCAAGGAACAAAGTGGGCAGGATTTATAGCCGAAAGATCACCCCCTCTTGAAACTGGAAGATCTGGGTCTTTCCCCCACAGACCTGCTTCTCACTGATCATTCAACTGAGGGCAGGCTAACACTTCCTGAGCTCAGTTTTATCAACTCTATTCATCAAGCTGACTTCTGCCCTGCCCACTTCATAGGCGTGTATACAGTATACATTTTGTATACTGTAAAGTTCTAAGTAAATGTACAGTATTATTATTGGAAAAATATGTTACAGGCTTATCTTCAAAATGGCATTGAAACAAAGAAAAGTATTAAAGCTGGAAATAATGAGTAAGATGGGAAGGGACTCTCTACCTGTAAGAGCCTTAAGATTTTGTTTTTTAGGGGTGCCTGGGTGGCTCAGTGGATTAAGCCACTGCCTTCAGCTCAGGTCATGGTCTTGGGGTCCTGGGATCAAGCCCTGCATCGGGCTCTCTGCTCCGCAGGGAGCCTGCTTCCCCCTCTCTCTCTGCCTGCTGCTCTGCCTACTTGTGATCTCTCTCTCTCTGTGTCAAATAAATAAATAAAATATTAAAAAAAAAGATTTTGTTTTTTAGGAAGGTAAAGTGTCCACCATCACTATTTATCTAGGAGGACCATGGCATCCTTGAGTCCCTCTTTGGACTTAGCCCTGTGGCAAGTCCTGTAAGGTCTCTTGGCATCCATCAGTTCAAGACAGAAGCTATGAATGGTGGACCTGGGAGAACCCCTGACATCATTCAGCACACCTGCCCGGTTTTACAAACAGGGAAACTGGCCTGGAGAGTGGGTACAGCTTGTTAAAGTCACAATACCCACAGCAGTGTTTTTCCCAAGCTGACTGAACCATCTTACAAACCAGGGATTAACTTTTTTCCTCTTAGAAATGCCAGCACTGAGCCCTCACTGAGTCCCCATGGGTTGTTTGCCCAGGATACAGTGCATGCTATGAAGACACATGATTTCCCTTTTCCTATCAGCAAATATAAGAGCTCAGCGTTATCACCTGTCTCTACCTTTTCAGTCAACTATGGCAATCCCTGAGTGAACTTACTGAGATAAGGCCATCTTCTTGTTGACTAGGAATGATCCAGGTCTCTCCTGATACCCACCCTCTGAAGCCTGCCCACCAGCGTGGGTTGCACCCCTACCCTTCATCAGCCCACTTCACCCCCTCCCCCAGCGTGGGGTACCAGGGGCTGAAACAGCTTACAGCAGGCCAAAGAGCTCCCTGTAGCTCTCGTCGCCTTTCCCTTCTGACACCATGCTGTCCAGCTTGTCAATCAGCTCGGCCTCCACCTAGAGGGAAGCAGAGACTTCGTAAACCTGAGCTGACCTCAGAGGAAGGATGGGAAATTCAGCTCCTGCCATATGTGAGGATGATGCAGAACTGTTTCCTGATTTTTTTCCTTGTAACAAATAAATCCTAGGGAAGGCAGGATCTCATCTACGGCACCAAGAAGCCCCCCTGACTCCCCTGATTAGGAAGGCCTCTCACTCCAGTGGCTTAAATAAAATTTGGAATTTATACACCTTAGATACTCTTTTCCTGGTCTAGGGACAAAAAGCAAGGATTCCCTGGAAAGAAAAGTATTTTGAATCCAGAAGAGGCCTTTGCTAATTTTTTCCCTTTTTTCTTAAAAAAAGCTCATTCAAAAGAAATTGTGTGAGTAAATTACATTTGGTTAGAACTTTACTCTCTAGTCAGCCAGTCACAAAGGAAGCCTGCTGCTGGGCTAGTCCTTACTGTAATGGCTGACAGGATTCTGAGTTGAGTAGGAGTCTTTCCTTCAGATTCTCCTTCAGGGTAAAATGCTCCACTGTCATCCTCATAGGACCTAAAGCCTTTGGGGCTTCTGCCTCTGCCACTGCCTCATCACCGGGGCCCTTGCATTTGTTATTGGATTCCTAAACTGTAAGGGGTAAGACGGTACTTGTTCCCACCCACTGATCTGCAAGGAACTCAGCAGTGCTCGGCCACTTTTCTAATAAGCTTCCCTGGATTTACTCTGAGGTGAGAAATTAGTTGTAAGTGATGTGAGTTAAATATCTTTTAAACCCCTAATTAGTCCATAAAAAATGTGGTATTTGGTATTTATACAGATACTTCATGTAAACAAAAACGGCATGGCTGCTTTTAGTGATGAGCTGTAACAGAAGCATTTTCTCATTTCGCATAGGACCAATGAGTCCGAAGGCAATGAAATAATAAAAAAAATAACTGGATTAGGAAATTCATTGAAGGCAATTATGGCTTCTGAAATCCCTTCAGCAGAAAATGAGAATGGATGCATAAATACGGTCCTCTTTATAGTGGTCTGTTATGTGGCCGTGATGGACACTGTCATTCATCTATATTTGGCCTGATGAGTCAGCTGCTTGAATATGCATTTCAGAGAAAAGAGAAAATCTGAGACCAAGGGTCCTTAGGGATCCATGTCATCTGTTTTTCTCTGTGTGGAGAAGAGGCTGCAGCAGGGACTTGCCTGGGGTCCTGTAAAGTCAGGAAGAGCCAAGCCCAGAGGCCAAGGTCTCTTATTTTCAGTTTAGATCTTATCTTGTCTTACTGGGGCAATCAGCTAGCCACAAGCCTCCCGGTGTAAGAAGATGTCTTTTTATATGTAAGAAGGTGTCTGTTTATAACAAGGGATCTCTTTTCACACATGCAGATACACGTAGATTGTATTTACCAGAATGCGGCAAAGCTGGGGAGGGGACCTGGAGCAGCAGTGAGTACAACAGTGCACACATGGGTGCAGCAGTTCCCTGGAGTTCTCAAAATGGGTCCCTGGGCCAGCAGTATTGGTCATCAGGGATGTCACTAGAAATGCACATTCTTGGAGCACCTGGGTGACTCAGCTGGTTACATGTCCAACTCTTGATTTCGGCTCAGGTCATGATCTCAGGGTCATGAGATTGAGCCCTGCTGAGCGATGAGCCTGCTTAAGATTCTCTCCCTCCCTCTGCCCCTCCCCCCACTTGCGTGAGTCCATCCTCTTTCTCTCAAATAAATAAATAAATCTTAAAAAAAATAGATACAAATTCTCAGGCTCTCAATGGATCAGAAACTTGGGAAGGAGAGAAGTAACCTGTTTCAAACAAGCCCTCCAGGTAGTTCTGATACCTATTCAAATGTTAGAACTTCTGTGTTAGGCAAAGGAGCTGGTGATGGAAGGCTCTGGGGACATGACTTCATCTCTCTCTTCAGTACTGATAAAGGAAGAAGTTATTAGGAGAAACTGAGAAATCCAAAATACGGGAATGCTGAAGATCCATGTATGCAAAACCAATGTCTTTAAGTCAAATGAAATGCTAAGTTCTGCAAATATATCGTATCATAATTGGTAATACTGACAATTTAAGGTTTGCAGAGTTACTTTTATCCTATGGAACCAATATTCCTAAAGTGACAAGTGACACCTTGTTACTCATTCATTCAACAAACATCTGTCCTGTGACAACCAGCTGCCTACTTCAGAACAAGATAGTTCCCTCTCTCAGTCTACGTTTTCTTGCTTACAAAGCAGTAAGAGAGGTTAACAGTCCTCTTTGGTATCCCTGTGCGCTAGCTCTTGGGAGCACTCCATGAATGTTACTTTTGATTTTCATTTCCATGAATCTAGCATGTCTCAGGTACCACAATGGGTTCTAAGGAGTGAAAGCACAAGAAACAGCCCTGGCCCCCAGGAGCTAGTTCATCATCTCAAAGAGGAGGCAGGGACAACAGCTGACTCATCTCAGCACGCTCAGTGCTTGGGACAGCACACACAGAGAGGGTGGCCTGCAGTCTAACACATCAGTGGACAGCAGCATTTTGAGAGGTGTTGTAAAAACTTAAGGAAAGCTTTTGCTCTTTGATCCAGCAATTTTAGGTGAAAAGTTCACCTAAGCAAATAATTAGGAATGGATATATTTTTTGCAATATTAGCAACAAAAATCTGGAATGAACCTGTTTCTAAAACTAGGAGCCTGACTAAAACCACAGCAGTCTAAGCCATGCAATGAAGAGTCTGTGGCCTCCGAACCGACAGTGTGGTACTGCGGAGCATGAACTGGCATGAAGAGACGGGTGACAACACGCTACTAAAAATGGAGATTCAAAATCAATACACACAATGGTCCTTGAAACCGCAATATACACAATGACTCCATCTTTTAACTTAAAAACTTTGATGTATGGGAAAAAAAAAGTCTAAAAAGGACACACGTTGCCCCCCACCCAAGTTACTAGTTAGGTAGGTTATGGATTAGATTTTTAAATTATAGCTTATTATAAGTTTAATTTTTCTACATTAAATAACTACTACTTTTATAATTAGAAGAAATAATTTTAGTAGGTAGGAAGAAGTAGGGGAGTAGTTAACAGGGCCAAAGCTGTGGAAAGCACAATTGGAATCAAGCAAAAAAGTCATTAAATTTTGGTGATTAGAGGGTGATGGGTGATTTTGAAGAGAGCAGCTCCAACAGAAGTGGGTACACACTAGACTGGACAGATAGGAGGGTGCGAAGTGGAAAGGGGGGGTACAAAGAGTAGATTACTTTTTAAAAATATCTAATAGGGGCATTTTTCAAAATTCTGGAGCAAACATTCCTAAAATCTGTATGGAACCAGAAAAGACGCTGAATTGCCAAGGAACTGTTGAAAAAGAAAAACAAAGCTGGGGGCATCATGTTGCCTGATTTCAAGCTATATTACAAAGCTGTGATCACCAAGACAGCATAGTACTGGCACAAAAACAGATACACAGACCAATGGAACAGGGTAGAGAGCCCAGACATGGACTCTCAACTCTAAGGTCAAATAATCTTTGAGAAAGCAGGAAAAAATATCCAATGGAAAAGAGACAGTCTCTTCAATAAATGGTGCTGGGAAAATTGGACAGCTATATACAGAAGAGTGAAACTCGACCATTCTCTTACACCAGACACAAAGATAAACTCAAAATGGATGAAAGACCTCAACATGAAACAAAATCCATCAAAATCCTGGAGGAGAACATAAGCCAGATCAACTTCTCTCAAAATATGCCTCCAAAGACAAAGGAAACAAAAGTACAAATGAACTTTTGGGACTCCCATCAAGATAAAAATCTTCTGCACAGCAAAGGAAACAGTCAACAAACAAAGAGGCAACCCACGGAATGGGAGAAGATATTCGCAAGTGACACTACAAAGGGCTGATATCCAAGATCTATAAAGAACTCCTCAAACTCAACACCCAAAAAACAGATTATCACGTCAAAAAATGGGCAGAAGACATGAACAGACACTTCTCTAAAGAAGACATACAAATTGCTAACAGACATATGAAAAAGTGTTCATCACCATTAGCCATCAGGGAAATTCAAATCAAAACCACACTGAGATACTACCTTATACCATTTAGAATGGCAAAAATTAACAAGGCAAGAAATAACAAATGTTGGAGAAGTTGTGGAGAAAGGGGAGCCCTCTTACACTGTTGATGTGAATGCAAGTTGGTGCAGCCACTTTGGAAAACAGTGTGGGGATTTCTCAAAAAATTAAAAATAGAGCTACCCTATGAGCGGGCAATTGCATTACTAGGAATTTACCCCAAAGATACAGATGTAGTGAAAAGAAGGGCCATGTGCATCCCAATGTTCATAGCAGGAATGTTCACAATATACAAACTGTGGAAGGAGCCAAGATGTCCTTCAACAGACAAATGGATAAAGAATATGGGGTCCATATATACAATGGAATATTACCCAGCCATCAGAAAGAAAGAGAATGAATACCCAACTTTTGTATCAACATGGATGGGGCTAGAAGAGATTATGCTGAGTGAAATAAGTCAAGCAGAGAAAGTCAATTATCATGTGGTTTCACTTACTTATGGAACATAAAGAATAGGAGAAGGAAGGGAAAAATGAAGGGGGGGAATCAGAGGGGAAACGAATCATGAGAGATTGTGGATTCCAAGAAAGAAGCTGACAGTTTTAGAGGGGAGGGGGATGGGAGGATGGGTTGGCCCGGTGATGGATATTAAGGAGGACATGTATTGCATGGAGCACTGGGTGTTATACGTGAACAATGAATCTTGGAACTCTACATCAAAAACTAATGACACACTGTATGGTGACTAACATAACATCATCGTCATCATCATCATCATCATCAATAAATAAATAAAACAAAGAATACCTGATAGGGAGGTAGCAGCAAGATTTTTCTAATCAGGGATAACAAGGTTTATATGGCTTGCTAGATAATTATTCACAATACTCTTTCTGGGGGAAGGGGGATGGGAACAGGGAGAGGGAGAGAGAGAACCCTTTTTTTTTAAAAGGTTTTATTTATTTTTTTGAGGTGGGGGACAGCACTAGTAGGAGAAGGGGCAAAGGGAGAGGGAAAAGCAGACCCTCTGCCGAGCAGGGAGCCTCATGTGGAGCTTGATCCCAGGAACCTGAGATCATGACCTGAGCTTAAGGCAGACACTTAACCGACTGAACCACCCAGGTGCCCCTGGAGAGAGAATCTTAAACAGGTTCCATGCCTAGCACAGGGCCTGACATGGGGCTCAATCTCACAGCCCTGAGATCATTACCTGAGCTGAAATCAAGAGTCAGACTCTTAACCAATTGAACCACTCAGGTGCCCCATGGCAGTCTTAATGGAGGAAAGAACAGAACTTAACAGCTGAGTCTTAAAGTGTGAGACAAATGAGTTCCAAGTTAGTCTTCCACAAAGGTAACCTTCTTTATTCAATAGTAGCAATGGGGGGATGCAGCCTAGCCCCTCTTTTAAGAGACTCAGATGACCCACGGTACAGTTCTGCAATGCAACCCATTTCTTGGTAAAAGGTCCTCTCATCAGGCATTGGTGAATTTTGTATAATTAAAAGGCTGTGACAACACAGAAAAGCAACAGATCTTTTCTGTTTGAAGTTATTATTTCCCAAAGAAATAAAGGCATTAGGACTGCACACTCCAAAATGGATTATTATGTCAAACTCTGTTTACCCATGATAAAGAGCATCTATGAAAAACTTAGAGCTAGCTTCATACTTAACTGTGAAAACCAAATGCTCTCCCTGAAGATTAAGAGGAAAGCAAGGACGTGCACTTTCATCACTCTTATTAACACCAGACCAGAGGTCCTAGACAGTGCAATGAGGTAAGAAAAAAAAAAAAACAAGGAGTGCCTGGGTGGCTCATTCAATTAAGTGTCTGACTCTTGATTTCTGCTCAGGTGATGATCTCAGAGTTGTGAGATTGAGCCTTGCTTTGGACTCTGCACTGGGTGTGGAGCCTGCTTAAGATTTTCTCTTCCCCTTCCTCTGCCCCCCACCCCAATTCACCTGCACACACACTCTCTCTCTAAAAAAAAAAAAAAAAAAAAAAAAAAGGAAAGGAAAGGAAAAGAATGAAAAGAAGGGACATACAGATCAGAAAGGAATAAAACTGTCTCTGTTTGAAGGTGATAGGATTATCTAAATAGAAAATTCCAAGGAATCTCCAAAAACCTTCTGGAAGTAATAGTTTAGCAAGGGTGCAGAAAATAATATTACTATACAAAACAATTATATTTCTATGTTCTAGCAACAATTGAAAAATAAAATTTAAAAATCAGAGTAATTTATAACAGCACCAAAAAAATAGGAAATGCATATAACCTAACAAAATGTACAAGCTCTGCATGCAGAAACTATAAAACATTAATGAAAGAAGTAAAAGAATACCTAAAAAACAGAGAGACACATTGCCTTCATGGACTAGAAGTATTAAGTATTACTAAGATATCAATTCTTTCCAACGTGAGCTACAGAATACAATGCAATCTCAACCAAAATCCCTGCAGGAATTTTTGCAGATATTGACATGCTAATTCCGAGACATAAGAGGAAAAGGGACTAGAATGGCTAAGACAATATTGGGGGAAAAAAGAATAAATTTGGAGATTCACACCACTTGATTTTTAAGACTAACTCTAAAACTACCATAATCAAGACACTCTGGTAATGGTAAAAGATAAGACTTCAATGGAAAGACTAGTGAGTCCAGAAAGAGAACTTAACACCTATGGTGAACTGATTTTTGACAAAGAATAGTATTTTTTTCAACAAAAGGTGTTGGACAACCATGTGGGAAAAAGAAAAAAAAAAGAGTCTGACCCATACTTCACATCTTATACAAGTGTTACCTCAAAATAGGTAATAGATCTAAATATAGAATTATAAAACCTCTAGAAGAAACACAGGAGAAAAAATTTTGTGGTCTTGGGTTAGGCAAAGAGTTCTCAGATATGACCCCAAAAGCATAGTCTATAGAAACTGGACTGCATAAGAAAAATTTTTGTTCTGCAAGAGACACTGTAGTAAACGGAAGATAAGCTAAGTACTAGGAGGAAATATTTGTAAATCATATATTCAACAAAGGACTGACATCTAGAATACATATGGATGTACATATATATCAACAATAAGAAACTCAAAACTCAACAATAAGAAAACATAACACAATTAAAAATGAACATGTTTTGCATAATCATTTCACCAAAGATGATATAAAGATGGTAAACAAACACATTAAAAGATGCTCATCATCATTAATCATTAAAGAAATGGAAATTAAAACTACCATGATACATAACTATATACCTCTTAGAATGGTTAAAATAGGGGCATCTGGGGGCTCAGTTGGTTAAATGTCTAACTCTTGGTTTCAGCTTGGGTCATGATCTCAGGGTCCTGGGATTGAGCCCTGCATCAGGCTCTGCACTCAACAGGGAATCTGCTTGAGGATTCTCTTTCTCCCCCTCTCCTTCTGCCTCTCTCTTCCCACTTGTACTCTCCTCCTCTCTCTCCTTCTCTCTCTCAAATAAATAAATCTTAAAAAAAAAAGAATGGCTAAAATAAACATGTAAATAAATGGTATTGAATTCTGGTGAGCGTATGGATCAACTATAAGTCTCACACATGCTGCTGGGATTTCAAAGTGGTATTGCCATTTTGGAATAAAATTTGATAGCACCTAATAAAGTTAAACATACATTTACCAGAATATCCAGCAACCCTATTCCTAGATCTCTACCTAAAAAAATGAAAGTTTATATTCAAACAAAAACCTGTAAAGAAATGTTAGCAGCCATATTCACAATCAACAAAAAGTGGAAATAATACAAATATCTTTCGAATGGTGAATAAACTGCCATGGAATACTACTCAGTCATAGAAAAACCAACATGTGCAACTGCGTGGATGAGTCTCTTGACGGCATTACGCTGAGTGAAAGAAGCCAGTCTCCAAACGCTACAGTTCACATGATTCCATTCACATGACATTCTGGAAAAGGCCCACCTACAGTGGTACAGAATAGATCAATGGTTGCCATAGGTTAAAGATAGGGGGAGGGTTTAACTACAAAAAGGTAGCAAGATGGAATTTTTTTTTATTGTGTTATGTTAGTCACCAGCAAGATGGAATTTTTAGGAATTTAGAAAATTTTGATTGTGGTGGTGGTTACATGACTATGTGTTTGCCAAAATTTACAGAACTATAAATCACAAAGAATGAATTTTACTCTTAACAAATTTAAAAATAAATAAATAAAAATTTAAAAATTATAGTTTGCCTGGTCTGCTCCTCACTGTTATAGTCACTCACTTTAAGATCACTGGTTCATCCCAAGCCACAGTGTTGGGAGGGAGCTTACTGGGAAGTGGTACAGTCTCCAACCCAATACGGAAATTTCCTAGAGGCCCCCTGGGACTATCTACTTGACAATCACCAGCAAAGAGGAACTCCCCACCCCCTAAAGCAGGCCAGCCTACACTAGACAGTTCCTGTTGCGAACAAGTTATTTCTTTTATTAGCTAAAATCAGCTTCCCTACCACTGATCCCTACTGATCCTAGTCCTATTCCCCAGAGCTTACACATAGAAAGGCAGGGGCCATCTCCTCTACCTTAGAGGTAGCAGAAGATTTGCACAAAGGCACAGCCCAAAGCTATTTAGTAAGAAGCTAAGGGCTTATTTATACCTCCTGTGCAAGAGTCCATGAAATTCTGGGCTACCCTGAGCCATGAGAAGTCATCTGGTCTTGGTTCTAGTCATAGAAATGCCAGAGAGGGAGGACAACATGCTCCTAGGGCCCTCTCCTGAATGAAGCTGGGAGGTTACAGTCTTAAACCATTCTCTCCTTGAACAGAAAGTTTCTTTCTCAGATGTTCATTTCTTTCCTTTGATTATTCTTTGACCTCTAACTTCATAAAGAAAATCCACAAATCAATTCTGGCTGGCAAGGGAAAACCCTTGAGCGGGATTCAAGATGGTCAAACTACAGTCCATTCCCAGTGGAACCACATTCTGGCCATTTGGGTCACCTGCCTGGGCAGAGGGGTCTATCCAGAGGAGAGCACCCTGAACACTGGTGGGTGTTGTCTTACCTGTTTGAAGTTGCCATTTTTTCTCTGCTCCCAGTCCATCATGTCATGAAAGATGGGAATCATGATATTCCGCACTTCTGGCTGTGGGACCAGTGTCACACCCAGAAAAGGACCAATCATTCCAGGAATAAAGTGGATCTTATGTTCACCTGAACAACAAAACCCAATATATATTAGTTTATGCTTTCTTTGGTCCCTCTATGGAAGGTTCCCATGTGGGGCCACAGTACCTACTTTCAAATGCCCTGGAAGGGACTGAGAATGAAGCAAGTTCTCCCCTATGGCTTTCTGAGATACTCCTTTTCTTGGCTTTTTAGAGTTCATAGATAAAACTGGTCCATCCCAGCTAAAATAAATGTTCAACAGGCATTTGGTAGGAAACTATCTTTCCAAAGAATTAATGGGAGGTTCAGCAAACTACCTGAAAATCATTCTGAGGTCAAGGAACAGAGTTCAGTACTTTAGGCAGAAGAGGATTTGTGAGTAACCCTATGATAGTTCCAGATTGTTCTGTTCAGTGTTGATTTAGCAAGGAAAACCCGTATATTTCTGCTTAAATACAATACACTATCCCTGGGGTTTCTACCTCTTGTCCAGAGGTATTTAAGTGGTAAGATGTTCATAGCCCCTGGTCCAGCTGCTAGAGGCCTGAAGTTCATGAGCATTTTCACTGCCTGTGCTCAAGTATGCCCAAGAAGCCTCCTCCTGAGTTAGCAGGAGCCTCCTGCACAACCCTACCCAGACAGAATGGTTTAGAGACTCTGTCTGTACTCCTCCCTGTCCCTGCCTCTTGTCTTCTCATTGTACTTCTGATGGCAGCACTGCATCTACTCAGGCCAGCTCAGCACAGCTTCCAATGTCCTTATGAGGCCTTTCCATGGCAAGTGGGTGATGCAGGTTTCTCTGAGACTGGCCTGCAATCTGGGCCATGTTCCCAGAAGGCGGAGCCAGTCCTGAGGACTGTGGGACAGAACTTTCCTCTTCCTTGTAGTGGTAAAACAGAGTGAGCCATCCTCTAGGGCTCTGCTTTCGGTCCTTCAGAGACTATAAAGGAGATGAAGTATGGGCCTGTGTAATGATTGCTACAGCCAAGTTAAGTCAGTTCTTGAGGACCAGAAAATACCATTTCCACCAGAAAAACAAAAACAAAAACAAAAACAAAAAACGAGGCAGGAATGGCTTTATCGGGCAAACCTGGCAACTTTTTTGATTTTTTCCATTGTGAAAGCCTATCTAAGGAGCAAAGGTTAGCCCTGAGGCTGACTCTATATATTCCCATCTTGGTATTTGGTACGGTTTGTTAGCACCTTGTGTTTCTGGGAATTTCAGAGTCAAGTTTAGGATTAAAATCTATACCTTGACCATGCTGGAAGCAGGGTGTAGGAGTACGGAAGCTGGAAAGCTTGCTTGGTGCAATGTATCCTCAGTCACGGAGGAAAGCCCTAGTGTTCACTGGCAGGAATACTTCACACCTTGTCTGCTGCTTCCAGGACTATAAGATTTTATGACCATCATTCCTAAGGCCTCAGAGCCATGAGTAACAGCCCGGAAGAGTGACTGCTTCTCTAGCATCCCAAGAGGCCACTTAGAAGCCTCTAGTACCAAAGGATGGCTCTTCTAGTCACCAGGGCAATCAAAGGACTCCACCAAACACTGACAATTTCAGGATATTAGAGAAGCTGCCGAAGGAAAGGGAGCTAAAATCGATTTCCCCTAGAGGCTGCGATTCCCTTCTTGCATGCAGTCCTCATGCAGACGGTGGCAGAAACCTGATCTGCAGGGTCTGAATACCAGAGACCCGGACAGTGTTCCAATATTTATGAAAACACATAGCTGCCCTTGCTCGTGTGCGGAGTGTCTGCAAGGTCTCTGCCTCACTTACGAACGATGAACAGCGACGAACGTACAGAACTGCTGGATCCCTGTAACTGTACACCGGAAACTGATATGACACTGTGTGGTAACTCGAGTGGAATTAAAATTTAAAAAAAGATCTATGCTTCTGAACGGCAACATCTGCACTGGGACATGCAGAATGCAGAAGATTTTACCAGCATGAGTTCTCAAGCTGGGAAAAACTCCCAGAGCCTTTATATTCTTCTCCTTTTGACTTTAGTTCTCGAAAAAGGGAGTGTGCATATGTATTCTTGGGGTCTTGCTTCTCAGCCTAACTCTCCCTTCCGAGAGCTCTGTGCACATGTGCCGTACCATCCGGCTGAGATGTTACGTTGAAGATATGTAAAGGTCTCTTGGGCCTGAATTAACATCCATAAAACCTGGGAGAAGTTATTAGTATTGTCACTTTTTATTTGGCTATGCAATATGTGCAAGGGAAAAATAGGGAGAAAAGACCTACCCAAATTCTGCCACATGCTGAACAGTTCATAAGCCATCATCACACGCATGTCCCCATACCTGGAAATAGTAACACAGGAGCCAGCTTTCAGGGGGAGAAAGTTCAGGAAGGCAGGGCTACAAACCCCATAAGGTCAGCACTTCAGCACTGTTTCTAATGTGTCCCCCCAATACTGTCATTTGGCTCTCAACTGAACTCTCACAATTGGCTCCTTGGGAAGCTACCCAGTGAGAACCTTGTGGACGTCTGAGGAGCCTCTCAATTGGAACATAACCCCATCTGGGCATGTGGTAGGGAGGTGAAGAAGAGACATATGTCTTACTTATCTAGAATCTTCTTCCTCTTGGCTGAAGTGATGATTTCTAGCTGAAGGCTTGGCTGATTTATGAACAGAACTGCCAGGCTAAAATAAGAATTCCACACCTAGAGAGACAGAGAAAGAGAAAACATGTGACAGCATGAGTCCTTAACCTTACAAAGAGAGATTCTAAATATATGGATGTAGCACAGAATTCATTTCACAATTTTAAGATCTTGATTTTTTTTTTTCCTTTTTAAGTATCTTTGCAAACGGAACTTTTTTTTTCTTTCTTTCTTGACTCCTTGAAACCCATAGTTTTGATTCTGGCCTAGAAAGCCTACTCTCCCAGCACCTCCAACAGGGGCACTCTAAGGGTATAGCCTACTCACTGTCAAACTTGGAAGTGGTTCAATGTTATGAACATACTAATAAACCAAACCCAGTGAGCTTGCCCCAGCTCCCAACCACCCATCTGACAGCTAGGTAAGCCCTTCTCAATTTCCTGACCCGAAAAATTGAGAGCAAAATAAAATGGTTGTTCTTAGTAAACAAAACAAAACCCAGAAACAAAAACAATGAACTTTTTTTCTGGCTTTCTAGTGTTATTACAAAGACAGTGACGGATTTCAGGAGCTCCTACCTTAAAGTCGAAGTCTGTTTCTGTGAAGTTCTTGTGCAGTGCAGAAGACAGGTACTGGACGGTAGTGACTATAATACTGCAGTAAGGGGACAAGGCATTGGTGGAGTTAAAAGACTAATGATGGCATCCAATAGCTTAGCATCTCTGACCTATGAGCAAACGCCTTGAGTACAACTTGCTCTCATATAAGATGTGACTACAAAAGAAAGGGATAGATGGCACAAACGCCACAGAAAGCATTTCTTGGAGAAATATCCCAAAGTTGGCAGCATAGCACAGAACATCGGTGGGTTCTAGGCCCGGCTCTGCCATTACCCGGCCTTGGCACAACTGCTGTCTGGGCCTTAGTTTCCCTGCCTATAAGTGTGGATGGGAGGAACTAGTTGGTTCATTAGGATTTCTTCTAGTTCAAAGAGTGATTCTAGTATTTTGAGGACTTCTGGGTAATGAAGGTATGACTATCAGAAGACTTACAGTGTAATTTTATTATTTTACTTGATAACAAGGGTTTTTAATGATTAAATCCCTACTGTTGTCACATACTATTATTTGTATCTATAAGCTATTTGTTTTCAGCCTTTGGCCTAGAAAATCACTCTCAATTTTAGCCTGGGTACATATAAGGAGCAATGGAAGGCTGCCTTGCTGGAGCCGAAGGCACAGGTTAAAGTAGAGAGGAAATGAAGTGGGATAGGCAGGTAAGGGTTTGACTACAGAGGGCTTTGGGTGCCTGGCAAAGTGCTTACACTGAGCACCCTGGCTTTGGCACAGGAGGTGACAAATTTGAAAGACAAAATCCCCAAAAGAAGAGGCTGTTACTGTAGGATCAGCTGAGGGCCCTGAAGTACTCCGAGGAGAGTTAAGAGAGAACAAGAACGAAGGGTGCCTGGGTAGCTCAGCTGGTTAAGCATCTGCCTTTGGCTCGGTCATGATCACAGGGTCTTGGGATTGAGCCCCATGTCGGGCTCCCTGCTCAGTGGGGAGCCTGCTTCTCCCTTTCCTCCCCACTTGTGCTCTCTTTCACTATCTCTGTCATTATCTCTGTCTCTCTCTCTCAAATAAATAAATAAAATCTTAAAAAAAAAGAAGAGGGAATCAAGTGAAAAATCCATTATTTGAGGAAAAACATGTGCAACTTTGTTTATAACCATTCTTCTGTTCTGTATAAAATGTTTACAGTTTTGAAAAAAGAAAAAAGTACCCTATAAAAGGTAAAGTGAAAACGATGCTGATACATTGCTAATATATCTAACATAGATAATATCACTACATTCTGCAAAGTGCCAACATAAAAAGCGGATCAGGGTGCCTGGGTGCTTCAGTAAAACACTGGACTCTTGATTTCAGCTCAGGTCATGATCTCAGGGTTGTGAGATTGAGCCCCACATTGGGTTCTGTGCTGGGTGTGGGGTCTGCTTGGGATTCTCTCTCTCTCCCTCTGCCTCTCTTCCCCTACTCTCTCTCTCCCCCCACCCCAAAAAAGAAAAATATGAAGACAAAAGAAAAAAGGAAAGCAGATCAGTGGGAGAAGGCAGCAGGCCAAGTGGAAGGGGCCTTTTCCCAAGTAGAGGGAGACCACATAAGCCAGCATCTTACTACCTGCAATCATCTGGTTTGCCAGTTAGAAGCACAGGCTAGAAATATGAATGGAACAGACTATCTGGGGGCAGACTAAAAGTGAATTCTGTTGCTAGAGTCATAAGTGGTCAGAGCTTTACAGCCAGGTCTGGGTGGGTAATTAGCACTAGCTGTGGGAGGCAGGCAGTGTCTGGCAGACAACAGAAATCAAATCAAGAGGAGGACTTGGGAAAACTGCCTGAAACTAGAGAGCCAAAGAGGCCAGTGGTGCATGGAACAGGCCTCCCTCCAGGAGGAATTCTCTCTGGGTATTATTATTTTACATCCTTTACATTCCTTTTCTATCCTTACCATGACATCTCTGCCAGTCACTTAAGACTCCATTTTGGACTATCTTCAACAATTTCTTCATCTTGAACTTATGGTAAATGGTCAAGTCCTGCTGATTGTGCCTCCACATATTTTTCAAATTTATCCTATCTTCTCTGTCACCATGGCCTTGGCCAGAATCTCTGTCTTGCTTTCTCCCTCTGCCACACACACACACACACACACACACACACTCTCTCTCTCTCTCTCTCTCTCCCTCTTCCTGTCTCTCTCTCCTTAGTCTGAGAATAGCTCTGATGATGCTTATGCAGGGCCCATCCACACTCACTTGCTTGTAAGAAGTCTCATCACCATCCAGTCCCGTGGGAAGACACTCATCTTCATCAGGTTCCGGAACACACAGAAAATCTTCAGCAGGAATTCCTGATCCAGGAGGAAAATCTGATGTGAGACACCACCACTACCACTACAGCATGCCTTTCCTTAACAGGGCTCTCCTGACCTCTAGACCATGAGAATGGATGGCATTAGTGGGTTAGATTCCAGTTAGTTTTGTGAGTTATTTTCTTTTGGAGGCCTGTATGAAAGTGAGATCTAGGCACTCTCTCAGATCAGGTGGGAACAGATCCAAACTGGGTAGAATACAGACAGCTCTGGACCCTGAGCCCAGTGCCTAAAGCCCAAAGCATGGGGAAGGCTGCAGTCCAGCAGAACTGGTATCCAATTGGGCCTGTGGGTCACATTATTTGGGTCATGGCCCTTGAACACTGGACTATAAGAACCTGCTTTTTGGGGAGTGCTTGGGTGGCTTGGTTTGTTAAGTGTCCAATTCTTGATTTTGGCTTAGGTCATGATCTCAGGGTCTTGAGATCAAGCTCCATGCTGTACATGGTTTCTGCTTCTCCCTCTTCCTCTGCCCTGGCTCACATGCTCTCTTTCACTATCAGCCACAGCAACTTCTTTCAAGATATGTCTCCAAAGGCAAAGGAAACAAAAGCCTAAATAAACTTTTGGGACTTCATCAAAATCAAAAGCTTCTGCACAGCAAAGGAAACAGTCAACAAAACAAAGAGGCAACCCACGGAATGGGAGAAGATATTTGTAAATGACAGTACAGACAAAAGATTGATATCCAGGATCTATAAAGAACTCCTCAAACTCAACACACACAAAACAGATAATCATATCAAAAAATGGGCAGAAGATATGAACAGATACTTCTCCTATGAAGACATACAAATGGCTATCAGACACATGAAAAAACGTTCATCATCACTAGCCATCAGGGAGATTCAAATTAAAACAACATTGAGATATCACCTTACATCAGTTAGAATGGCCAAAATTAGCAAGACAGGAAACAACATGTGTTGGAGGGATGTGGAGAAAGGGGAACCCTCTTACACTGTTGGTGGGAATGCAAGTTGGTGCAGCCTCTTTGGAGAACAGTGTGGAGATTCCTCAAGAAATTAAAAATAGAGCTTCCCTATGACCCTGCAATTGCACTACTGGGTATTTACCCCAAAGATACAGATGGAGTGAAAAGAAGGGCCATCTGTACCCCAATGTTTATAGCAGCAATGGCCACGGTTGCCAAACTGTAGAAAGAACCAAGATGCCCTTCAACGGACGAATGGATAAGGAAGATGTGGTCCATATACACAACGGAGTATTATGCCTCCATCAGAAAGGATGAATACCCAACTTTTGTAGCAACATGGACGGGACTGGAGGAGATTATGCTGAGTGAAATAAGTCAAGCAGAGAGAGTCAATTATCATATGGTTTCACTTATTTGTGGAGCATAACATATAGCATGGAGGACATGGGGAGTTAGGAGAAGGCATTTGGGGGAAATTGGAAGGGGAGGTGAACAATGAGAGACTATGGACTCTGAAAAACAATCTGAAGGGTTTGAAGAGGTGGGGGGTTGGGAGGTTGGGGGAACCAGGTGGTGGGTATTAGAGAGGGCACGGACTGCATGGAGCACTGGGTGTGGTACAAAAACAATGAATACTGTTATGCTGAAAAAAAAATTTGGGAAAGTAAAAAATATGTGAATTAAACATTACACTCTCAAATAACCAATGGGTCAAAGAAGAAAGCACAAGTGAAACAGGAATACTTTGAGATGAATAAAAATTAAAACACATCAAATCAAAACCTATGGGATGAAGCTTTAACTTATAGCTCTAGTGCCTATATTAAGAAGATAAAGGTCTCAAATAATAACTTACCTTATGCCTTAAGAAACTAGAGAGAGAAGAGCAAATTAAACATAAAGCAAGCAGAAGGAAGGGAATAATAGGTGAAACAGAAAATAGAAAAATAGAGGAAAAAATGAAACCAAAATTTGGTTCTTTGAAAATATCAACAAAATTGCCACACCAAGAAAATAAAAAAGAAAAAAAAAAAGAAGACTCAATTACTAAAATTAAGGATGAAAGAAGCCATTACCAATGTTAGAGAACTAGAAAGGATTATAAGGGACTACTATAAACAAATGTATGCCAGCAAATTATATAACTTAGATGAAATGGACAAACTCTAAGAAAGATACAAACAACCAAAATTCATTTAAAATCAAACAAAATCTGTACAGACTTATCATAAGCAAAGGGATCAAATTAATAATTTAAAACCTTCAGACAAAGAAAAGTTGAGGACCAGATGGCTTCACTAGTGAATTCCACCAAATATTTTAACTAGAATTAGTACTAATATTTGTCTTTTTTATTACATCCACTCTCAGTGTGAAGTAGTATCTTTTTTTTTCCTTAAATATTTTTATTTATTTATTTATTTATTTGACAGACAGAGATCACAAGTAGGCAGAGAGGCAGGCAGGAGAGAGAGAGGAGGAAGCAGGCTCCCTGTGGAGCAGAGAGCCCGATGTGGGGCTCGATCCCAGGACCCTGGGATCATGACCTGAGCCGGAGGTAGAGGCTTTAACCCACTGAGCCACCCAGGCACCCCAGTGTGAAGTAGTATCTTATTGTGATTTTCATTTACATTTCCCTACTAACTAATGACATTGAACATCTTTTCACATGTGTTTTGGCTATTTATGTACCTTCTTTGGGGAAATGTCTATTAAAATACTTTGCCCATTTTAAAATCGAGTTACCTTTTCAGTCTTAAGTTGTAAGAGTTATTTATGTATTTTACATACAAGCTCTTTATTAGATATATGATTTGCCAATATTTTCTTCCATTCTGTGGGCTTTCATTTTCTTGTTGGCATCCTTTGAAATACAGAAGTTTTTAAAATTTAAATTATCCAACTTAGAGTACATGATTAGTTTCAGATGTAGTCTTCAGTAATCTATCAGGTGCGTGTAACACCCAGCACTCATCACATCATGTGCCTCCTTAATGCCCATCACCCAATTACCCTGTCCCCTACAGACCTCTCCTCCAGCAACCCTCAGTTTCTTTCCTAGAATTAAGAGTCTCTCACATGCTTTTTCTTCCTCTCTGATGACTTCCCACTCAGTTCAAATACTTAAGTTTTTAATTTTGATGAAGTCTAACATCTGTTTTTTCTTCTGTTTATTGTGCTTTGGTGTCATAACTAAGAAATCACTGCTAAACCAAGGGACATAAAGATATACTCCTGTTTCTGTCCAAGAGGTTTATAGTTTAGCTCTTACATTTAGGTCTACAATTTTTTTCACCTGGTTTTTTTTATATGGTATGAGGTAGGGGTTAGATATCAAGTTGTCCAGAACTATTTGCTGGAAAGACTTCTTTACTCTTTGTATTGTCTTGACAATGTTATTGAAATTCAGTTGACTGTAAATAGAAAGGTTTATTTGTAGACTCCAAATCCAATTCCATTAGTCTTTATATCTATCTTTACATAAATAACCAATTCTGATTACTGTTATTTTGTTGTAAGTTTTGAAACTGGTGAGTATGAATCCTCCAATTTTCCTTTATTTTCCAAGATTGTTTGGCTATTCTGAGTCATTTTCTTTCCCTTGTGAATTATTGATCAGATTGTCAATATCTGCAAAAAGGCAGCTGAAACTGTGAGAGGTCTTGTATCGAACCTGTAGATCACTTTGTGAAGTACTATCCTTTTAATAATATAAGTGTTCCAATCTATGAACATGGGGTGTCTTTCCACTTATTTTGGTCTGCTTTAATCTCTTCTCCTAATTATTTTATGTGTTTTTATACTATTATAAATGGAAACATTCTCTTAATTTCATTTTTGAATTGTTCATTGCTAAGACATAGAATTGATTTTTGTGTATTAGTTATGTATCCTGCAACTTTGCTGAACTTGTTTATTACTTCTGATAGTGTTTTTATGGATGTCTTGGGATTTTCTGGATACAAAATCATGCCATCTGAGGATTGAGAGAGTTTTACTTCTTCTTTTCCAAACTTGTGCCCAATTGCTCCAGTTAGATCCTCCAATATAATGAATATAAGTGGTTAGAGCAGATGCCTTTCTCTTGTTTCTGACTTAAAGAGGAAAACGTTCAATCTTTTGTTACTAAGTATGATGTTAGCTGTGGGTTTTTCATATTTTGCCCTTTATCAAGTCTGAAGAAATTTCCTTCTATTTCTAGTCTGTTGAATGATTTTATCATGAAAGTTTGGTGGATTCTGTTTTAGTCCTTTATTCTATTTAATGGTGTATTATGTTGATTACCATATGTTAAGGGAACCTTGCATTTCTGGGATCAATCCCATGAGATCATGGTGTATACTTCTTTTAGTATGTTCCTGGATTCAGTTTGCTAGTATGCTGTTAAAGACTTCTACACTTTTATTTATAAGGGATGTTTGTCTACGGTTGGCTTTTCTTGTGATGTCTGCCTTTGGTTTTCATGTCAGGGTAATACTGACCTCATAAAATGAGTTGAGAAGTGTTCCTGGCTCTTCCATTTTTTATAAGAGTTTGTGAAGGATTGGTATTAATTCTTCTTTAAAAATTTGGGGTGCCTGGGTGGCTCAGTGGGTTAAGCCTCTGCCTTTGGCTTGGGTTGTGATCTCAGGGTCCTGGGACTGAGCCCCACATCAGGCTCTCTGCTCGACAGGGAGCCTGCTTCCCCCTGTCCCCCCGCCTCTGCCTGCCTCTCTGCCTACTTGTGATCTCTATCAAATAGATAAATAAAATCTTAAAAATAAATAAGTAAAACAAAATAAGGATGGTCTGTATCATGTGTGCAGATCTTTCAGTAACATTTAAAAAAAATTGGTGCAATGCACCAATTAAGCCATCTGGTCTTCGGCTTTTCCTTGTGGGAAGTTATAAATTATTAACTTGATCTCGTTATTTTGTGATATCCTTTAAGATGGATATAATCAGAGACATTGAATTGTACATTTTAAAAGTGTATATTTTATGGTATGCAAATTACATCTCAATAATGCTGCCATAAAAAAAGAAAAAATGTGACGAACTCTATATTTGGTGTGGTGGACTGCATATGTTCCCTCAGGTCTGTTTCAGCTCAAATCCTCTAAAATGACAGTCAAGAAATACATATGCCCAGAGACAAAGGAAACAGGAAATAAGAACACAGTGATCAGAAGAGGTGAATATATTTTGAAAGCTTTTGTGGTAACTGACTTAATATACTTGAGAAAGACGACAGCCAAGAGCCTTTGGAAGGAACAGCAACAGGAAGCAAGAATCTCAGAAACTATAGGCATCACCAGGTACTTCTGTAGGACTGGGATATGAAGGCTATAAACAGGAAGATTGACTTACAGACTCCCTAAGATCTCTTCTGCCATCTCATGTCCCTAGGTGACCAGGCTTACCCCATCCTGTCAGAAGACTGAGGACTGCTCTCTCAAGCAGTTATTTGCTGAGGATCTGTTTTCAAGGATACAGCAACAGCTAAGGGCTGAGATGCCAAAATGAAAACAGGCATTGAGAGAAATTTCACCTGCTGAACTGGGAGGTTCCCAGTCCCTTTTTGCTATTTGGTTCCCAAAATATTGGTGGGCTACTCCATTCCTAGGAAGGGATAAGGATTCTTGTCTCAGGAAATAGACAAATCCTAGAGAGCAGACCAGTAGATACAGGAATTAGAGGGGTTAGAGGATATTCTGACCAAACAGTCAGACCCCCTTCAGTCAGCTACAGGGAAGCTTGCTGAAGACAAGCCCCCCACACACATAGAGCTTCTCATTAGCACCAGAGCACCTCACTTTTAGATACAGACTGACATCCAAAAGTCTCTACATATAGGAGAAAAGTCTCTAACATGAAAGTTAGAGACTGAAACAAATAAAAAGAAGACAAGTTCCCAGGAAAAAAAAAATGTGACCTGACAGTATCTGACAGATTTGACCTTGAAGAAAGCTGGAAGAAGAGGTTTATTATAGAGAGGGAGTAGGTAATCCTAGCCAGATCTGAAAACCAAAAGAAAACAAAAAACAAGTGATTAACAAAAGAGGCAAATAATTCCAGGAACAAACAAAAAGTTTTATAAGAAAGGAAGTGTAACAGCCTAGCAGTTGGCTCACCATAGTACTTACTTAGCAGTAATAAAGAAGAGTACATTATTGATTTAAACAAAAAATGTATGTGAACTATACTGGAAGAATGAGAGGAAAGATGTGTGTGTATGTGAGAGGAGAGTCACCCTCATTTTCCATGGGAAGAAGAAAATAGATAATAACTACCAGTTAAAATTTAAAATGGCAGTAGAAGCTTAAAGAACAGCAGAAGAGTTCAAAGAGACTGCTTTTGGGGAATAGAAACTAGACATGGGTCAAGTCGAACCAGGGAACCACCATTTTACGTTATAAGCTTTGTAATGTGCTTTGGCTCTTAAGATTATGTATATATATACACTGTATATTAACTACACTGAAATTAAAAATTTAAAAACCCTTAAAGTTCTGGGTATATTGCTTGCACATAGCAGGCTTTCAATTAAATGAATAAAAAATTTAAAATTAGAAAATGTGTACATATTGCTGTTATAAAAATAAAATTTTAATTAAAAAGAGAATGATGTCAGCCTGGGCTTCTGACTACGAATCAGTTAGTAGGACACACAAAGGATGAAAATTATCTAGAACAGCCAACCCTGGATTTTCAGGCTCTACACCCCAGCTCAAGTACTGCTTTGGTCTTTGGCTAACTTTTGGTTCCCTTCAAGGGCTATCAATCCACCACTTTGTGCCCCCAAGAAGATAGGCTGACCTTACTGCAACGAGTTAATGACAACAATCTGCAGAGACCCATGCCTGTGGAAAGGCAGGCCAAGATCAGATACTACAAAGTGACACCTAGGGGAACCTGGGTGGCTCAGTTGGTTAAGCAACTGCCTTTGGCTCAGGTCATGATCCTGGAGTCCCAGGATTGAGTCCCACATTGGGCTCCCTGCTCTGTGGGGAGTCTGCTTCTCCTGCTGACCTCTCTCCTCTCATGCTCTCTCTATTTCTCTGTCTCTCAAATAAATAAATAAAATCTTAAAAAAAAAGAAAGTGACACCTAATACTAACTGATACAATACGATTAATAAAGGTCATTACAAATAAAAAACAGTACAATGCATTACTATGAAATGCAAATGACTTGGTTCTGAATGGAGGCAGAGCATACAACTAAAATTTGCAATAGTTTGTTTATCCAGGGATGAACTGAGTAGCACATTCTAAGGCAAAGACACAAGCCCGAGCAGTTCATCAGCAGCTAATACCACATGGAGCTTGGGAATGCTCTTCTGTCATGTGGCTCATGGGCCCATTTCTCTGCATTATCTGCCCCAGGGGGTCTGGATCCAGAATCTGGTAGCCAATGGGCAGTGCTCACTTCTGCTTTCTACAGGTCACTTGCAGAAATACATTTTAATGAAGAAAAGTCGTCACCGTAATTATAATTATAGTTATTAAACAGTGAAGTCTGATTTGCAGGGACAAAATATAAGGTGGTTATTGAGTTCATCAGAAAGGGAAGAGTTCTTGTTTGTGGACAATTACTATGGCCTAGAGTAGCCTCCCATAGAGGCACATGGTCATAGGGTTGCTATCAGTCAGGGAAAACCTGCCAGTGTTACTGGGGTCTGTCTGTATAAGAACACTGCTGGCTTTCAGCTTCTGGGAGCCATACTCTCATAACTGTAAAGTGGGGCTGGTGAACCCTTTGTCCTAGGCAGAACTGGTCACTTGCACTCAGCACCTGGCGGGGGAAAAGGCCCTGGGCTGTCTCAGCTGCATGCTTCCTGTCCTGGGTGAAAAGTCCGTTTTGAGGTAGATTTTGTTGCCCACCTTGAGTTCATCTTTGCTCTGGAAGTTGTCCAGGAGGTGCTGGTAGTGGGTGTCACACATCTGGCGGAGCAGCGAGAGAAGGCAGGACACGTACTCACCCTAGGGACCAACCAAAAAACAAAACAAAACAAAACAAAACCAACCACAAACACTCAGCACAGCTAATCACATGGGCTTTGGTTTCCCCAGTCCATAGAGGGCAAGGAGAGAAGGAAGGGTCTGAGATGGCCCCAATGATCATGAAAGGGAAGATGAGAACTCTGGCCTTGAGAATGAGTTTTCTTTTCTGCTAAGGGAGACCTGAAGGGCTTGGGAGTTTTAATGAGACCTTAGCAGCATGGGGTTAATGGAAAACCTTAACTTGTAACAAAGAAGTACTGCAAAGTAAGACAGATAGTCTAGTTTTTTTTTCCTAGGAAATTTCTGGCTACATAGTCCTTTGTCACTATATGTTACCAGGCCACGATACTGAAGTCTAAAGGGGTTCCTCAGAACAGGGTTCTTGGTGTTTTCTGGGCAGAATTGGGGCTCTTCCATTGTGCTAGGTTGGAGCAGCTCTTCTGTGAGGATTTCTTGGGCCCTCCCAGAGCTTACATGTGGTTACTGGACAGGAGGATGGAGACTGGTCAACAACTTTCTGGAAAGCAAAGGAGTCAAAACTAATCTAAAGATCATAAATGAGAAGGCAAGTTATGGACTTTAAGATACATAAAAATTTAAGGATTAAAAAATGAGTCATTAAAATTTCTTCAAATTCCAGCAGTGGTAACATGGAAGAAAATCTTGTTTAAAGGACTTCAAAAGACTTTTTACCATCTTATGGCAATTTTTGGCATGGAGCAGCTGGCCAAATGTTTTTAAACTCATGGAAATCTGACAATAGTTTGTCTCTCAGAGCATTTCTAGACACATAAAATCATTATGCACATGTGTATGCAGAACATATCCATGTATATGACCTCAGTTTTATGCAGAAAATGGGCACAATAAGCCATAATTTATATATCTGTTATGAGGATTGGAGGAATGAATGTACTTGAGGCTTTTCAGTGGAAAAGTCCAGCTCATAAAGATGTGCTTGGTAAATTATGCAGTTATTGCCCTCTTCATTACATCTGTGTGATTTAGCATCGCTAAATGAGTATTTGTAAAGTGCACAGAGCAGGGTTAGGCGCATGACAAGCACTGTGCGGTTGTTGGAGAGAGGGTCAGGTTACCAGGACCTAGGAGGGTATGCACGTCTTCACCTGCCCTCAATAGGTGCCCCCAAGGGAACAAACATTCCTTCTAAGCCCAGTGCCTCAGAACACATGCCTGTTCTCTGCTGTCCCTGCTTCCCCTAGCTTGCTGGAGCTTGGCTTGCTCCCACAGGGGATTTACTTCAAAGAAGTCACTGCAACCTCCCATCTGCCAAATGGAAGATTCCATGCAATCTGCTTACTGAGTTCTAGCATCCGGGTTAGCAAGTCCACTCCGGGTAGAGGAGTGGCGGCTGTCTCTCTGCCCCTCCTGAGAGGCTTCCCTGGGCTGTTTCTCTTCCAATTGTCCAGTAATGCCAGTGCAAGTCTACCTCATCACAGTTTTCCTGATGCTAGACATTTGGATATAAACACTGTGGACAAAAACACCTAATCTGTAGACCCCATCAAATTCTAAGAAAATTATTCTGTTGGGCAGCACATCATTTAGGAGAGCCTGCTCCTCGAAGGAAAAGTCTATTTTTTCACCTTCAATCTCTTACTATGTCTCTGCTTCATTCTACATAATGGAAAATGAGTTGGCATAAAGGCAGTGGCCAACAGAGACAGTGTGCAGGAAAAGAGGAGACAAAGCATTCCCTGCAGCTGCCCTAGGGTAGACTTCAGGGACTAGGAACCTAGAGCTTTCTGAGTGGCCATGGGAACCAGGTGGGAGAGGGGAAGGGGGCAGCATGCCGACAACCATGCAGGAAGGCTGGTGGAGATGAGGGTGGTGCGATGAGGAGGTGGGGGTTGGTGTGGAGGAGCCCCAGGTTAGAAAAGAAAGCAAGAAAACCTGAATGTTAGTTACTAACAGTGATCTCGGCTGTGCACTGCGGGCACCGCTGCCCTCTTACCGCCTCCTGAGCGTGCGATTTGCTCATGATGGTGAGCAGAGTCTGCAAGAGCACATCCAAGAGGCTCTCCACCATCATTTCTACCTCCTCCATGACATCTGCCTCCTAGATGGAGCATCGAGAGAGCACACCGTTAGCACCAGGCCAGGCTGTCACGCAGCCGGCAGCATTTACTAAGTCAGCGATGTCAGGAGTGGTCTTCTCACTGGCTTTGTAACACTGAGCTCCGGTCTCGCTAGCATGCAGTGTCAGGGAACCTGAGACAAGGGCTCTGAGGGGGGGGGGTACAGACCTGCCTCTGTTGTCCTGGTATGTGGTGGCTGGGGGCCTTCGCCTAACCCAGCACCACCTAACACCCATGGTTCTAACCTCAGGTAGATTCAATGCAATATACAGGGCAGAAGCGAGGGTCCTAAGTTACATGTTTTCTTTGGTTTCCCTAGAAAAGTCAGGAGAAAGCACAACGCTGCTGACGAACACTCTGAGAAAATGGGAAAGTATTCACGCCACAGGGTGTGGTGGTAGCACGTTCACTATCGCTGAGGCACAATGGCTAATGCTCAAACAAGTATCTCAGTCTTTAAGAGGATGGTTCTCTCCTCAGGGCTTTCTCCTTAGGTGAGGTCAAGCTTTGCTGGCCCAGCTGCTGCTCAGCACGGCTGCATCTCACTTCCAGCTCCTCAGCATTCTTGCGTACGTTCCCTGGTCCACCTGCAGGACTCTGGTCTCAAACGTCTATCTGGGGCAGCCTCACAAGAACAACAGGGTCTACCTCCTCACTCAGCTCTGTTTTCAGCCACCACACTGTGAATCTAGGAAGTCTGTGCTATCCTTTTACAGACCTCTCACCCTGAATCTCAAATCTTGTAGCCTGATTTATCTCACAGAGAGTCCCATTACCCCTTCTCTAGCCTCTTTATATTATTATTGGTATAAATGTCCATCTGTCCATCCATCCACCAATTCATTATTCATTAAGCATTTGCCATGTGCCAGTCGCTGTTTGTGAACCTGAGTATACAGAGGTGAACAAGAAAGATAGTATCTCTACTCTACTCTACTCTCATGGAGCTTAAGTTCCACCCCCAACCCATACATTCAAGGTCATCATACTGCGCCCCATTCCACATGAAAAATCTGAGCAGCTCCTGGGGCCAAAGTCCTCCTTTTCATCTGCTGAAGTGATTGTAACACTCTTACCTAGGATGTCTCTCTGACTAGTTGTAAGCAACTAATTGCGCCCAACTCTCTAGCTCCAAAAAACAACCGGACCTTCAGGTTTTTACCTGTTTCCATTCCTCTTCCATTCTTCTCCTTCCCTTCATTTCCCTCTTCAATTTCTCTCCTTCCTTTAGCAATAAGCCTTCCACCTCAAGTCTGACCTTGGGTTCCTAATAGACCTTATGTGTCTAGTGTTGCCTCTCTGAGGCCTGGTGGGAAGGAGAGCTGCCAAGACTTGCCTGGAGCCAAGAGCAAACAACAGGACCACTACAACCGCCACAAGCACTCTGACAACTGAGGCCCCTGTTGCCAGATGGTACTTTAAGTCTGGACACCAGAGCACCCTATTGGGTCCCTACATCCTGCTCAAACCAACCACATTTTTTTTTTTTTTCCTGGACCTCTCCTGCTCTATATGGATAGCCTAACCTCACTCATTCTTATCACCTGGCTACTGGCCTTCATTTTAAATGTGGCTGAAATTTTATTCTCCAGAAATTTGATCTCAGTTTAATAAGATATTGTAATAAAAAACTCATTCTTGTTCTTGATCTCTTTCTTTACACTTTCTTATAGTTTATATATTTTCTCTAATATGCATTTCTTCTATTATATAAAATAAATATAATTAAAATAAATTCCTACCCTTATTCATGCCAGTTACATGTCTTTCCTTCCTCCCCACTCCCCGCCCCTCACCACCAACAGATCCCTTTTTAAAAGAAAAAGTAAAGAGGAAAGAAAGTAGGCAAAAGCATTACTAGTTGAAACCTCATCTTTAAAGTATAATTCTCCCATCCCATGAGGCTCAGAGCTCTTGTGGGCAACAATTATCTCTCGTACATCCTGACCTCATCTGGCATGGTATAGGAATGCCATATGGGTGGAATCAAGCTGCCAGGAAGTTGACAGAAAAGTCTGAATGAGCAAGCTGCCTCTCAGCCTGGGCCTGCCTCCCTGTGCTCGTGCCTGAGTATCCTCAGAACACTCCCAAGAACACAGGATTAATACCTTTTGATAGAAATAGAACATGGCACAGGATTGGGCTTTCTGGTGTTAGAGATAACTACAATTCTAGATGGACTTATGGGAGCACAACTTTTTAAAATAGCAAAACTGTGTTGTGTGGAGAAGCCTGCTGGGTATACACAGGCCTCCATTCACTTGGGCACCTTCCTGTCACTGATGAAAGCTTCTGTGACTGAGAAATGTACAAAGTGATCTTTGTTGGCCTGCCTCTGGCTAAAGCAATACAAGACGGGCAGAGCTGAGGCAGGTTGAAGCGGGCGTGGGGCCACTACCAGAGAGCTGGTCTTGACGATGGAGAAGATGCTGCCAAGAATCCCTGAGCAGATGAGCAGCTCTTTCTGCTGCCTCAGGTGAAGGTGAATATGATGGAGAACCACAGGAAGCAGGATGCGGCGGGACTCTGAGGGAGAAAACACAAAGGTGAAGAAGCCCTTCAGAGGAGTACGAGCTACTTCAGGAAGCCAGTGGCACTGTGGGACTTCCCTGGTCTCAAAGCAAGAGGGGCTGAACCCGGTGCCAAACCTGGTGCCTAGCTGGAGGTCACTTCCTTCCCTTATGGGGGCCTAAAAACCCACTTCCTAGACATTATAAGACATCCCACAGCATTATCCTTCCATCTCTCTTTCCTTCTTTCTTATTTTAAGCCTAGTATCTATGGCATTTTATGCAGGATGAACTTTAGGAGATTACTTCCAAATGAAATGTCTTTAATGACTAGCTTCTAAATTAAAAGCATAGCTTCCAGTGAAAATCCCATTTAAATGACACACCTAGTTCTATGAACTACTCTGACTGAACCTGTAGACTTGATGTGGATTATAAATGGCCACTCTTTATGATGCTCTGGCCAGGGGCCTGGCACGAGCGTTTACTTGTGGCAGCCATCAGGCCTACCTCCTTTTCCCCTCAGGCTTAGGGGACAGGCTTGGCCTGTCCACAGCAGTGAAGGCAACACAGCAGGACTTTGTCTTGTCACAAACCTTTGATAATTAGCTAATCCTTCTTGCCAATCCTAACTTTTCTCCTCAATGTTACCTGAACAACATTTTTATCAGGAGATGACTTTGTTTAGAACTCGGTCAGGAAGGCTGAATCCAGGTTCAAATTCCTTAATTAACTCACCCGAAGGGCCCATAGGTAGGTTGATTCCTCCTATGGGCTTGCTTTTCCCCATCTGTACCATGAGGTGCTAATGGTCTTTTCTGCATTTCCTTCACAGGTGTGGTGAGAAGACAAAGTGAACAGGTGTGAACATGTTTTTGGTGCTCTGTGCTCCTATGTGGTCAGTGACTGTGTGACTCTGCAGGTACCCTCCTATCTGGCTAGCATGATGTAGTCAGATTACCAGTAGCACAAACAAGCCAAGGCACTTTGGATTTATTTGACCACAGTCAAGTGTTCCAGATGAAATTCAGAAAGAAAAAATTTTTTTTTCAGCCAAAGACAAATTACATGACTTATAAGAGATTTGGGGGCTGTCTTGTCAAATACCTAGAATATATTCAAAGAAAATGGAATGACAGCTGTTCTATGCTTGGACAAAAGAGAAGTTCATAATACAATTGGCAGACCAAAATACCAACAGAGCAGGATTTATAATGTAAATATATAAAATAACTACTGCAGAGAAAATAGTAGTTTGTTACTGGAACCTGATAAAGAAGAGACAAGACTGATGCGCTCTGAGAATGTAAGTGTTGCTTAAAAGACACTATTGGTAAAAAATCTCGCTTCAAGGGAACTGCTGCAACTCAAGCATTCAATGAAGCGGAAATACAAATGAAAATTGGGTGGAGGCTTGTCTTCTCAAAATCCAGCTACATAGCTCCACTGCCACAAAAAGTTTAAGAACAGTTTTTCTGGGGCGCCTGGGTGGCTCAGTGGGTCAAGCCTCTGCCTTCAGCTCAGGTCATGATCTCAGGGTCCTGGGATCGAGTTCCCCATCGGGCTCTCTGCTTGGTGGGGATCCTGCTTCCCCTGCTCTCTCTGCCTGCCTCTCCCTACTTGTGATCTCTCTCTGTCAAATAAATAAATAAAATCTTTAAAAAAAAGATTTAAAAAACCAGTTTTTCTTAAGTGATTATGGGAAGCAGCAGGTACATACAAAAACATAGGAAATAAAGGGTGTCAGTGAGGGAAGTCTGTTGTCCCCTTTCCCATATATTTGAAAGCATCTTCTTTAAGCAGTGCACAAAGCCTGCACATACGCAGTGGCCTCAGCGCCAATGCATCCAAACCTGGGATAAAATTCTCCAGCCCAGGAACCGGTGAAGAGAGAAGTGTTTACTGTAAAGACTTACTGGTAGAGAAAAGCTGACTTTCTTCGTGGCGGCTTTGCCATGAATCATAACCTACACTGGTAGAGTTAAGTTAAAGGGGACATTTATTCAGCATTGCAATTGTGTGTAGCACTTGGTTGAGAGATCATTGTTCTTATACTTTATTTTTTTAAAATTTTTTTAACTTTTTATTTCTTTTCAGCGTAACAGCATTCATTGTTTTTGCACCACACCCAGTACTCCATGCAATCCGTGCCCTCTCCAATACCCACCACCTGGTTCCCCCAACCTCCCACCCCCTGCCCCTTCAAAACCCTCAGATTGTTTTTCAGAGTCCATAGTCTCTCATGGTTCACCTCCCCTTCCAATTTCCTTCAACCCCCTTCTCCTCTCCATCTCCCCTTGTCCTTCATGCTATTTGTTATGCTCCACAAATAAGTGAAACCATATGATAATTGACTCTCTCTGCTTGACTTATTTCACTCAGCATAATCTCTTGCTGAGTGAAATGTTCTTATACTTTAAATGTCAAACAAAAAATTTTACTACCCAAAATTCTAATTATAAAAATTCTAATAATTGTTTTGTTAGCATTTCAGATTTATTTCTGCGACCTAGAAATTTATTCTATGATTATGACATTCCATTTAAAGGATAAGGCTCATACTGATCTTAACATCTGGCCGTTGAGTATTTGGCACCCCTGCCAGGCTGATCATGCTGAATATGGTTTCAGGTATGAATACAGAGTTCTTCCAGAAAGGTAGTTTGGGCTGTTCATTATTTGCTAGGCTGTCCTGACCTCTTGGGGAGTGGAGGGCTCATGGTCCATCTCTTAACTGATGCTTAGAGGCTCTTTCAAAGATAGGCAAGGAGTCTATCTGACTGGTGCGACAAGGAACAAAGTAAACACAGTGGGTCCTCAGGGCCCCCTTTCAGGGTCTCTCTTATTTCCTTGACTTACACTTATCGTCTTGGGCTACACCCTTCTCTCGTGTTCCCTCTCCTTTCCCTCTGCTTTACCATCCTGCTGGGAGTGTGGCAGGCCCTGCTCTTGGCCGCTGGTTAGACTTGTGGGCCTGCAAGTTGCTCTGCAGGCCACCGCATGGGCATGGCCCAGGCTGTGGGTTCCTAGGGATGAATCATGAGTGAGGCAGTAGGCCTCCATCTTGGCTGCATTATCTAACATAGTTTCCCAAACCCTCTGCATTTTTAGGGTCACAGGCTTCTTACATGAGCACTGATAAAATGGATCCTTTGATTACCACTTGATAATTACCCTGGAAAAGAAGAAAGGTGAGTCTGACTTTCATCCCAACTTGATTTACCTGAGAAAGAAAACAGGCGGCTATCCACAGTCCTGGCGATTGACTGGAGCTTCACCACATCCATTGACTGCCCAATGTGCACTGTACTGGGCATGCTCCCCAGAGTCCCTCTTACAAACTCTGCCACCTCCTGCACGGTGAACATTTGCAGCAGCTCGTCAAAGATAGTTGGGAAGGAATTAAGGAGTGCAGCCTGCAGAAGCAAGTGAGCCTGTGGTTAGGGTGGAGTTAGGTGTCTATCTCACATGCTCAGACAATCATGAGGAGTCAAGAGGCTGAAAAGTCACTGCAGCACCCCGGCCTCACAGGGGTTCCTCCTGGGCCTTTGATTCTATGCATCATTGTTGCACTCCTGGGGCATGGAACAGAGTAGCAAAAAGGAGACTAAAACAAGAATATTTCCTGGGGCCCAGGCCACTTGAAGCTTTCATAACTTGCCAATATATTTGCTGGCAAGAGAAGGGAATAAAAAAAAAAAAAAAGAAATCAGCTCAATATGGCTTAATAGCCGTAGCTGTTTTGCTCATAAAATTGATTTAGATTTTTTGTCTGTCTCTATGATCAAACTCTCAACATTCTAATTTTGGTCTCAAATTCAAGCCAGGGACTGCTCAAATCAAATATAGCAGAGAGAGCTGAGCACCATCAAGCAACATGAGCTGAACTTCGCTCACAGCTCTGTAGCCAGCAATCAAGCTCTGAGAACAGGACCATTTTCCCAAGATAGAGACATTTATTTGAAACCATGAAATCTGAAGACTTTGTAAATCGTGTCCTTCTGTGATGCTTGGCAGTGTCAAGTGTAAATCCACAAGGATGGAGAAGGTGTGGGTTTAGTCAGCTAGGGGCTCTCGAGAACCGATGGTTACATTGGCAGAGAATTCAGCAACTGGTGGAAGTGTGTGTTTGGAGACTTCTCTTCATGGATCTCAGCTCTGGTAGACCCATGAAGTGGTTTCTTCAGGACAATCTTATAATAGTTCCAGAGCCTTTCAGAGATGGGGTAGTATAGGAGAAAGAGAATGGGCTGTAGAATTAGATAGACATGAGTATACCTCTCAGCTTTACTACTTGTCTGTCATATAACCTTCAGTGAGTTACTGTCTAATACTCTGTTTTCTCGTCAATAAAATGAGGATGATGTTATCACTTGTCTCCTGGTATTGGCATGAAAAAAATTAGATGCATGAAGTTTATTTCCAGCAGAGTGGCCAGCACATCATTGGTCTTCGAGAAATACTGGTCCTCCTTTTCTCAGGTCTACCTGGTAGCAACACGAAGGCGGCTTTTCTCCCTCTCAGTCCTCTTACACAATTAACCCAGAATTCACACAGGGGAATGGAGTGTCACTGTGAGACAAGAAGGTGAGAGTGCATTCCTCCCATGTGGCATGTAGTGAAATGGGGGTGTGGGGAGTATGGACTATTTTCCTCGACTGCTTCATCAGGCAGTAGACACTGGCCTAGAGCGAGTAAAAATTTATGCCATGGGGAAGATCTGTTATCATACTGCAGTCTGTGTTCAGGCCGGGCCCAAGGACAGAACTTAGATGAATTCTGTCTACAGATTTATAACTCCCTGGGATATCAAAGAGATTTCTTTGTGTGCAGAAATTAGAACAGCACAAGAACATATTATCATAAGCAGTTAGATATAAAAGACAAAGGGGAAAAAGCAGGTCTTTCATAATACACAACAAACAGTAAATATTCTCGTAAATGTTGAGATTTCCTACACTTATGCACCAGGACAGAAGGACAACTGCACCTGAACGTCTCCTAGTGGTCAGAAGCAAAGACATAAAATCTGACTGAACCATGGACTTGCTAAGAGATCTGAAAATCATGAAACATGAGCCTGACGCCAAAGAAGCAGGTCTGCTCCTGACTAGATCTGAGCTCTCCTGATGTGACAGGTACATGCCACTGAGTACAAGGCATTACCAAGTTCTCAGAAAGCATATCTGCCTTGTTCTGCTAGCTACCTCTGAGCCCCCTCATCTCTGTATACTGAGGGGAAGAGTAGGTGTCCTGGGCCTTTGTTGGCAGGAACAGATGGGCAGGAGGAGAGATGGGAGGAGGAAGATGAGTTGTGTGGGGTACTTCAGAAGGGAGACCATGGAATGACCCTTTTTTTACAGAGACACTTGGAAACCTTGAGGAATTCCCTCTTTTATAAAGTCTAGCTCACAGTTGTTCACCTGTTCTCTGGACCAAGGGGCTTAAAGCCAGTTGGCATCAAGGGCATCATAGGGTCATGTGGAAAAGAAAAAAATGGAATATTCTAATCTTAAAGGAGATATTTAAACACACATTTGTACTCATGACAGTCCTGGCAGCAACTGAATGAATGGATGGGAGAGTGATCTTTTGAGTAATAACTGGCTTAAAAAAATCAAAGAAATACATCTATTAGATAAAATTCTGACATTTATGTATAAGAGAGAATAACCCCCTTGTGACTGTGGTAATAAACAATATCCTTGATCCTTTCTAGGGTGAGGCTCTCTGGAAAAGGCAACAGATTAACTGACTGGACATTTTTAGTATAAAGAAACAAATTTTCTTCCCACATTGATATTTCTAACAGAACCTGATCTTAATTATTAACCAAAGTTTTCTAGTTGTTTCTGCCCATTTTATTCTTAACTTCTGGAATGGATAAGTATTAATCTAAGGCTTATTTTTTTAAGTTTTTAAAAAATTAACACAGTAACTAGGAAACAAAATTCTCTATACATTCTGAATATCCCCTTTAAATAAGATGCTCATAAATGACAAATAGTATGGTTTAGTTAAATAAATTTGGCCTAAAGAGGGCTTCTGAGAATAAAGTTGTGCTTCTTCACCATAAAGCCACTGGGCTGTTTTATATTTGGCAGTTGGGGCATAGCTGGCTTTGAAGTAAAAGTAGCATTGTGTTCTATTAGTTATTTCCTGGCAAATCACCCCTCACCCAGCACACAGGAGTTTGGCAGGGCTTCTTCAACTCCAGAAGCCAGAGGACAAAGAAACCACCTGCTAAGGCAGACAAGGATCCAGCAGCAAATCTTCCCTGCAGCTCACAGACCTGAGTGAAAAGGAGTGTTTCTGAGTTTCTGCTGTCCAGACTGAGCACAAACCGGATGGACTGGAAAAGTTCTTGGATGCTGGACCGGAACTGTTCCTCTTCCATCCCACAGGTGGCTCGGGAATACAGGATCCTGGATTGCACAATAAACTTGAAAAGGTACTCCAAGGCCTGGAGGTGTGGGAGCAAAAGGGATAGAGAGGTGCTGAAGATGGTCAACAACTCACACAGCAGGGAATAAAGGGCTATGTAACCGTAAATTCTACCAAAATCAGGTGATGGGCAAATTTCAACTGTGGAGACAAGCACTTTTTTTTTTTAAGTTTTTCTCAAAAGTCCAAACGGTCACTGAGCAGGAGCTGTCTTCTTACTGAGACAGTCACCTAATTAATTCACCACTGTTTTTGTGATTCTGGAAATGAGGAACCATAGACTGTTATGGGAGCAGCTGAATTCAAGAATATACAGGATCAAAAGAAAATTTAATATCTTTGCATTTGTTTTTACAGGTCTGGAAATAAGAGCTTTCAAAAGCAATGATGTAGCTTCTCTCACATTTGTTTCATGAAGGAAAAGTCCTTAAGGAATCTTCTGTACCTTTGAGATACAGCTAGGCCCTGACGTGGTGCCAGCCTTCTTGCTGGGGTCAAGTCTGGAGAAAACTTGCCTTAGGCAGCACAGCCCGAGGGGACCTGACACATTCACTCTTCATCCTCTTCCAATACATGGCACCTTCCATACATAATATTTGATGAATGTAGGAGATCAAGCTCCCATAACACGTTTTAGGAGCAGAATCTAATTCTGAGGAGTTCCTGCCGCTTGGCCCATGCTTATGAGCACAGTAATTATCTTTTAAAAGAACAGACTGAAAATCCAAGCCTATGCTTTCCAATCAAAGAAATGCCACAGATTTCCCAGACACTGGAAAGGCAGAGACACTGGGAAGAAAATTATCTAAGGATGAAACTAATGGAGTTCAGCTACTTGAAATATATAATAGGAAATAATTCTCAAGCTACCTTTCATGACATATGCATGTATCAGAAGGTTTGTTTTGTGGCCCATATAGAATTCAGCTGGCACTGTAGAATGGCTAGGTCAGAAAAATACATCTTTCAAGGTTTGCACCAGTAGAAAAAAATCACAGTGTGTGCCATCATCAGCATAAATGTTACAGCCTCTGTTCTAGGAGCCTTTTAATGCCTGGTCTGAAAAGAACTGGCAAAATCTGTGCTACGTACTCTAATTTTAAAAAGGAAAATGTTTTCCTCATGACCAGTTTTTTCTTTTTTCAGTTTGATACAGCTAACAGAAGAGATGTACTGAATTGCTTGAAACATCTACTACTTTCATAGTGAAAGGCAGAAGCAGACAGCAAAATTGCTTGCACTTCCTGGTCATGAGTGGTGGAGCCTATGAAATTTGTTCAAAATTCAAAGGTCCTCTCAACACTGTGCAGAGACAATGGAAAACATAACTGTGGGTGAAGCATCTGCTCTGTCCAGTTCTACTTAAGTTCATAAACTTGAAAGGAAAAGAGATCCTACAAGTTATTACAACCTTTCTATCACTAAGAAGATCCATCGTGCCTGCTCTTTCCTCTTCATGGTTCCTTGGGGGGACCTGAGGTAGCAAAAAGTGTGCTATCTTTTTAGGATACCTTGCCAAATACCATCCTCAAACCCACCAAAGATACTTTCTACAGGCCATTCACAAGGGAACAAATAAAATAACCAAGTAAGAAAACAAAGGACTCTTTATTTTCATCTTCCTTAGTGGTCAAACTTTCTTCGAAAGGCCATGACTTTGAAAGTGAAAGGAAGAGATGGGATATAGGTGGCAAGATGTATCGAATCAAGAGTAATAAAGAAGAAGGGGGGTTTCCTGATCCACACCTTATCACACCAGAATGAGAGCTGCCAGGCCAGGACCATGTGTATCCTGTGAAGGATGAAAAGAGGATTGGATAGTGACTTACTGGTTTAGTCAAGAGGACTTATCAACTAAAATTTGATGAAGATGGGGAAATGACCTGACAAAACCTTAGTACTGAACGCATTATTATGAGATGTCAATCAAATAAGCCTGAAATGATGAGAGTAAGTATAAAAGTGCCTCAGAAAAGTGCTCCCTCAAAGGGACCTCTTGCTTCTCTCCACCCAAACCTGATCTTCCCGAAGTACATCTCCCAAAGTAACCAACCCAGCTGATCTAGCCATAGCTTCAGAGCCTCAGTTCTTCCTTTCTGTCACCTCCCATCCAATTCAACAGTTGAAATCCCCTGCTTTGGTCAAATCAGCCACTATTTTGTTTGCTTGAAAACTCAAGCTTCCTAGAACTTTTTTTTTTCTTTTTTTTTTTTTAAGAGAGGGAGAGAGAGGGAGGGAGGGGAAGGGCGGATGGACAGAGAATCTTAAGCAGGTTCCATGCCCATTGCAGAGCCTGATGTGGGACTCCATCTCACAACCCTGAGGTCATGACCTGAGCTGAAATCAAGAGTTGGAAGTTTAACTGACTGAGCCACCCTGGCACACCTCCCCCTGCCATGAGGCTTTTAAACATGCTGTTTCCTCTGTCTGGAGTACTTATCCCTCAGCTCTGAACATTAATTTCAGCCCAGAGGTCACCTCATCAGAGAGGTTTTCTCTAAAATCTTGATCTGAAGTAAAACTTCCTCTCCAGCCAGTCTATCCCATGATCCTGTTGATTCCCTTCATAGTATTCATCAAAGTTTTTTTTTTCACTGACTTTGTATATTTATTCATGTTATATGTTTGCCTGTCTTTCCAAAGAACTTGTATGGAAGTGCTATAAAGGCCTAGCCTTTTCTGCCTGGGCCCCTGCTGAGTCCCCAGTGGCTCCTACAGTGTTTGACCCATGGCAGCTATGAAGCAACATCAAGTGACTGACTGAATGAATGATTCTTAGGAGAAAACAACTTCTTCTGTGATGGCTTCTCTAGTATCCTGAGCAATTAATTTTGAGACTCAAAGAGAATCCTTTGAATTTAACTCAACTTTTATCCTCTCAAATATCATATGAGACACCTAACAGGTACTGGGTTAAGAGACGAACAGAACCTGGGCCCTGCCCTCACATCACACTCAGAATCCTGCTCTACACTTGTGCTCCTGTGTGCTTCATTGGGGAAGTTTTCTTCAAGAGGAGAGGCCTGTCTTACTCGACTCGTCTTTGTATCCTAGCACCCACAATAGATGCTGACTGCTTTGTCGATATGCATTATATGAAGGAGCACAGAAATAACAATTGTGGGCTTTGATTTTTACAGAATGTACATAGAAGAAGCAGGGGAACACAATCTTATTTGTGTTTTGCCTTCAGATTTGGTTTTGCCTTCAGTCTGATGACACTTGGCGAAACACCTGTCTCACCTGTTACCCTGTGGACAAGAACAGCAAAAGCATAGGCCCAGTAGTTCTTGCAGCAGATGATGTGAAATTAAAACGGGACAGAGAAAAAGCAGAACAACTTTGTTGCCATTCTTCTTTTATTGCTAACTGGAAAAGGTGGGAAAGAATGCTTAAAAACAATTAAAAAAAAAAAAGTAACTCAAGAACACGAAAATGTAGGGGTGGAAAGGGAGAAAGCTTGGACTTGTGAGTTCCCAGAGGATATGGCAGCTTTCTTTAAATAGCTATCTGGAGAACTGTCGAGCAAAAGAGGGATCAACATTCTCATAGATGATTCTCTATAGTAGAAGCAGTACCATGAAAAGAAGTTACCAAAAGTGAAGTTAACTCACAATGAGGATGGTTCCCTGAAAACTGGAGCTGCCTAGAAATGCAAAAGGCTGCCTTATCGTGGAACCTGTCCATGCAGGGGTGCTGCCATGAAGGACCCTGGGTTCCTCCAAAGGTCAAGGTTTTAAGATTATCTTCTTCTCCATATATCCATATACAGTGCATTTACACTCAGCTCTTTCCACTTAAAACAGTTCTAAAAAAACACAATGTGTAGTAACCACTGAACAAGGGAAAGTGTTGGAAGATCTTAATTCTTTTTTTTATTATTTATTTCTTAAATTCTTTTCAGCATAACAGTATTCATTGTTTTTGCACCACACCCAGTGCTCCATGCAATACCCACCTCCTTAATACCCACCTTAATACCCACCACCTGGCTCCCCCAACCTCCCACCCCCCCGCCCCTTCAAAACCCTCAGATTGTTTTTCAGAGTCCATAGTCTCTCATGGTTCACCTCCCCTTCCAATTTCCCTCAACTCCCTTCTCCTCTCCATCTCCCCATGTCCTCCATGTTATTTGTTATGCTCTGCAAATAAGTGAAACCATATGATAATTGACTCTCTCTGCTTGACTTATTTAATTCTAATCACTGCTGCCACCAACACTAGTTTAGAAGGAGATATGATGCTTTGGCTACTGGAAGCAGAGATGGATGGTGCTGGCAACAACCAGACAGGAAGGACGGCCAGGAGCTCCATGCTCATCATCCATCCTTCTGGCCTTAAGATAACATTATTAGGCATAAAGATCTTCTGGGGCAAAATCAAGGTGAGGAACGGGGACTCACGTGGTCCCAGGTGTTCCTAAAAGCAGGCCAATGTCCTAGGATGTCTACACTTGTCCTGCATGCTATAAACCATTGCCATTACTGACAAACAGCTGCAGGGTGGGCCCTTTGTGTACAGTGAGCTCAGTACATTACCCGCATGGCTTCCTGAATGTGGTCCTGTCGAATCAGTTCTGCTGAGCAGTCCATGTACCACTTCAAACAGCGGATGAGCTCCCTGGGAAAGAGAACAGTTCCAGAAACTCCACTTTAATTCAAAAGCAATGCCGCTTGAAATTTCTGCAGCCCAGAATTAGCCACACAGGAATAATATGCTGCTGATGAGTCAGAACAGAGTGATGGGTCCATTACAGCTGTGGGATCTCCAGTTCATCTGAGATCAGACAACATACCTCACTCAGACAACATACCTCATCCACAGAGTTGCTGCATTTTAATGAGCAATTATAATCATTCTTTCTCACTCTCCCTGACACACATTTCTTCTTTGATTATAAGAAAGTTTCCCCAAAGTCCTGGACTTTGCATGAATATTTGTTTTGTCTAAACTTGCTGCGTCTCCAGAATAGACCACAATGACTAGTAAATAGTAGACAGAGATAAAGGTATATAGTCCGGTGTGCCCCTCCTTGCTTCACCTTTATCTCATATATTTTATTTCCTTAGGACCAAGAAACCTGAGTGAAGGGAGATGATAGATCAGAAGGCCTGTTCCTCATGTGGCAACAGGGCACAGAAGTCAAGCCAAGGCCTCGGTCAGACAGCAGAGTTTATATCTGGGGCCTATAAATTTCTAGCTCTGCGTCCTTGGGCAAGTAATTTGATGCCTTTGTGCCATTTTCTTCATTTAAGATGCAGAGAAAACAACAGTACACTTCGAAGTTATTGTGACTACTAATGAGATGATGACATGCCTAAACCACAGCATGGTGCCTGCTCTGCGGAGTTACATCAAAGCGCCAGAGTTCCAGGGACTCCACAGCCTCATCACCCTTGGGTTTTACTTATATTTCCAAAAACTATGCTAATTCTACAGAAGAAAGTGATGACTTTTTAAAATTGCTTTAACAGTTTCAGATAACCTTGGTTTTCCATGTTAACTATTTATATCTTTTATCAACTTTTTATTTCTTTGATATTTATTTGTGGGTGCTGTATTTATCTATTCACATGTTTCTCATGGAAGAAGCAAGCCTAACTTTCAGTAGCTTTGCCGGTATTTCTTACAAGGAAAAGTATGACACCTGTGTAGTAAACTATGGTTTAAAATGAGAGCTCAAAACCACAGCTAAGACCCCATTCAACCATGAAATATTAGGAATAAGGCTTGCTTTTGCCACTTCTAGTCAACATAGTACTGGAAGAACAGTTAGGCAAGAAAAAGCGGTAAAAGGTATTCAAACTGGAAAGGAAGAAACAAAATTATCTTTGTTTGTAGCTGACATGGTCTTACATGTAGAAAAAATTGAAGATTCCACAAAAAAACCTTTTAGAACCAATAAATGCAAAATTTATCCAGCAAAATTGCAGGATATAAAATTAAGACACAAAAGTCATTTGCATTTCCATACACTTATAATGAGTACTTCAAAAAGGAAATTAAGGAAAAAAATCCATTTGTAGTAGCATCAAAAAAGAATAAAATATTTAGGACTAACTTAACCAAAGAGGTGAAAGACTTATAGACTTGTACTTTGAAAACTATAAAATGTTGCTGAGAGAAATTAAAGAAGATATTAATAAATGGAAAGACACTCATGTTCATTGATTGAAAGACTAAAACTATTAAGATGCCAACACTACCCAAAGTGATCTACAGATTCAATGCAATCTCTTATCAAAATCCCAACAACATTTTTTGCAGAAATAGAAAAATTCATTCTGAAGTTCATATGGAATCTCAAGGGTCCCCAAATAGCCAAAGCAATCTCAAAAAAGAAAAAAGTTAGAGGACTCACACTTCCTGATTTCAGAACTTACTACAAAACTACAATAACCAAAATAGCATGGTATTGGCATAAAGACAGACATACACATCAATAGAATGACAGAGCCCAGAAATAAATCCTCACAGAGATGGTCAAATGATTTTCAACAAGGGTGCCAAGACCATTCAATGGGGATAGGATAGTCTTTTCAATAATTATATTAGGAAAACTAGATATCTATGTGCAAAAAATGAAGTTGGATTCTTACATTACACAATAAACAAAAATTAACTCAAAATGCATCAAAGACCTAAGTGTAAGAGCTAAAACTATAAATTAAACTTGTAGACAAAAACAGGGGAAAAGTTCTATGACACTGGATTTAGCAATGATTTCTTGGATATGTCATGTCACCAAAAGCACAGGAAACAAAAGAAAAAATAGATATGCTGGACTACATCAAAACTGAAAACTACTGTACATCAAAAGACACAATCAACAGAAAGAAAGACGATGGGAGAAAATATTTGTAAATTGTGTATCTGACAAGGTGTTAATATCTAGATTATATGAAGAATTCCTACAGCTCAACAATAAAAAATGAAACAACCTGTTTAAAAAATGGGCAAAGGGCCTGAATACATTTTTCTCCAAAGAAGATATACAAATGGTCAATAAATACATGAAGAGATGCTCAGCATCATTAATAATTAGGGAAATGCAAATCAAAACCACAATGAGATACCACTTTATGCCAATTAAGGATGATTACTATAAAACCCCCACTCCTCCCAGAAAAACACAACAGAAAATAACAAGTCTTGGCTTGAGGAATGGAGAAACTGGAGCCCTTGAACACTGTTGGTGGGAATGTAAAATGGTGCAGCTGCTGTGGAAAACAGTATGGTGGTTCCTTAAAAAATTAAAAATAGAACTACCTTATGAACCAGTAATCCCACTTCTGGGTATATGTCAAAAAGAATAGAAAGGGGCACCTGAGTGGCTCAGTGGGTTAAAGCCTCTGCCTTCGGCTCAGGTCATGATCCCAGGGTCCTGGGATCGAGCCCCGCATCGTGCTCTCTGCTCGGCGGGGAGCCTGCTTCCTCCTCTCTCTCTGCCTGCCTCTCTGCCTACTTGTGATCTCTGAGTGTCAAATAAATAAATAAAATCTTAAAAAAAAAAAGAATAGAAAGCGGGGTCTTAAAGAGATATTTGTAGCCCCATGTTCATAGCAGCATTATTCACAATGACTAAAAGGCGAGAGCAACCCACATATTCATCGACCACTAAACAAAACATGGTATATATGTATAATGGAACATTATTCAGCCTTTAAAAGGAAGGAAATTCTGACACATACTACAATGTGGATGAACCCTGAAGACATTATGGTAAGTGAACTAAACCAGACACAAATAGACAAGTATTACATGATTCAATTGACATAAGGTACGTAGAACACACACATTCAGAGACAGAAAGTATAACGGTGGTTGCCTAGGGGCAGCGGGAGGGGGAGGGGTGATGGGAGTTAATATTTACTGGATACAGAATTTCAGTTTTACAAGCTGAAAAAGTTCTGGAGATGAATGGTGGCGATGGCTGTACAACAATGTGAATATACTCAATGCCACTGAGCCCTACACTTAAAAATAGGTATTTTATACTCTATGTATTTTACCACAATTAGAAAAAAAAAATTAAGTAAAAAAAAAAGTCAGCTGACTGAATGGTGGTTGTCATTGAGATTTTTTTAAGTTTGTCTTTCTATTCAAACCAAGTCCTAATAATGGTGCCAGATCAACTTACTTGTATGCCAGGGCTCCAGCAAAGTGTTTCTGGATGTATGTGTCCATTACAGGCCGGAAGTGGAAATACTTGATGTCTCTGAGCAGGTTGATGATGAATACCTGGAGAAGATGGAGGGTATCAGGGTTCACTGGAGGCCCTGGATTTACCTCCAGCAGAAAACAGAATTCTTGCTTCTTTAAGGAATGACAGACTGTCAGTGTTTTCTCTAGTGTTCCCCATGGGCAGAGAATGGAAGATTTCTATTCTGGGTCTATTTCTGTCCTGTCTGCTCTATTCCTATAGGCCCCAGCCTCTGAATTCAGACTTGGGGCTCATCTGTCTGTGCCAATGTTAATCTGAGTTTTCACAGTAATGATAGGTGGGGTAATACAGATTAGGAGAAAGCGAAACAATACCCATGCATGGTGGCATAAATACAAAGGTGTCTTAGAAAACTTGGAAAATGGAAGAAAAAAAAAGATTATTCTCTGAGCCAGCTCAGCCTATGAAAGGCTGTGCCCTTCAGAAATGGGGCTGGCTGGCTAGGAGAGCAAGGAAGAAGAAAAGCCAAAGGGGCAAACTATGCACGTGTCATTTTAACTCCTGCCTCTGCTCCTCATCTGTTAGGTAGACTTACAGTATGAAGTTCCCCTTGAAAGTACGGCACTCCTATGGGACAGGATCTATTAAGCTAAATGCACTGAATGGTTCAAGCCACTGTCCATTCTCACTAAGCAGCCATTGGAGATTCTGGTTCCCAAACAACTGCACACAGGGACAGAGTGTGATGCTCAGACCAGCATGGGTGAGGACTCTCTGCTCTTCCTGGTGGTTATATCCTACTGTGCAGGTGAAAGTACAGGCCACCTTGTTTCCTATATTCATCTCTGAGCATATTGGTGGTGTGTAGGTCTCTATTTCAGGGGCTAGGCAACTCGACTACAGTGATGAGACTGAGTACCAGAACTACAAAGTTGAGGCCTGGACCTGACCAGGCTGAATTATTCAAATTTGATGTTGGAATCTCTCTGATAAGTTGGTTGGCTGGACTTCCTTGGGTCACTCCTCAGCCTCTTTTCTACTGGAAACATCTGTACCTTGTATTGACTCATCCTAATAAACTGCTTCCCTTGGATTTTGGAAAACATGTGACAGAAATAACTAACAAAAAAGGAAGTCAGGAAGGGTGAGACTTACCAAAGACTGAAACACCAACAGGCCATACTTCTCTGTGTTATCATCCAAAATCACAAAGAGTGTATCTAAGATGTCTTGCAGAAACTGTAACATAAAAATCAGAGGGCTCATGTCTTAGGACCTTGTACACATGGTCAAACTTCCATACACCAGTGACTTTAATCTCCAATAAACAATCTCAAAAATCTAAGATCTCAAACCTTACTTAAAAATAATCGAATATTCCACCTCCACCCAACTAAGGGATAACTAGGTGGACTCAGGGTGTTTGTGTACAGCCCAAAGGGTCCTGAGAGAGATTTGGAAAGGCTTTTTTCTCTTGGGTGAGTGCTAAACTTCTAAGGAAAGAACAGTGACCTAAAAGACACAGGACACCCATGTTGAATTGCAACTTTGAAGTAATGAAACTCTAAGTGGTTCTGATGCCAAATTTATTTTGAGAAAAAGAATTCACTTTCCCAGAACCCCCAAAAGTGCTGTAGTCCCCTTATTCTCTACTGTGGCTTAACTATAAAGGACACTTGAATGAGGATATGGCAGTCTAGGCTCTAGCTACAGAAACCATGTTTTGGTCTAGAAATCAGTATCCTGGGAGAAGAGAGAAAGCTGCTGCTGACGGCTATCAGGGAGGGTAAAAGATCTGGAAGTACCATTTTGTTTTTGTTTTTTTGTTTCTAAGATGCAAAATCTAAGGGAGAAGATGATAAATACTCATGGATACCAGCAGTCTTTAAAAATCAAATCTAACGGGGGCGCCTGGGTGGCTCAGTGGGTTAAGCCGCTGCCTTAGGCTCAGGTCGTGATCTCGGGGTCCTGGGATTGAGTCCCACATCGGGCTGTCTGCTCGGCAGGAAGCCTGCTTCCCTCTCTCTCTCTCTGCCTGCCTCTCCATCTACTTGTGATCTCTCTCTGTCAAATAAATAAATAACATCTTAAAAAAAAAAAAAGAAAAATCAAATCTAACATTCTGTTGATCAAAGGCAACTGAATGATACAAAGTTTACAATTTATTTCCTAGCAATGTCCGAAGTTGCAGGCATGGATGGGAGTGTTGATGGGCAGTATTGGTCAAAGGCTGAAGATTATTGGTGCTAGGTGATAGGTACTCATAGGGTTCTTTCCACTATTTTACTTTTGTGTATGTTTGAAATATTCTAATAAAAAGTAAAAAAAAATTTTTAATTCTAGCAGATTCTTTTCACACTCTCCTCTGGTGGCTTGAGATCAATTATTGATACCAAAACCAGATGTGTTGATAGGATATTTTCTTATCTGGAATACAACTCAGTGAAAAAGATTACAGATTTTAAAAATATGTTTGTTTACTAATTGATATTTTAAAATATGTTTAGAAGAAAAAAAAATGCCCTGAGAATAAACTGATCTTCAGTTTCAAAAACTAGTATTAGCAGGGGTGCCTGGGTGGCTCAGTTGGTTCAGTGCCCAACTCTTAATTTCAGCTCAGGTCCTAATTTCAGGGTCATGGTCTGAGGGTCTCGATCTCAGGGTCCTGAGATTGAGCCCATGTCAGGCTGTGCTGGACATGGAGAAGATTCTCTTTCTCCCTGCCTCCTACCTAAACAAAACAAAGCAAAGCATGGAGCACTGGGTGTGCTTGGAACACTGAAAAACTAAAATTAAATTAAAAAAAAAGCAAAGCAAAACAAAACTAGTATTAGCTTAAGAGTTCTTTTTAAAAAGATTAATTGATGAAAACAAAATTCAGACTGACTTCATGAAAATACATAGAGGTATACAGACTTCAAAACTGTTTCTTGTTGGAAGACACCGTGTATGTTATTGAGTCAATGGTGCTGAAAAATGAAAGTATCTACAGGGTTATCTTGCTCATTGATTTGGTTTTATGATGACAGAACTAAGAAAGCTCACTGAAGGACAACTGCCTTCTTGAAATTTAGTTTCTATCCTACAGTCCACTGCTCCTGCTGATCATCAAAGGCAAGTCCACTGTCCTCAGCAGAGTTCAGTCCACTGTGCAGAATCCACCTGGGGGGTTTACACCATCAGGGAGTACCTGCGGGTTTTCCTGAGCTAAAACCAGGTGGGCAAACACTCCACACAATGCAGAGAAGCCCTGTGGAAGACAACGGGAGACTGGTAGTGTTGTTATCAGTCTGCTCAGTCCATTAGATGGGAAATGTCACAAAGGTACCTAGAGAAAGCAGTTCAGACAGAGAGTGGGGAAGGGTCCTTAGTACGGACTCTAAGTGAGAGATGGGGCAAAAGCAGCAGCTCTAAGTTAATGGAGAGTATTTAGAATTCTTCTAGATAATCAAGCCAGTAGAGCCAGAAAAGCCTCAGGCTAGATTTGTGGTTAAAGGGTTACAAATAAGGAAAATGAGAAAGAGACCTAAGGAAGGGAGAGGAGGCAGCACAAAGCACTGGGTGTGTTTCTGAGACAGATGCCTTGACCACTGCCCTCTCATTATTGTTGTTTTTCCTAGGAAGAAAAACAATCAGAAAATAGGGTTTATGACTTAAATATAGTTTCTAAAAGGTAAGAAGCCAGATGTGATACCTCCTTTAAAAGGAGAAGCTAACAGGGGTGCCTGGGTGGCTCAGTAGTTAAGTGTCTGCCTTCAGCTTAGGTCATGATCCTGGGGCCTTGAGATCGGGCCCCACATGGGGCTCCCTGCTCAGTGGGAAGCCTGCTTCTTCCTCTCCTACTCCCACTGCTTGTGTTCCCTCTCTCACTGTGTGTCTCTCTCTGTCAAATAAATAAAATTCTAAGGAAAAAAAAAAAAAAAGAGACGCTAACAAAAAAAAAAAAAAAAAAAGAAAAGAAGAACAACTTTATTTCTACTCATCTAGTTGTATTTCAAGACATGGTCTTAGTGGGATACCAGTAGAAATCAAGGAGATGTAAGGACTTCTGCCCAGATTCTTGGTCAGGCAGCATGTATGAATTTCCGGAAGCCATACCTTAACAATTTCTTCCCCACTGACATGCCGCAGCCGCCCTAGGATGTCCATGATCCGGTCTGGAAAAGCCTTCCATTTCAGGAGAGCCAGGAGGTCCACTAGAAAAGCAAGTGCAAAAGATGGTGAACACTGGCTATGCCAAGGACAAGCAAAGCCCAGACCCTCCCTGCCCAGTGGAAACTGGAGGAGGAGAAATAGCCACAAACATTACAACAGCCTTTTTAGTGGCCACAAGACCAAAGACACATCTGTGAAAACCGGAGGCGTACTCTGGAGCTGCTGAAACCATGGCAAACCTTACAGGCTGCTATTGCCAAGTGGTTCCTCCAATTTCAGGTGAAAAGAATGCCCTCATTGTGGCATGAAAAAGCAACTAATTCCTGTCTCCCTTAGCATGCATCAGCAACGTGAAACCAGCCACTGAGGACAGGGAGGGCAGCCCCCTGGAGACCCTCTTGCCTACCATTCTGGGTGAGTTTGGTGGAGGAGAGCTGTGTGGAGATGAAGAAAGACTCTTTGGTGCTGCGCTGGAAGATGAGGCTGGAGGGGATGTTGGGGCAGCCATTGTAGTCCTCTTTGCAGCAGGGCAAGCCCAGGTACAGAGCATGGTTGTTAAATGTGCTATTCTCATCGCACTGTAGGCAAAGGTAGAGAATACAGAATGTATCCCGAACCACGCCATGTGTAAAAAGCAGGCTGTAGGAGATTTTTTGATGTTGATGTTTGCTCTCATCTTCCTGAGGCTGGATCTTGGACCTCGGGTTCTCTTAGAAGACTGCTTTCTGACTGGAAACTCCCCAGCATGGCTCACATGCCTTTTAAAGAGAACATGTTGGGGCAGGTGGCCTCCACCTGGTGTGCAGACAACTCTGGGGGGCAGCGGCACTGTGACAGCTGACAGAACCATGATCTCAAATGGCAGGTGTCTGAACGTACTAGCCAAGCCACAACAGCACAGAGGAGTTGGTAATAGACCTCCATTACTTGTGACGTGGGAGTTGGGAAGCAAAGGGCCTGCTGGCATCACTTGTGAGAGGAAGGCTCCTAGAGGTAGAAGACAAAAGCCTACCTACAGCTATCCTGCTGTCAGCCACCAGTGCACTACCCTGGATCCTTCGGCCTGCCCACTGAAAACCACCTAACTGAGAACCATGTGTGAGAGCGGTCTCAGGGGTGTGAAGGTTTAGGTGAGAGACAGACAGGCTCCATACCTTGTACACGTAGAGCTCATGGATGTCATCTGAGAGAGTGGTGCCATCATCCCGCATCAGGGGTGAGAATGCAAAGCCAAAGAGTTTCTTTTCCCCTTTGTCCTTTGCTGCAACCAGAGCTAAGTGTTAGTTGTTTTTGCCCCTCACTTTGCTTTTTAACAGAAATTCCCCTTGTGCTTATCACCTACATTCTTTACTTCTTTGTCCCTTGCTTTCATTAATTAGGTAGTTACCTGACTGCAGGAATGATGAGAAATGTACTGGACCATGTTTCCATTTATATCCCAAGGTACACGGGCTACCTAGACTCAAATAGAAACTAGACTGCTGGTCTTGATAAACCAGAGGCTCTTTAAGAAGCAGTTTAATATGCAGAAAGGAAACACCCAAAGGGGAATGACACTGGTAATTATCTGGTGTCTGGGTCAGACCCTAGGAAGGGCCAGCACCAGACCTCATGGTTTGAGTCACTGTCTAAAGAACAGCCTCTAATGACATCCCATCCTTGAGTACCCACTGATTCAGAACCCCTCATTTTTCTTGCCCCAATAACAAGAACCCTCTGAGTTCTCTTTCTGAGGAAAGACTTCTGAGACAATAGGATGTTCATATCCTCCAAGGAATGTGGAGAGAATTCTCACTCACTGGAACAATGTCTGAACTCGAAGCGCAGGTGGGAGCCTCGGAACCGGTCGATGGGGATGGGCAATTTGATAATCTCTCCCCATCGAGGACTATTACTGTGGTAGAGGACAAAGGAGTGGTAGGAGCTCCTGTTTGGCTCTCCTGAACCCAAGCTTATGCAATCCTGAAAGAGAGAAGCATAATAAAGTGTCATCTTCTCGGAGGAAGCCCCTGGACTTCTCTGCGGCACTAGGATATTTTCTCCTTTGTGTGGGTCCTATCTTCCCACCAGGCCAAATCTACAAGATAAGAAAATTCTTTTGACTTAAAACTTTTGGAGACAACTGTGTAGATGGCATAAAGAATCCATAGTCAACAATGGTCCTTCTTTTCCTTGGGGCAGAAGGAACCACACACACTGCTCAATAAACTGGAGGGAAGCTGAACAGTGTATCTGAATCACCAAGATAAGCTCTTCATCCTCATTCAGAAAGGAAAGAGTGAACTCCATAGGAGAAGTCAACTGTACGTGACACTTCACCTGATCAGAAAATTAATTAATTTATAAACTGGAGAGAGCTTGCTTTCTAACCTTCCTTCCAAGGTTGCCCTTGGCTGACTGTCCTAGATAAGGAAGAACCAGATTTACCTTGACCCCATTTCCAAATATTGCCATGAAGTTGTAGTCCCATCTTCCTGGAAGACAGGAAGTTGCAGGTAATGCAATCAGGAGCAGTTCCCTATCTGCACAAGGGTGCTGCCAGTAGCTGCCAGCTCTGCTGACCTTGGTGTTATCCATGCAAACAATGGACATGCCTTAGTCCTTAGGGTAGGTTTTTAAAATTATTTATTTTTTTTAGTAAAATCTCTACACTCAATGTGAGGCTCAAACTCAAGACCATGAGATCAACAGTCACATGTTCTTCCAACTGAGCCAGCCAGGTGCCACCCTCCTTCTTTTTAAAGTTAATTTATTTTCTTGAGGTGGGTTTTTAAAATGTAATACAAATCACTGTTTCTACCATCAAATAAACATTCTCCTCTATTTCCTTCCAACTTTTAGGAGATGGTTTTGACTAATTTTACTTTCTTCCTTCCATAAAATGTGGATGATCATTCCTGTTCTGGCTGCCTCACAAGGCTATTGTCAACATACAGGAGCAAGGTCTGTAAAAGAATGATTTGCCTTCTATCAAGTGCTATGCAAATGAGGCCTTGTTATTTGCCAGGGACTTCATCATGACATGACTGGGGAAAACTGACATACTGATGGCGGAAAAAGAGCACTCCAGTTCTTCACTTTGAATGAGGAGTGACAGAAGACATACTTCCTTCTTTATACTGGCATTGGCTGGAAATAATATTTTAGAGCCTGACTCTGCTGTTCCTTGTCACATAACTTGGTACCAGCAAGTGAGTGCCTAAGTCCCACCCTTGACCAAAGAGCAAGTGCAGGTTTATTAGCTTAAGGAACAAAAAGAGTGGGACCTAGTAACAGTTACCAAAAGTAGGCAGCTTGATGCTAGACAGAATGGCAGAAAAAGTAACATGTAGGGCAGAACTAGAGGGAATAGGTCTAAATTGGAGCAGGAAGGATTGAGGTCAGACACTAGGAAGCATTTCTAAACAGGCTGTATGACACTGGAAGTCATCATCAAAGCATACTGCAGGGTTTCCTTGAAGAAAAGAAAAGGCAGAGAAGAATGTACATGCAGCCATTTGAGGGAGGTCCGCCTGAGGAGAATGGATCTCTGGATAAAGTCCATAGAATCAAAAAAATTATTTCAGGATTAGTCTCCATTCCAAACTGACTGGCAAATCTTACCTTCAGTATTTCTCCATCTGCGTAAAGCACATACATGGTCACTTCAATATTCTTTTGTACACTCTTTCCCCCTCTCTCGAAATCCCCCTTCTCCAAGGTTAGGTACAGGTCATTGCGGATATCGCCTATGGGGAAAGAAATGCCATGTCTTCATGACCACAGAAGCCACACGGCCCCATTTGTATGGAGGACCAGGCTAGCCATTTGGGTCCTCCAGGGTTCAGGTGGGTGCTCGGGGCATTGCAAGCTTGGTTAATAATGGTGGCCATCTACCCATATCAGTGCAGCGGTACTAGGTTGGTTAGTCATGTGTTCTCTAAGTCTGAATTCTAAAGCTGTTCACCACACCTCGTCCAGGGTGGGAAAATGTGGGGCAGAGAATCTTCTCTCATATCATAGGTGACTACTTGGTCTCTCTACCCTCCAGGAGAATAGCCGAAATCTGAGCCTTCCAAAGGGGAAAGATTTTAGAATCAACAGGAATAACACTTAGTTTTATCATGTCTATGCCTTAACTACTAATCCCTTCTCCTTTCCCTCCAAAAAAAAAAAAAAAAAAAAAAAAGGTAATTTCCTTTTTCTTTTATAGGTTTTCTTTTTTCAACTCTTAATCCTTCTGAGTCTTTATAGAGGATACACTACTTTTTCTTTCTGGAGGCTTAGCTCCAAATCCCATCCCTTCCTGGAGTGCCAGATGGAGGTCACAAGACTGTCATTTTTTTCTTCTTTGTGTGGCATGTGCTCTGGGAACAAATGACTCTTCAGAATCACAGGGGCTAAAGCACGGGGTTGAGGGGACAATCTGTTGTGCTTCCCTGGGCTCTGACTCCCTCCCACTTTGCCAGTAACTGCTGCTTGAGACTGGGCTGAAGAAGCTCAAACTGCAAGCTGAAATGACCTAAGGAATGACCACATCTGCCTTTTTTAAGGGAGTGGGGTTGTCTATTCATGTATAAGGGGAGCTCACTTCGGCTGCTCTAATTTTGTAACATGACCAGTTTTATCCACACATTCTAAAGAAGGGCTTTTGACCTTCAGAAAAAAATAGCTAAGTCTCTGGGGAAAAAATCTTCGAAGGACAGTGGCAAAGGAAAACACGTAAGACCGAAGTGAAGACGTGTTAGCAGCCTGAAGAATTTAACTGAGAGGTGATGGAATGATTAACTTGCAAAACAAGCCAATTCAGAATATTCTTTCTACCTCAGTTCTTAGCAAAACTGGCCCATCTCAAAGTTCCTTTCTTGGAATCACAATAACATAAGCAGGTATTGTTTCTGGTTGGCAAGTGAGCTCTCTAGTTTGGTCAGATACATGATGATGGCTCTTTTTCTGCACAGGCCACATCTGATTGTGGAAGTGTCTTAGTGTCTCTTATGCATGAAACATGGTAGACCAGGACTGGCATATACCTGGGTTTTGAGGTCTTCACGAGCAGACCTTCTATTCTTCAGGTCGTCTTACTATACCAGGAACACAGCCATGGCTATTTGGTTGCATAATGAAGCTCTTAAAATACTTCCACTCAAGTGGGGGGAAGAGCAGCCTGTAAGAAGCAATTACTTATTCTCTGACAGCCCAGAGAACTTTCTCTAATGTGTGAAAAACATCCTGTTCCCCAAATAGCCCTGAGGCTACCATGAAGGAAAAGGAAAATTCGTTCTGAAAATCACATATAAATGTAACTAACTGCTGGCAAAGCAGGACAGCCTAGGGGGTGTCTAGCCCTGCAGTTCACACAGACTTCTCTCCCGGGTGAGGAGAGCCTCTACTTGGAATTTTCATGAGTCTGGCTTGAATCTGCCTCCTTTGGACATCTCTGCTTGGGCCTTCCGGGCATATCATGAAAATAACACTCAGAGGTGCAGGTAGGGTAGGAAAGGAGAGCAGAAGGGAAACTCAAATCCACAAATTTGCTACTATGGGCAGGAGATGAATAAAATCAGTCCCCTGAAGTAAAATTCAAAATTAAATGGGAACTTTCCTATAGATAATTGCTATCATAACGGGATAAATGAGAGGTGGTTACACCTTGAGTTTCTAACAATAGAAACAGACACTTTGGAGCCTTCTTTTGATAAAAGTCTTTTAGTTACACATTAGCTTTTCTATGGAATTTAAATAGTTATTAAATTTCTAGGCTGATTTGGCATAAAGCGAATAGAGAATTTTAATGTCTAATCTAAAGAACAGGCACTTTTTAAACTACTACTCTGGTTTAAACCAGTGCTCTCTAGAAATCATTTAAGATAATCCACATGACATGTAAAAGCAGATACTGGCTACCAGCAATAGTATTCTAGCTTGTACAAACATTTTAAATTTCTGTGACTCCATACAAAAGTTAGCCCTAAATAAATGTGTGCTTCAAATGAAACATTTAAACGTTTCCTAGCAATATATGATATAGAATACTCATACAAAAGTGGGAGATTGATAATGACAGAATTTGGTCTGTGATGATTTCATAAAGTGAGCCCATGGTTTCTGAGCTGTAACTCCAGGGCATTGTAAATCAAAATGCCAATTTCAAATGGAAGACCTGAGCTGGATATTCCTACAGCTTTCATTCTTTTAAATTTTCTATTTAAACAGAATGCCTTCAGTGATATCTTGCTGAGAAAATTTATCAAAACAAGTAAACATGCCCTCTGAGTTACAGAGTGAAGCAGCTTGATTTCATCAGATCTTTCACTGCTCTTTATTTGGAGAACAGACTTGCCTAAGACCAGGGCTATTCTCAGCAGAATGGATATTAGGCTGCTTTATGGGTTGCAATTTTGCAAATTACGGCCTCAATTTCAAGAACTGCGGTAGTTAATGTTACTGGGGCCCTCTTATCAAAAGCTCTCTGGGGGATCATTTAAATAGAGCTCTCTACTAATTCTCCTGGAACTAGGAGAAAACCTAAGAAGCAGCCAATGTGAAAGGCCCCCAGGATCTAATGACCCAGGCCTGCCTTACAGATAGCCTCCCAGGTTCCTTGCTCTTCAGCTGTTCCTGTTACATGTTATATCTTCACAAAGCCCACCAGGGGAATCATGTGTTTGGGTTAAGGCACTGTCTCCAGGAGGCTCCTGTAAACTTCAGGACCAATTGCAAGGAAATAGCTCCAGGAGAGGTTTGAGGATAGGCATACTACAACAAGGATGGGAAAGAGAAGCCCTGAGCAATGGTTTATGAGGTTAGTTTGCAGACCACTGTTTGGCTGGCTATATTCTAATCACCTGGGGAGCTTATTAAAACCAGATTTCTAGCATCTACCCCGTGAGATTGTGGTTGCTCTTGGGCAGGGTTTGAGTACATACAATAAACAAACAATCAATAGGTGATTCTGATGCTTTCCAGGGTTTAATGTCAGGGGACCACACCATGGGGTTTGCTGGGAAGATGATGAAATCTGGCTGGGTGTGGGGGCTAGGCAGCTCGTAGGCAGCACAGATGAATGCTGAGAGGGTTCTGGGAAGGAGAGGTTTCTCTGTGGGGTGTGAGAGTGGGTATTATTGAGGGTGGCCCTGCCTCCCTTTGTTACATGAACTCAGCTTCCTGAGGTTAGCAGGGCACCTCACAGCATCAGCAATGCCTTATATCTCTGAGCGCTTAACGCTCAGCTGATATGCACCAGAGTTTCTGCAGTGGAAAGATGTAATGAATGAAGTTGAACTTGTAGGATGACCTCCAAATATATTGTCTCTGTCCTTTTCACGGTCTGCCCGAGTAGCCCAGGCCAGCTGTTGGTAGAGCTGTGTGCCATGAGACTAGGGACTTAAGAGGAAGCAGAGGTCAGCAAACTCTATCTGTAAGAAGCCAGATAGTTCGTATTTTAGGCTCTGTGTTTCACATAGGTCTCTGTGACACGTCCTTTGTTTTTACAACCCTTTTAAAATGTGAGAAACTATTCTTTGCTGGAAGACGGTACAAAAATAAGCTGCTGGCTAGATTTGGCCCAGGTACTAGAGTTTCTGGATACCTGGCTTGGAGTGGTTAGGTGTCAAGGACAGCTTCACTACACCACGATGACACATCAAAAATCTAGATTCTTGTAAGTCCACGTAAGCAACTGCTGGGAAGGAGCAAGGTAATGTACCTGAGACCATCTTATTACCTCAGGGATTGGCCTGAAACACTCTGGGGTCTTTACGGTAAGTGAGAGGTCTTAGAAGGAAACTGTTTTCAGCTACCAGAAATCTTAGGGGGCTGGGAGCACTGTGACAGAGCTGCAGCCCACAGTGACAGAGAACTGCCTGCCACGGTGGCCAGGTGCGACCCTCTGAAGTCTTGCATCCTAGTATGAGAAACATAACTCATAGAGCATTTGCACCTCTCTTCTGAGAGCAGACTTGGCTGGTTTCAGAAGTTCTGTGGTCTGGCTCAGGCACCAGAGCATCTGTTAGCAAGAGAATCTCCTGCCAGACATGCCAGCCTTCCTAGGAATTTGGGGGCCACATGGTTCCAGCCTATGTGGAGTTCCATCCCAGGAGAAATGATCCAGGGCAGCCCACACAGCTTTGGGCACTCAGACTTGTCTGGATTCTTTATTATATTCATGTTCCTTCTGTATACATTAGTCACACCACATACTAGGAGGCTTTGGGTTCAAGGATACTAGTATTTAATACTGTTATTTATACCTTGTCTACTTCTAGATAGGATTAGGAAGGATAGTGTTTTCTTTCCCTTAAGACCATGCGAAACCAGAGCTAACCTTCTCTCAGCAGACACAGCGGCCTGCTCAGGATGGCACCAATTGTCTCTCCTGGCAGAATAGGAGTGACATGGACATGGCATGACATGGACAGCTCCATGGAGATTTGGAGACATTAACAACCATTCAACTTAGGCAGTTTCAGGCATACAACCAGTAGTTTGTTTTGTTGTAGTTCTTATTTTAAAGAAGAGACCTTCTTCCACCAAAAAGGACTCTTGGGAGGACTTTACTCTAGAGTATCCAGGAGAGATATTCTTTAGAGTATCTCCTGGATACTCTAAACAAGTTCTTTACTTTTAAACCATGTCTTCAGTGTCACACTTCTACTGGTTTCTGCTGTTACAAGCCAGTGATGTTCTCTGATCTACCAGGAAGAGAGGAATGGGCATAGTATGACATCATTATATATGGCTATTCCTTTCTTGGGTCAAGGATGTGCTGATCTTCCAGCCTGTTGTGGGACCGGATGTGATCATTCCTAAACCATCCCTTAGATATTGCCAAAGCCTCATTTGACACTCAGACTGACCATAGTCCTACAAATCTACTTGTGGTAAATACTTTCATCACTTCCTTTGAGGAGAGCTTTCTTTTTTAAAATTGGAGGGGGAGACAAACCATGAGAGACTGTGGATTCTGGGAAACAAACTGAGGGTTTTGAAGGGGAGGGGGATGGGGGGATGGGTAAGCCTGGTGGTGGGTATTAAGGAGGATAGTATTACATGAAGCACTGGGTGTGGTGCATAAACAATAAATTCCGCAACACTGAAAAGAAATAAAATAAAATGAAAAAAAAAAAAAAAAGTCATGTCTCTGTGTTTGCCTTTTTTGTGAGATGTGTCCAACAGCGCTGAAAAGGCAAGCTTTCTAACTTTCTGATTCTGTGTAGCCTGGGATAAGCACCTCTCATTTTCTTTTCAGTGGAAGTAGCTGGTGTGTCTCCTAAAAGTCTTTCCCTGTAGCTATGCACCTAGTTCTTAGGTTTAGTTTCCTCAGATCTTAATGAACACCTAAAGTAATGCACAGTGTTCTAGGCTGGGCTGGTGGTGGCTTTTTCTTCTTCTTCTTCTTTTTTTTTTTTCAATGTCTTGTCAGTTACCCCCAAAAGGTGAGGCTGATGAAATATTAATAATGACCATGAAGCCCCACCCCAGTATTGCAACATTCCATGAAACAAATGAAGATGGAAACAAAGCAGGCAAAAAGCAGACAGGGCACACACAAAAGCAGGAACTTACACCCAACTATCTTCATCTCTGCACCAGAAAGAAAGGGGCGAGAATGAGGGGACAGCACAGAGAGAGACAAGAACAATTAAGACAAACAGGAAAAGAGAGAAAAAAAACAAAAACAAAACATCACTTGCAGGTCGGTGATGAAGCATGCACTTTTTATCAAGGGTCAAAGCAGAGGACAGAGTGTATTTCTGAGCACAAGGGTAAGAGTCAGAGGGTCCCCTAGAGGGATGTCATGCCTGCAGAGCTGCCTTCTAAGAGCAAGTCGGAGCAACCCAGAGAGGAGCACTCCTTGTGCCAGGGCTGAGTCAGGGAAGGACAAAGCCTCCCTAAGGCAGAGTCCCTCTTAGGACATGCTTCTCGAAAGGGGCCCCAAACTAGGAGCATTATCATCACCTCAGAGCTTGTGATGAATGCAAATTGTTGGGTCCCACTCCATTCCTACTGTATCAGAAACCCCTGGGGGTGGACCCAGCAGTCTGTTTCTCCAAGCCCCAGAGGTGACTCAAGTCAGAGAACTACTGCTTTGGGAAAAACCTAGTCCTCAGCCAGAGCACATTAAATCAAAGGGCGGGTTTCTTCTGACAAGATGGAAGACCATGTCACTCATATGAAACTTGGCCCATATTCCACAGAAAATGAAAACCCTTAAAAATTCAAGACTTAGACAATAAGTTAAAACGTAATTCCCACAGAGCCATGACAGAACTCTATACTCCAGGGCACAGGCTTTATAGGAAAGCTATGAATGACAGAGGGCTGTAGAAGGTGGTGGCAGGGCTCTGCTGGCTCGGGCATGGTCTGCAGGAGGGCACGGCCTCTTATTGAACAAAAGGTTTTAATCATTCCTCTCAGTTTGCAGTCTTTGGGCTGGCAGTTTTCTTTTGGCTACTTTATTGCGAACAATGTTAACTCCAACTTGTTCACCTGGAACATTTGTCCTGCTCTAGTCTTTCCTGCCCATTTTCTTGAAAAGAAAAATCTAGGAAAGGAGTTACTATCTTTTGAACTGAACTAAAATGAGTTTGGAGAGAAGGAGGAAGTACCCATGGGAATATGGTGACCAACCAATAAAAGCACCTTGAGTGCTCGGTTTCAAAATCAGACTTCAACTCCCATATCTATTTGTTCTTCTCTAATCAAGAATGTCATCTCCTGGTTCATGCATCTTCTCCGGGAACTCCCAGGGCAACGGGAATAGCACTCCTGCCTCTTGCTCACTACCAGGGCTCATGAACAGAGCTGGATGGCTGTGCCATGAGGATCCAGCTGTGGCACAGAGTAGCACATCTCTGGTTCACAGCAGTCACGTGGTGTTTGCCCATGGAAAGCAATGGAGACCATCGAAGAGACCTTTTTAAAAATGGTATGTTGGATACTGGTGTGACTAGAGCCTGGCTGAACTCTGTAACTTAAGTGTTGAAATGATCACAGTAACTGACATAATTCATTGCCTTGTTCATTTCTCTTAAGTATGTCCATGTATCAAGAAGTGACAACTTCTTGTAACTTGGTCACACCAACACTATGTGGGCTGAGGGAGCGCTGCGGCCCAGGTCCAACATTCCCACAGGTGAAGGGTAGATCGGCTGCAGGCAGCCTCACCAAGGGACTTTGGAGCTTATGGTTTCCCAGGATAGGCTGACTGCAATGTAAAATGTTCCTGTACACTCTTCCTGTTGCTCCAGAAGCTGCAGGCCAGCCTTATCAGCATGCCTGAGGATGGCAAACTCACTCCGATGATATCTTGGAGTGCATTAAGATGTCTGTCAGTCAGTTTTTAGCTCACAACGCTGGGACTGGCCATCTGCAAAAAAGCTCTCTCCTCAAGGGGAGGATGGGCAGAGGAGACAGATGATGCACAAAGGACCGCAACCCGCCTGTGAACCAATCCTTACTTTCAGCTCTAGCACTTAGTACTCAAAGGCAGAAAAGAACAGCTTACTCACAGGCTTCACCTGGACCTTTCAGGATTGCAAAGCATCTGATGATCCCTTCACTGCCCAGGGGAGGGAAAACTCACTTAATCTTAGCTTGTCTCACCAGTGCCTGATACAGCTCATTTCCTCAGACTCGTCTAGCATACCCAGAAGTCCTTTCTGAACCTGAGTGCCTATGACACAAAGAGATGCGGGGTGCTCCACAAAAAGATTTCTTTCCATAAATGAGGGTTAGAAAACATAACTCTTAAAATCAAGCTTTGCTTAAGAATTGTTTTGACTGGGGGCGCCTGGGTGGCTCAGTGGGTTAAGCCGCTGCCTTTGGCTCAGATCATGATCTCAGGGTCCTGGGATCGAGCCCTGCATCGGGCTCTCTGCTCTCTAGGGGAGCCTGCTTCCTCCTCTCTCTCTGCCTGCCTCTCTGCCTGCTTGTGATCTCTCTGTCAAATAAATAAATAAAATCTTTAAAAAAAAAAAAAGAATTGTTTTGACTGAACTTTGTTCCTTTTTAGTATCTGTTCAGTAAAGAGTAAAACCAGTATCTGGTTTTAATCCTCTGACTGTGAAGGCTAAGAGGAAAGAAATGTCTAAATTGCAGGCAAACAACTTCTTAAAAGAAAGGAAAACTTTAGGTATATCTCTTAGAATATGTTACTCCACCTCATGAACCTGGATATGTAACTTAAAAAACAAAATCACCAGATCAATTTTGATAACCACTTCTTCTTTCTTCCATGACATTTTGCTAGGAAGCCAAGACTATGCCTGGGCTCTTCTTGTCCTGACAACCAGGGCTGAGGAATGGTGTTAGGACAGGATGGAAGAAGTGTCCTATGAAGGATATCCCTCTACAACAGTCAGATGGGGGCCCTTCAGAAGCATGAAGTCTCCCTAACATTACAAATGCTATTGATTTCCATCCCATTACAAATGGAATTGATTGAGTGGCCCAGGTTTCCCATCCAGTAGACCTGTGTGTGTGTGTGTGTGTGAGCAGAAGATGAGGGCTGTTCCCAGCAGCTTACTCTGCATCCACAGTGTCTATGCGGAGGGGAAGCAGGCAAGAGAAAACAAGTCCAGGCATAGTGGGGGAAGTTGAAAGGCAGCTGGAAGCCATCACATGGGCCTTCTCTGTGCTCAGCTCATACTCCTGCCTTGGGTACATGCTGACAAATATTTCCAACAAGGGGATTTACAGCACCATGAGGAACTTCAAATAGGTGACATATAGAGTGGTCACAAGCAGTGCAGTCTGGCCTGCCCTGGCTCTTTCAAACAGAAGCAAACAAGCTTTTACTGGATCATTAAAACTCAATGAAAAGGGTAGGTAACCCATTCAGAAAACCAGCTATTTGCCTGTTCAGATTTTCCTTTGTTCACATCTCCTCTGCTTATCAGACCACCTGCCCTCTATTTGAGCCATGCCTCTATCCTTCCCTCACTCCCCATAGTCCCCTTGGCTCTGATGACCTATTTCAATCTACTTTCCTAGCTTTGTCTGCATCGACCTGACTAGGAAACATGAACCTGGGACTGAGCTAGAACCACAGTTGACGGTTGATGCATTCTCACTTTCTGCTCTGGCTTTCCACTGGGCATTAGATGAGAACGTGAACCTGGCTAGGTAGTACTATTCCTAGTGCCTAACATACCATTTGCCCGACTTGTTTTCCAATACATTAAAATGGATCTGCTTTTCCTACATGAATTGGATTCATCAATACTACAAAGTATATATTTTGGTGTATTTTTCGCCCCCAAAGGAAGTTCTTTTGAGCCGAAGAGGGTATAAGGCATCCCCATGAAGAATTCCATGTTGGTTTCTACCATCCAGGCTCTACAGGAGACAACAAAGCCCATCTGCTGGATTGTTATGTTGCATGGGTGAGTATGATGTGGGGGATTCTGGAAAAGAACAGATGCCAAAAAAGGAGCCACTGACTACAGGCTGTAGTTAGCAAGCTGACTTGGATTCAGAGGCTTTTAATGGCTGCAGGGCTCCTTCCCAGCACAGTTCACCATCTGCTCATGAGAGGAGCACCAGACTCCATCCTTCTAACCCCTCTCCCAACCCAGCCCCAAGAAGTGCTGCCTACCTGGCATGATGACATCAGGAAATCCCAATTTTCTTGTAATTGCCAACCCCCTACCAAATATCATGGGGTTTTCTCTCCTAATCTGTTCCATGTCTCCACGGAGAAGCTGCAGAGAAATGATAAGACCTGCAAAAACAAAAGCATTTTCTTACTCAGAACCACATCTCCACCCTGTACTGTAGTACTAAAAAAGACATAAAGAAACATATATATATATTTTTTTTGGTGGAGGAAAACATGAAAAGTTCAGCACTTTTCTTGAGAAAAATTTTGATGCAGAAAGTATATGTTATTCTAAGGAAACATTTTAAGAAAGCTCAAGGTTGTTTTTTGTTTGTTATTGTTTCAAATTTTCATTTAAATTCCAATTAACATATAGTGTAATACTTGTTTCAGGGGTAGAATTTAGTGATTCATCACTTACATATGTGCTCAACACAACAAGTGTCCTCCTTAATATTCCATCACCCAAGTAGCCCATCCCTACCCACCTCCCCTCCAGCAACCCTCGGCTGTCCCCTACAATTAAGAGTCTCTAGGGGGTGCCTGGGTGGCTTAGCTGGTTAAGCATCCAACTCCTGATCTCAGCTCAGGTCTTGATCTCAGGGCTGTAAGTTCAAGCCCCATGCCCAGCAAAGAGCCTACTTAATGAAAAAAAAAAAATGGTTTGCTTCCCTCCCTTTTTTCTCCCTATGTTCATCTATTTTGTTTCCTAAATTCTACATATGAGTGAAATCATATAGTATTTGTCTTTCTCTGACTTACTTTGCTCAGCATAATACTCTCTAGCTCCAACCACATAGCTGGACATGGCAAGATTTCATTATTTTTGATGGCTGAGTAATATTCCTGTGTGTGTGTGTGTGTGTGTGTGTGTGTGTGTGTGTGTGTGTGTGTATGCACACGTGGACATCTGGGCTCTTGCCATAATTTGGCTATTGTTGACAATGCTGCTATAAACATCGGGGGGACTTGTATCCCTTCAAATCAGTATTTTTGTATTCTCTGGTAAATACCTAGTAGTGTAACTGCTGGGTCATACGGTACTTCTATTTTCAACTTTCTGAGGAAGCTCCATACTGTTTTGCAGAGTGGTTGCACCAGTTTGCATTTCCACCGACAGTGTAAGATGGTTCCCCTTCCTCCACGTCCTTGCCAACATTCGTCGTTTCCTGTATTGTTAATTTTAGCCATTCTGACAGGTGTGAGGTGGTATCTCATTGTGATTTCTATTTTTATTTCCTTGATGATGAGTGGTGTTGAGTATCTTTTTGTGTGTCTGCTGACCATCTTGATGTTTTCTTTGGAAAATTTCATGTCTTCTGCTCATTTTTTAACAGGATTATTTATTTTTTAGGTGTTGATTTTGATGAATTCTTTATAGATCCTGGATACTAACCCTTTGTTGGATATGTCATTTACAAATATCTTCTCCCATTTTGTAGGTTGCCTTTCAGTTTTGTGGACTGTTTCCTTCCCTGTGCAGAAGATTTTTTTCGTCTTGATGAAGTCCTGATAGTTCATTTTTGCTTTTGTTTCCCTTGCCTCCGTAGATGTATCTAAGTTAGAAGTTGCTGCAATTGAGGTCAAAGAGGTTGCTGCCTGTGTTCTCCTCTAGGATTTTGATGGTTTCCTGTCTTACATTTAGGTCTTTCATCTGTTTTGAATTTATTTTTATGTGGCCCCTCCCCTCCACACTCTGAAGGTGCATTTTTTACAAGGGCAAGTATGACTGAAAGCCAGAGGAGCAGTGGGTTCCTCCCCAGTAAGACCAGCACAAACCACCCCCACCTCTACTTTGCACACACCAGGTCTATGGATCACAGAGCACTGCAAAGCTTCAGCTCTAGTGGAAATAGGACCATCTCATCTTAGATTAAAGACCGTCCCATAAAAAAGTAATTGCACAAATTGAAATTTGTGGGGAATATTGGAGAGTCAGCAACCTGGCCCCAATCTCTCTCCACTCCCATCCCTGTGGAAGAGATGGATGAGAATTAATAATATAAATTAACCCCAGCCCAAGATATGTAAATAGAGCTGTGCAACAGTCATTTAAAAATACATGGAAAACTACCGTGTTAACTGTTTTATTTGTCTTCATTTGTTTTTAATAACCTTCATGCTGCAAGAATTACTAAAAGTTAGGTCTGTGGCTACATATCGAAGAGGCCAACCTATAGGAGTTAGTACTGAATGATACCTTTAGTCTCAGCACTTAAAACCAGTGCAGCAATTCCTTCTACATTTTTGTATGATTTTACTTGCAGGGAGAGCACTAGTGATTAATGATTCACTAGAATTGCCAAGGAAATAAATGTCTATGATGTTTAACAAAGATAGGTGACAGTTTACAGCAAAGTAAATTTTCTATAATGAGGTATCTTTAATTAGGAGACTAATAAAGACCAGAGCTATTCTTTGAGTAATCTATAAACTTTTCTGACATGAAGACCCCAGAGTCCTGCACTGGAAACCCCTTGCTCAGAAGCTTGGCAACAGAGTGAAAAGCCAGTTGCCTGGAGTATGGAAACCTGGGCTTCCTGGTTCAGCCACGAAGTCACTTCATGGAGCTTCGGTTTCCTCATTTATTTAATGAGGGAGTTGAAACAGAAAACTTCCAAGATCTCAACCAGCTTCCAAGTCAAGACTTGCCTAGAAGATGTCAGACACACACTTCAAAGAGAAGCAGCCTATTTCTCCACCTGGCTTTTCCATAAGTGCATAGAGCCCTCCTCTAACTGGACCATCCTAACTGAGGCTCTCTGACGTCTATGGGGCCTTGGCCAGTGTTTATGAGTTCTGGACAAAAACCACAGGTACTGAAGATGGCATTGTCCCTGCTTTGGGATGTGAGACACAATTCAACATCTTAACCTGGGAGGTGATGGTGGAAACTAATCTTTCAGTTGTTTTAAAGTGTATTACTACTACCATCTTTCTTTTAAAATGTTCTCCATTTTTTATCATATCATGGCCCAATAACTTATAGCCAAGGGCAGCTCTTTATGAATCAATTAAGTAAATAAAGCAAAGAACACCATAAATATGGATGTGAATGGTAGTCTTCCAAATTACCAATAACTTCATATATTAAAAACAAGATTTTATTTGCTTCTTGCTTTAGCCTCGTAGGTGAGAAATATGGGCTCCCTTCCCCTTCAACCACACTGCATGGATCTCCTTGGCATCCTGGCACATACACAAAAAAACAGTCACTTAAAAGTAGTGAGAGAGACCCTGAGGCTCCCCATGCTAGAGTTTTAGAGAAATTAAGTACTCCTAGCCGAAGGTCTCAAACTTTGCGGCCTCTGGTCTGGAGCTGCTCTGAGGACACTCCTAACTGACTATCTGTTGACCATGATAGAGAAAAATTAAAATTAAAAAAAAATTTTAAGTGGGACGCCTGGGTGGCTCAGTTGGTTAAGCAGCTGCCTTCGGCTCAGGTCATGATCCCAGGATTCTGGGATCGGGTCCCACATCGGGCTCCTTGCTTGGCAGGGAGCCTGCTTCTCCCTCTGCCTCTACCTGACACTCTGTCTGCCTGTGCTCCCACGTGCTCTCTCTCTCTCTCTCTAACAAATAAATAAAATCTTTAAAAAAAAATTTTAAGTTAACATATAGTGCAGCACTGATTTCAGGATCATAATCCAATGATTCATTACCCACATAAAACACCCAGTGCTCATCCCAACAAGTGTCTTCTTTAACGCCCATCACCCATTTAGTCCTTTCCCCAACCCTCAGTTGTTCTCTATATCTAAGAGTCTCTTATGGTTTACCTCTTATTTTATTTTTCCTTCCTTTTATCTTATTTTTCCTTCCCTTCCCCTATGGTTCATCTGTTTTGTTTCTTACATTCCACATATGAGTGAAATCATATGGTATTTGTCTTTCTGTAACTTATTTCACTTGACACAATATGCTCCAATTCCATCCATGTCGATGTAAATGGTAAGTACTCATCCTTTCTGATGGCTGAGTAAGTCCATCGTATATATGGACCACATTTTCTTCATCCATTCATCAGCTGATAGACATTTGGGCTCTTTGCATAATTTGGCTATTGTTGCTTGTGCTGCTATGAACATTGGGGGTACATGTGCCTCTTAGAATCAGTATTTTTGTACATTTTTGGGTATATGCCTAGTAGTGAAAACTTCATTCTTCTTAATAACTTTGGAGACTGCCACACCTTGCAGTGGCTTTACACTGTTAATTAAGCTCACTTTCTATTTACAACAAGGCTATGGAAGTTAAAAAACAAAGAACATTATGTAAAAGAGATTATGAGATAATTGAGAGGTTAAAACTGTCATTAGAAACATGGTTCTATGTAAATTTGAAAGCCATCTTCAAGTGTACATGAAAGCTCAGATGCTTTCAAATAGTGCTTCTAATTTAATCAAGCAATTAATATTCAATTTAGAAAATACAGTCTTCCTAATGTGTGGAATTGCACCAAGATTTAGACAGGAATTAAACAGTTTTAAAAGAAAAGGAGGAGGGAAAAGGAAAAGAAGTTGAACTAAGATGAAAGCTGCTGTGAACTGAAAATTGACTATTCCAGTTCCTGAACAATTCTGGCAGATTAATCACTGTGTCAGGCTTCCTTGGTGATGCTAACACTGAACAGGAATAGAAGAAGTGATTATTAATATTTGTCTTTTATTTTTGGCGGGGGTGTGTATTCTTTGTTCAAGAAAACACAGACTTCACAATGTGACAAACCCTACAGCAATTTTGTTCACTCTGGTTTTAAACTGGAACTCAAGTTACCTATCAAAGCACATGGAATCCATTTTAGAAACAACAGAAAATATATTTTGGTTGGAAGTAATTAGGAAAAGTCTCAAATTATCACAAGGAGAAATAGTAGAAAGTGACTGGGGAGGAGAACAAATGTTTGTGGGGAACTGAAATTTACATGCGGCAACTGGTAGCACAAATTCACTGAGGTCTATATGATCAGCATCAGCAAGAGCAACACAAGGTTTTCTAGCCAGAGAAGTATGTTACCGTGGCTTGCGCTGGGGGCAGAATACTTGGCGCTGGACTTGCGGATGATGTTCTCATGGATCTGGGACCACTCACTCTCGTTGTTGCACCTGCAACAGAAGGACAGGCATTATGGCTTTCAAGGCTCTTTAACATCTGGTCTGATGTTCCAACTGAAATGCTGACTTCGAAAGGAAACTTCAAACTCACTTTCCTGTGTTTTACTAAATTAGACAAGGCTTGTTTTCTTTTAAGGTCCATAGAAGATTCACACTTGGGGGAAGTGTTGAAACTCTAAAATGAATCTCAACAAATATTTTAAGTGGAAAATAGCTTATTCTCTGAAGTAGCACTCTCCCACATGACAAGTTTTACTCTTCTAGTTCCTTACATACACACACACACACACACACACACACACACACACACACACACACAGTTCCAGAGGCAAGTTCCTGAGAGGGAAAATAACAGTTCCTCTTGACAATGACTGCTGTTTAGAAACTGTCATGCCTTGCATTGGCTTGTACCATCCACTCAATAATCATTATACCAGCCGCAGAGGGAAATCCTGCTAAGTTCAGGGCAGTGTGGATATTTGCTTGTGGCTGTTTCAGCCAGACCAAGAAAGGAAGAAAAGTTTAGGAGAGTAGTGAGTTTGATCCACTGTGAAATCCTGTGTAGTCAAGGGGAAGGAGAGCTTAGCAGAAAAGTTTGAATGTCTAAACATATAAAGTCCTTCCCGAGGGGCTTCAGTATTTGGATATAAGAGAGAATAGAGGAACAACACTGCACCTCTGTTAATATCCGACATTTCAGAATCTTCCCTCTAAAGGGCAATCCCAAGAGAGCTGCAACCACACAAGTACTTATTACAGTTTAGAAACAGAGACCAGAAATTCCTCATCCTAATGCAAAAACTTCGATGAAACAACTGAAATGAGATTAGAGTCATCTCTTGAAAATTCCACATGACACCAAGACTCCCCATAGCCTTGGCCTCACCCCTTCCCTTTTGCATAGGAAGGTATGGGTCCATACCTTCTGACCCTAAAATGGACGACTCAGGCACAAAGGAAAACTCACAGGATCTTTCCTTGGTTACTCACAAATGTGCAGCACAGTAGAGGCGCTTCAAATAGGAAACTCCAGTAAGAGTTTTATCATGTGAAATCAAACAGTATTGGACTTTCTCAGTCTGACTCTTTCATTTAGTATAATGCCCTCTAGGTCCACCCATGTTGTCAAAAATGGCAAGAGCTCATCTTTAAAAAAATTTTTTTTATTTAAATTCAATTTAGTTGGGGCACCTGGGTGGCTCAGTCAGTTATATGTCTGCCTTCGGCTCAGGTCATCGTCCCGAGGTCCTGGGATCGAGTCCTGCGTCAGGCTCCTTGCTCAGTGGGGAGCCTGCTTCTCCCTTTCCCTCTGCCTGCCCCCCGCCCCTGCTTGTGCTCTCTGGCTCTATCTCTCTGTCAAATAAATGAACAAAAACTTAAAAAATAAATTCAATTTTGTTAACATAGTGTTTTATTATTTTTGGGGGTAGAATTTATTGATTCATCCTTTGCATATAACACCCAGTGCTCATTACATCAAGTGCCCTCCTTAACTCCCATCACTCATTTAGCCCATTCCCCCACCTTCCTTCCAGCAACCCTCAGTTTGTTTCTTATAGTTAGGAGTCTCTTATGGTTTGTCTCTCTGTTTTCATCTTATTTTATTTTTCTCCTCCCTTCCCCTCTATTCCTCTACTTTGTTTCTTAAATTCTGCATATGAGAGAAATCATACGGTATTTGTCTTTCTCTGACTGACTTATTTCACTTAGCATAATAGCCTCTAGTTCCAACCACATCTAGCAAAAGGCAAAATTTCATTCTTTTGGTAAGATTCCATGGTATGTACGTGTATGTATGTGTGTATGTATGTGTTGTGTGTATGTATGTATGTATGTGTGTGTGTATATGTATGTGTGTGTATATATATGTATGTGTGTGTATATATATACACACACACACATACCACATCTTCTTTATCCACTCATCTCTCGATGGACATCTGGGCTCTTTCCATATTTTGGCTATTGTGGACACTGCTGCTGTAAATATTGGGGTGTATGTGCCCCTTTGAGTCTTTTTTTTAAGGCTGCACAATATTTCTGTGTGTATGTATGTGTGTGTATGTATACCACGTCTTCCTTAACTAATTGTTTATTGATGGACATTTGGATTGCTTCCATATCTTGGCTATTGTAAACAATGCCACAATAAACATAGAGGTTCATATATCTTCTTGAATTAGTGTTTTTGTTTTCTTCGGGTAGATACCCAGTAGTGGAATTATTTGATCATACGGTGTTTCTGTTTTTCTCTATACATTTTCTCTATACATCTTCTCTATACATTATGCTACACTCACCACAATGTATAGAGAAGATGTATTGTTATGTTGCACACCTGAAACTAAGGTAATGTTGTGTGTCAACTACATTCAAATAATAATAAAAAAGAAATCAAAGAATAAGGAACTGAAAAAACAGTGTAAAGTCTTAAGAACAGAAAAAAAGTTGTATCATGCGCCATCCAGCAGTGTGAAGTATAAGCAATGTAAAGAACAATTAAATAAAAGGGTTTGTATGGAAGTCATTCAGAGACAAAGGAAATTAGTCATTAACTTAATTTTGTTACTCAATCAGTGGCTCTTCGGACTCCTTAATCAGTATAAATAAGTCTCACTTACTCAGAGATGCTGCAAAGAACTATCAAAGATGAAGTTCTCATAGCCCGGAGCTATGAGGATAATTTCTACTTACAGAATTCCTTCCAAACAAAGGAAGGGGGAGAGTGTTCACTAAGATGAGCACTTGTGCACTTGTGATTTAGCAACTCAGTTGGAAATCAAAAGTGAGAGGTGCTGGCAACAGCATATCCAGCCCTTCCTGTCTGACATGCACACTGTCTCATTTCTTCCAACCAGTCAGTACATCAAAGAAGTGCCCAGCTGGTGAGGATTCAAAGACTTGTCTTGCTGTCAGGTTTTTTTTTGTCACTTTCTAGGTTTATAAGATCAGTAGTTACTTTCTTTAACAGAAATCTGACTACAGTTTGTCATAAATAACATACTCCCCCTCTCATTTCAAAAGAAGAGTCTTGAAAATTAACACCCTCCCTCCAATAGATGGTATAATTTCAGCATTTTGCCAATAAAACACTAATTTTTTTTTTGGCAGTATAATGGAGACGGTGCTTTGTCAACCACACCCACAGGGACAGTGTGTATTAATTCATTCACCTCTCCTCTTCATGGCCTTGGTTCAACCATGATCATCTCTCTTCTGGACTAGTGTAATCACCTCCTAACTGATCTTCCAAATATCTCCCTTTCCTGAATGCCAAGCAGCTACTCCAATCATCTGAAAATAAATGAATGTGGTGTCATCAGCATATCCCAATCACTAGGATATTTTGTAAGGACAAATTATAAATGGGAGCATTTATTAAATAATCAAATGACTTGTGATTGTAATGAAGCATGATTATGTTATATCCAATCAAATTAATATTTAGAGCATGATTACTGCTCTTGGTAGTTTGTCCTCAATCACAAGACGCATGAGGGACTGTGATCTAAAAGAGGTCTGAATGCCTCTGTAGCAGGGGAGATAAACAGCACAGCACTTCAACTACTACATGTCCAAGGATTTTACTCAAGGAAGAAGACAGAGAGGTGAGAGGGTTTTAGTTTTCTACATGGGATTCCCAAGCATTCAGAAGCACTGGAGCCGGAGCATGGGTTCTTCTCAACAAAGTTCAGAAGGCTCTTTCATTTACTCATGTACCAGAGCACAAGTTAGCATCTGCTTCTTCCCTGCAATCTCCTTAACTTAATTTCTGTGTTTCTTCTCTTCACCCAACTTTGTTCTCTTTCTCCAAGGTGAACAACACAAAAAATGTTTAAAATGCTTAAGAAATTTTAAAGGATTGTTTGTAAGACCTTTAAGTTTGTGTTTTTGTTTTTATTTATTTATTTATTTATTATTTATTATTTATTTTTTTAACTTTTTTTTTAAGATACTATTTATTTATTTGACAGACAGAGATCACAAGTAGGCAGAGAGGCAGGCAGAGAGAGAGGAGGAAGCAGGCTCCCCGCTGAGCAGAGAGCCCGATGTGGGGCTCGATCCCAGGACCCTGGGATCATGACCTGAGCCGAAGGCAGAGGCTTTAACCCGCTGAGCCACCCAGGCGCCACCTATTTATTTTTTCTTAAATACAATTATCCAACATATAGTACATTGCTAGTTTTGTTAGGGTCCCCCAATAATGGGTCTGTGATCAAAGAAGTGAGACTGATACAAACCAAAGGTCAAGCAAATCTTTATTTCACACCAAGCATCAAGAATCAAACCCACCAGTCGGGCCATCTCTTACAAAGAGGCAACGACCCTTCCCAGCCTCACAGACTAACTTTTGTAGAGGTGGTTGAGCCTGGCTTATACACAGGTGGCCAATGAGATTGCAATACACAGGGAAAACTGCATAGTCATGCTAGGTCAGCAATACGGGTGGCCAATTGAATTTCAATTTACCATAGTAAATATATGCACGCCTACTGATTGGATGTCTCCAACAGGTCTGGCCCGCCCTTGTATCTGGGCTTTGCAAGTAAGTTCCTCTGGGAGGGGCAGGGTCAATCTAAGTTCACAACCAAATGGCTCCCTCTAGCTAACCAGGTCCTTACATTTTCAGATGCAGTGTTCAATAATTAGTTGCACATAACCTTTGCATTTTTAGAAGGTAGCCTACTCTAGGTAGGCAATTGTTGGGGTATATTCCCATATTTTATTTCACTTAATTCTCATAATCCAGTAAGATAGGTATTACCATTCATTTTACTGTGAGGAGTGAAGTGGAGCTGGAGTCTAAGTGTGGGTCTGCCTGGTCCCAAAAGCAGGACAGGCAGGCAGGGTTGGGGTGGGGTGCAGACAGAAAGCGGCTGAGCACTATAACCCTGAAACCCTTACTCCTGCACTGGGTGTCAGGGTACTTTTGTTTGTGATGTCAGCCAGCATTCTCATTTTGTCTCTACCTAATTAAAACTGCTGAGTCT